TTGCAAAAGCTGTAAACATTCCCAGCCTATTAGGCCTCCCTTCACCGGATTTCATTTTGCGGTATATGGAACATACTGACAATGATAATAAAAGAAGCAGACACAAGGAATACCTGGTAGGTGATAAATCCAAAAGGATTTATCACACTCAGTGCCCTTTATCCAAGCCTACACATTGTAAGCCTGTGGGGGGAGAGGATAAACATGGGAGGAAATAATCTGAAGATTGTTTTTCAATATGCTTTTTCTTATATAAAAATTCTGAATGCACTAACTAGCACCATAGCTCAAAGCTGAAGGAAACCGGTACATAATTACCAGATTTTTGACCCACAGAATTTATCAGCTACATTTAAATTTTCTCACTGACTGCCATCTGTTTCTACCTTTCAATGTTACATATGCTACTAATGTGTTACTACAGCTCACAGAACCCATGATGCAGTACAACAGTGATCAAAGTGTGGAGGTGGGAGAGGTTCTAAGGTCTGTATAATTTAAAAGCTGGGGAAAGACAGCAGTATAAATGAGAGCATTGCTGCCCTCTGCCAAAACCTCACTTATGGCAGAATTCTGGGTCAACTCTATTCAAGCTTCTATGTTCATACAGACAATGAAATAGGAGTGATTCACTTATGATGATGCATTTCAGTCTATTTCTGTCAACAGCGAGGAGGGTGGGAATGGGATCGCCACCTTGTGCAAGCTTACATAAAAGTAAGCCCAGTGGGATAAAATGTAAAACATTAAAGGGTTTTGAAAGTAATTGGAAATGGTATTTCCTAAGACCGATGTGCTATAATACCAAATAAAACCGAGACTGAAACTATAGAGCTTCGCATGATCACGTGCCTCTTTCTCTCATCATTTTGATGTTTAAAAAACTCAAAAGCAGCCTAGGAGGTTCCAGTCTTAAACAAATTACCAGACTGGGAGCAATTTCATCTCTCAAAATCAACCCCGAAGTTGCTTTTCTTCCAGGTTCCCATTAGCACTTTCTGATGGGGGCTTAATATTGCAGGTGGGTCATTGCCAAATGTGACCTGTTGTGTTTGCTTTCTGCAGAAAGGGGAAACCTAGGTTAAATGGGAGTTGGGTGGCAGAAATGCAGGCTGGTATTTTGACTATGTCTGCATTGTGTGGACCCCTGCAGGCAAGCAACAGCAGCACCAATCCCACAACAAGCACTCTGTGTCTTTACCCTGCATGACAAATAGCAGCTCAGGAGAGGTGTGGGTTAAAACATTTGGGTTATGCATCCACCTCCTGCCAGTTCTCTACACAAGTCTGCATGCAGCTCACTTCAAGACTCATTGTCACATGTTGTTTCAGCCCAAGCCTTCATACTTCACACACAAGGCTTTGCCTCCCACCCCACCTCGAGTTAAAACCAACAAAGCTTTGCTGTCGTACATATCATCTCTGAATAAATCAATAACGTATCAGGCGTCCTTCACTGCAATACTGTATCTCAAAGCAGAGCACAACGCTGAACACAAACATAATTAAATAATCACTAGCGGGGAAGATGTATTGTCAGAGGCATGTTGATGGGCACGGCTTAGTCACACTCATTGCCTTGGAGAGACTATAGGGAGCTACGTGGCCTGTTACAATCTGTGCACGTTATTGTGAACTGAGGTGGGAGAACAATTCCATCAAACTATTATGGCAGGGGAGGTGTCATGAACTGGTAGGAAAACAGAGGGGAGGAAGAGGATGCCAGTGAGGGATGTAGGGACACAGTGGGGCAAGCAGTGGGTGGGGAAGGAAGTACTCACAGGGTGACGGAGGATGAAGAAATGAGAGCAGCAGGACCCATAACCGGAGCCAGAAGGGGCCCTGAGCCCACGAACACGGCAGGCTCTGAGGTGTAGGCTGAGGAAGGCAAGGGCCCACAGCCCAGCTCACTAGCTGGCCAGGTGGGGCTCGCAAGCTCTGGGAGGAGGTGTGTGGTTCCTCAGCTAGACTAGGCTCAGAGCAGGTGAGGGCCACCTGCCTCATCAAGCCCAGATGCTGCAATCAGCATGCAAAATACAAAAGGGGAGCAGAGCTGCTGTGTCTTCTCAACTGCCCATGTTGAGAGACGTTGAAGTGGATGCTCCTGAACCTCTATGAGACTGTGCTTTGGGTTTGAGTCTGGACTTTGGGTGTGGCTACTTGGATGGATCCTGAACCTCATTTATTGACTTTGGTCTTTGCTTGTGTGGATTGACTCTCAGACCTTGAACTTTGGGCTTAGCACACGGATTTGCTGCCTGGTAGGCCAGGGGTTCATAACGGGAGGGGAGGGGATCAAAATGGCTGCCGTAAGGTTATTTAAATGCAGCAAAACAAGTTTCTGTAAACTGGGACAAATTTGAGCACTTATGCACATGTGAAATCCCAAGGGTCACAAACAAGGCCCTGGTCCATAGAAATCACTGAGTAAATTTTCCAGTTTGTCCACTAATTCTAGACTTTCCCCCAAACTGATGCCATCCACTTTTTGATGCACGATTGTGTAAATTAAAGCTAGCATCAAGGGTGAGAGATGTTTTCACTAGAATCTACCGAGGCAGGTACTTTAATCAGTAAATACATGTTTTTACTGAAGGAACATAACATCTAGAGAAAGTAGCCATTTCTCAAGCAGGGATGAGGAACCTGTAGCCTTCCAGGTATTGCTGGACTACAATTTCCATCAGCCTGGGGCTCATGAGATTTTGAATCCAACATCTGGAGACCCACAGCTTGAAAGCACTCAGTTCTGATTCTGATGTGGGGCACTTTTTTGAGCAACATTTTTTTTAAAAATGTGGGACCAACTTATGAAAATTACTGACTTTCAGGATCCACTTGTAAACTAATTCTGTCTTTTAAGCTCCCTTTTCTCCTCCTACTACAGAAAGCCCAAGCATATCGCATCAGTTGTTAACAAGGAACACGTTTCTATTATATTCTTTATTCTTAAAGTTAACATGGTTGTACACATAGGCAGCATTATTTGAACAGAATTCAAGCATGGCATATATGGAAAGAGGGAACCTGTCTCTTTAAAGGGACAGCACAACAGAAAAAGGCCCTTATTATGCGACCTTACTAAGGGAAGCGGGTGGCGCTGTGGGTTAAACCACTGAGCCTAGGATTTGCCGATCAGAAGGTCGGTGGTTCAAATCCCCACAACAGGGTGAGCTCTCATTGCTCGGTCCCTGCTCCTGCCAACCTAGCAGTTTGAAAGCACGTCAAAGTGGAATAGATAAATAGGTACCGCTCCGGCAGGAAGGTAAACGGCGTTTCCGTGTGCTGCTCTGGTTTGACAGAAGCGGCTTAGTCATGCTGGCCACGTGACCCGGAAGCTGTATGCCGGCACCCTCAACCAGTAAAGTGAGATGAGTGCCGCAACCCCAGAGTCAGCCACAACTGGACCTAATGGTCAGGGGTCCCTTTACCTTACTATGGAAGAATATTTTGGAGACCACCTGCAGTTCAAGACTCGCCATTTCAGAAGTACTGACTGAACAGTTTTTCTGTACTAGTCAGAATAGAGTGGAGGATAGAGAATAGCCTTTGACAACCTGGTGCCCTCCAGGTTTTACTGGACTACAACTCCCATCATCCCCCAGCTATCACAGCTGTGGGAGTTGTAGTCCAACAATATCTGGAGGGCACCAGGTTGGTGAAGGCAGAACTAACATTTCAAAGCATCTTATGCGCCTCTGAGGCTGTCAAGTTGAACAGGTTTTTATTTTCATTTTCAAAAGTTTTGTTTAATTTCTATGAGATTGTGGCCTTGGCACAAAGCCAGAACCAAGAGGTGAGGGTGGAGGGGAATCTTTCCACTGATGTCAGTGAATTTCATATCAAGGCCCTACATGAAGGTCATGACACAAGTGGGGTGGAGCTCATGTGAGGTAAAATTAATTTATAATTGTGTGAAAGTGTTTACATTTTGGGAGGAGAACATTATGGCAGTGTTTTTAAAAGGTGTTTCAATCCACATTGTGTGAAAATGGAGAAGAAAAATATAGCTGCTCTCATTTCTTGTTCAATGTATGTAATTACTCTCTTGGCTTTAAACCTAACTTTTGCAGCTCAGTTTGATCTGTGTTGTTTCCTGTATGAAAACCGTTGTCACTGCACATGTAATTTATGCGACTGATGGGGTCGGGGGAGACAGAAGAAAAACAGGATGTGCATGTTTTAACACAAGGTAGTTGAATGAATGAATGAAACAGTTAAAACATAGGGTCATGTTTTGGGCTTAGAATTCCACACATGAAAATCCCAGATTCCATTCAGAAAGCATGCATTATGGTTAACTATGGTCTGAACAATTTCTAAATATTCTTTTTCAGAGGCAAGGAAAATATGAGTGGGCAGAGACCTATGCTTTTAAAAAGTACACCTGCAAGCTGTTTTAATGACTTTTCATCATAGCTGTCAACGTTTCCCTTTTTTTATGGGAAATTCCCTTATTTCGAATAAGATTCCTTGCAAGAAAAGAGAAAAGTTGACAGCTATGCTTTTCATACATAATTGGCTTTGTCAGTCCCTTCACCCTATTCACACCAAAACCTTTCATAGAGATGTGCTCATCTAACGGTGCAATCCTATGCACATTTACTTAGGGAGTAATTGCTAGCATGTGAAAATAAACTAAATGCAGAACACACTTTGAAGGAACACACTTTACCCTAGATATAATCACATGGGGTCTCTGGGTTGAAGGAAATTAAAAAGCTAATATTTATTATTGGAAATAAATGCTTGCTAGGAAAGATCCTAGTTCTATGTAGCTAATATGGAGATACGATGAGCTATACTTGCTTCTGCATCTCAAAGAGCCCAGACTATGTCTGCTCTAATAAAGGAAGTACAGAAGAGCGGGAGAAGTAAGTAGGAAGTGAGGTCAGCAACCCTAAAATTATCAGTCTAACACTGAGGGAAGATCAACAGGTCAGCAGGAGGAGGACAGTCTAGGAAGCTTGGAGGTTCTTCTCTCTATCTATCCTTTCTCAGGCAAACACATCGGCCTACAATGCAGTGTTGTGTTGCATCCTGAGATTTCCAACAGTGAGCTCCACTTCCATTGAAACCAGTGGGACTTGCTTCTGAGTAAACATACATAGGATTGTACTGTCTCGCATGAGAAAATGCTATTCTCCTCCTCCCATTTTTCAGCTTCTGGCATAAGCTGAAGCAAGCTGCTGTACTTATGAGCAGTAATGAAAAAAATTCATGAAATATATTTATATATGTAGATGCATGAATAAAGCATGTATCACGAAATGAGCAGAAAAGTTTGACGCAGACTTCCGAGGGGCGGCGCGAACGGCAATGGCGGTCCTCTTCTGAAAGGGAGAGGAGGCTCCGCAGAAAACGGGTCGTCCGCTACGGCGAAGCGGAGACCCACTCTGGAAAACCCCAGGCAGCAAGAGCTTGGGGTCCTGAGGCTCGGTGGGCGCCTTAAGTGACCCTCCAAACGCAGAAGGAACCTCGTAAGGGGCTCCGGAGCGTGGAGGGGGGTTGCGGCGCTGAGAGCTGCTTCACAGTCTGCGGAGTGAAGCCGCGCTGCTGCTGCCGGTGAGCGCTGATCCTTTTTTCCTGCTAAAACACGGATTCGGACGAAAAGCAACTTACTCGTGAGTAAAGACTGAATCACTTGAAATCAGAGACTTTATTTAAAAAACCTTAAATTGGCTTGAACTTGGCTGAAAGCGGAGAGACGTGGAAACAGGAAGTCCGTCTTCCGCAGCCATTGAACTTGAAAAAAGCAACTAAGTTGGAGGAGTGGAGGCTGAAAGGAAGAGATTTTAAACTTTACAGATCTAAGCATCTACTGAACCTGCAATTTAAAGTAAAGACTTTAAGCTAAAGACTTGGAATTTTAACTTGCACTTGACTTTCCCCTTTTATTGGATTACAAATTAGAAGGTGAAACCCAGAGTCAGGAGCTGCCTGAGCATTGAGAAATTGAGCTGTCAGTATTGCAGATTTGGATACTGTATATTGGAACTTGCAACAATCTGAGGGTATTGAGACTTTTTAAATTTGAAACATTCTTTTTGGAGACAAATAAGCACTGTCTGTAACAAAGTGACTACTTATAAACTCTGCTAAATATTTATATTTGAAGGTTCTTGGACATTAAATTAGACTCTGAAAGACATTTTAAGCTCCCTCTAGAGGACTGGATGAAAACAGTGACTTTACATTTACATTTACTTTCGATTCCCTTGTTGTTTGCTTGCTCTGGGCCTTTCTATTCCCATGGGAAAAACTCAGTGTGACCTTGACTGATAGACAACGTTGGAATGAGTGGCACAAGGAAAAGAGGGAGAGTTAGACAAACAACTTTAACAACTCTAACCTCAGCCTCGCAGACACGTAGATCATCTGTACCTACTTTGCCCTCAGAAGTAGAACTTGAAGAAGTTGCCTTGCCACAGGCAAAAGAGGGAGAGGGTGAAGCAGAGCAGTTACAATTGGAAGATATGGCCTCAGGAGTATCTGTTTCTGTTCTAGACAAAATCTTTGAAAAATTGGAAGCTTTGGACAAGAAAGTAGATGCGCAATCAGCAAAGATTGACAAAAATACAGAATGTCTAAATAAATTAACCATACAAGTTGTACAGAATACACAAGCAATTGGACAGTTAACGGAGGCCTCAGCAGAAAATCGGAAACTGGCTGAGGATACTAGACAACTGGCTGAAATGACCGGCAGAATCCGTGACCTGGGAGAAGAGAGAATCGAGGAGGATTGGAAGAAATTTAAGAACTATCTACAAAAATATTGTGATTTGAGTGAATGCTAAATAAGATGCTAGACTAAATAATTGAGCACCACTTAACTTAGAAGTTTTTAAGAAAATAAGTAAGACTGTGAAAGTTTAACTCTTTATGAGAACTATAAGATTATGAAACATTGAAGAGATATAAGAATTTAAATAAGATGATAAATTGCTGACAAAATGTTATAACGATGAAAGTGGGAGCGGGGGATGTGAGGAAGTCCAAAGAAAATGTGAAACTATGTTAAGACAAATGTTATATTGTTTATTATGTTTATTTTTATTGTAAAACCCAATAAATTGCTTTAAAAAAAAAAAAAGAAAAGTTTGACGCAGAAGCTATTTCGGCTTCTCCTCAAAGCCCATTTGGTAGTTTTATAGATTAGGGAAGTGTTGTGGAACAGGATAGGTCAATTTTAAAATTTATCTAAAGAGAAGTCTTAATATGCAGCTTGGTCCTTCCCAGCTGGTAGGAAGTGCCTAGGGCAGCTGCTTCAGGGCCTGCCATCTTGTGAGGAGGACGTTCTGGAGACATGTAGAATTTTTGTGATGTCTAATTACAAAATATCCACATTGAGCATGAGGAACAGCAAGCTCCTGAATAGATAGTACGAATATGAAAAACAGTTTCCTCAAAAAAAGCAAACAGCAGTCATTTGACTCTTCACCAGAATCCGTGTTTCAGCCAGCTGTAAAGAACACAAACTTGTTTATCTTTTGCTGGCTACATCGCAGCTCCCAACTGTTTCTCCATCGCAGTTCAGTAGCCATGAACCACCAGTAAAGAAACACAAGATATTCAGGTCTCTTGGGAAACAACATTCCGTGTACATAAGCAAACAACTGAAGATACTTTTCTCTCAAGTGAAGATAATGAGTATGTCCATTATAGTACAGCAGCTGCCAGCTACACTAATTCTGCCATGAGTTAAGTCAGAAGGCTGCCACTTGCCCTTCTGTCGGTTCATTCGGTTGTATGTCTGCTCATTATATCATGAGGAAATGATCTTCACCCCAACTTTTCCATTTCAGGATTCACAGCTGCTCCATGGCAGTGAGCTGGAATACTACTAGGCTAGGGGTTGGAACCCCCTTTCATCACAGCCAGTTTGGCGGGCTCCACACCTGACATCATCTACCAGGTAAGCAGGAGGAAGTGGCTGGGCATAATGGTCTCACAGGTCCAATGGAGAGGACTGGGAGGCCTAATTAGAAGTTCACCTCCCCTAGGTCAAGGCAGAAGTTGACTGGACCATCAGCCCTCTAAAGTGCATAGGTCCTTTCCCCCCCAAGTTGTACACGTCAATGAATCAAGCCACAGGGGTTGTCAACCTGGTCCCTACTACCCACTAGTGGGGATTTTAGGATTCTAGGCGGGCGGTAGGGGGTTCTATGGCACAAGCTGAATCCTCCTTCCATCGAGCACTGGTGGGCGGTAAGGAAATTTTACCATCAAGAACGATGCATTAGTGGGCGGTACGTATAAAAAGGTTGACTACCCGACTTAGAGCAACCTTGATTTTAATTGCTTTATGTGTCCTTAAAGTTCACATGATAATTAATGAGTAAGTTTTCAGGGAAATTAGCAGTAACAGATGCTGTCCACTCAACAGGCTGTGGATGCACGTGTACCTTATCTCGGCACAACAGGGATTGTGGATGAGTCATGCAAACCATTTATTTGCAGGCCACCCCTCCAAGACTTCCCACACACACCCAGGTTATTGATTGCTGCCGTTACCATTAGTAATTGTTATAGCAGCACTAGTAGAAAGCTGTTCTTTAGAAAATGCTCAGCACACCCAGATCTTCTAAACAGCAGCAGCAGATTTTGTCCCTGTCCCAGTTAATGCTGTGCCGAAGTCTGCCCTCCAGTTTCTTGAAAGTTTTATTCCACGGCAGAAGAGGCTTTCATTTTACTCTCTCTGCCTCATTCTCAGGGCCTTTGGTAGGTGTGGATCTTTAGGAGCAAGAGCTGTCATCAGCTATGCAAACCATAAAACCACAGAATTCAGATCTACCACCCGCTCATCTTACAAGATTTTTAAAAATGGCCTGATATTTCTTTTAATGTAATGTCACTTGCAGTATGTTACCTAATTCTAGGAAAACTAATTAGAATATTATTCCTGTTTTCTGTAGTGGCTCTAGCTAATTTCCATTACAAATAGTTTCTCCAAAGCTTGAAGAGAAGCACATTGCATTAATGAGGAGTGACTCTCCCATGAATACCAATATCTATTCTTTGCCGATTAACAACAAATAAATATAAATGTCACTTTCCAATGGGGAATGGGTGTATTAAAATCCCAGACAAGCATCAGGACACAGTAAAAAAAGACTTGTTTGCAGTTGTGACACAACCCACAAGTAACAGAAAACCTGAGCCGATACTACAAAAAAAGGCTTTAGCTTCAAGGATAAATATATTGGCTTTAGCTTCAAGGATAAAGACATTGCAGCTAAAATGTCTTTTCTGAAGTAAAATATATATATGTGAAAAGTGTGTTTCATTCTGGAGGTAGAAATTACACTAAAAGTGAATTAAACAACCTACAGCTTTTTATGTTTGTACCTCTGGAAAGCAGATGTGAGGAATGGAAAACAAGAGATGATTGTTTTAATTAGATTTAACTAGCTAATAAGGTGCATTGACGTGAAGTATTTATCATCTGCCTATTAAGACCAGCAACTTAAGCATCTTATTGCTGTAGTCCTAATTGAAATCACTCATGAATCCAATTTGTTTCAATGAAGAGGGGGAAAGCTGTACTTCACAGTGTGTATTTATGCTCACTAGCCTTAGCCATTCATATTACTCATGTTTAAAACGTTAAGGTCATACAACACATTCACTGATTGATTTATGATGCTGTGTCTTTGAGTGCTGGGACCGACTGTGGAATTGTCAGGTTGAAATACTTTCTTAGTCATGAGCCTCATAGAGGCTTTGGGCAAATCACTTTATCTCAGCTGTAAGCCACCTCAGAGTTGCTAACTAAGTACACAATGGGGAAATTCTATATATGTTGCCCTGAGTTTATTATTTATTAAAACATTTATATACTACCTAGCACATCATTCTCAAGACACAACAAATATGTAAGAACCTAAGCAGAGCCTTTTGCCTCAGTGGTGTAATGTGGGGTGAGGCGGTTGCCCCAGGCACAAAATTGTTAAGCATGCAAAATTTCAACACCCAGTACTGCCTGAATACATCTGCATGCTTCCATCACTGGGCTCTGTTGAAAACTGCTTCTCCATGCGAACCAGGAAGTGACCGCTCCAGACAACAGAACAACTCTTTCCTTATCTCTGCAGCTGCAATCTCCTGGGTGGTGGATGGCGTTATACTCCATCCTTTTCCTCCCTCCCATTGTGTGTGGTCCAGGGCACTGGCAATTCATGCTACGCCACTGTGCTGGATCAGGCCAATGGTCCATCTATTCCAGCATCCTTTTCTCACAGCAGCTAACCAAATGCCTGTGGGTAGCCCACAAGGGAACTTTCCCCTCATGCCGTTTCCAGCAACTGCTACAGAGAAGCATATTGCCTCCAACAGTGGAAGTAGAACAGAACCACCAAGGTTCATAGCCATTGATAGCTCTCTCCTCCATTACTTGGTAGGTTTTAAAGCTATCCAAGTTGGTGACCATTGCTGGCTCTTGTAGGAACAAATGCCATAGGTTAACTACGTGTTGTGTGAAGTGGTATTTCTTTTTGCCTCTCCATATGGAATAGACAGGGTTAATATATTTCATTTAAGGGCTAAATATTAAACTAGATATTAAATACTAAACAAATTGTTAGGGCAGCCATACTCCTACCTTCCCTGGGGCTACTCCAAGAGAAGTCCAGATTAGGGAGCTTGTGCCATCATCAGACCCGGAAGTTGGCTTGAGAGAACTCAGTTCTGTATTTTGTACCATTTGCTTGCTGTAGTATTTTAAATTGTTAGCCACCCTGTACGCCTTTGGCAGACAGACCACACACATAAATAAAATAAATAGGCAAACCTTCAGCTAGAGGGTGCATTTCACCTTTATCTGTAACGGTTTTGCATCCCCACAACCCTGCAATTTTCCATCAGCTGTAACAGCTACTGACCAGAACTATGTTTCACAGTATTTTACTTCTGACAAGTTGTGCTTCAAAAGAATATGGCTATTTAGCTCAAGGCCTAGAATAACCACTGAACCTGTCTAGACTGAACACCAAAATATTATTACATCAAGACATATGACTGCCCTTACCTTTGCACAGAAACCCAGATTAATGCACATCTGTACCACAGCTTAGGGAGAGAAGCCATTCCTCTTTCCAAGGCTGAAAGTAAATTGCCTGTAGAGCAGAGGAGGGGAAACCTATTTCAGTCTAAGAATCCCTTGTCGCCAACCTTCCAGAGGCCACACATCAGTCATGGGTGGGGACAGAGTCAAAAGTGGGCAGGGCAAGGAAAGTGACTCATAGCTTTGGCCAGTAGCCTACATTCCAGCCATATGAAAGTCAAGGTTTCTTTACGTACACAAATATCCTGGCAAGCAAGAAGCAAAATCACAGCTGAATGACACTCCAACAAGGCAAAAGCACTGAGGCAGATGGAACAGGACCGGTAATGGTGTGGTCTGGAGAGCAGACATGGCTTGGGCACTGGCCAGAGGACTAGATAGAGACCTGAAGGGCACTGGGGATCCCCACCATGGCTCTAGAGAAGTAAAAACACTTATACTTTACAGCGATCCCCACCCCCACACCTTTGGAGAGGCAATCTTGCATTCATCCTCCCACTTAAGTGTCTTGTCAAATAACTTGGCTCTGATCCCAAATAATTTCCAAGGCTCACACAAGGTTCTTGAGTTGTTGGACTACAACCTGCATTATCTCTGATGTCCTAGATAACAGTAATAGAAACAATTTACAAGTTCTGGGGTGCGGGTGGCGCTGTGGGTTAAACCACAGAGCCTAGGACTTGCCGATCAGAAGGTCGGCAGTTCGAATCCCCGTGACGGGGAGGGGGTGAGCGCCCGTTGTTCAGTCCCAGCTCCTGCCCACCTAGCAGTTCGAAAGCACGTCAAAGTGCAAGTAGATAAATAGGTACCGCTCCAGCGGGAAGGTTAATGGCGTTTCCGTGCGCTGCTCTGGTTCGCCAGAAGCAGCTTAGTCATGCTGGCCACATGACCCGGAAGCTGTACGCCGGCTCCCTTGGCCAATAAAGCGAGATGAGCGCCACAACCCCAGAGTCGGTCACGACTGGACCTAATGGTCAGGGGTCCCTTTACCTTTACCTTACAAGTTCTGTTAAATCTTCATACATGGCTGAAAGGTGTATGAAGGTCTATATACACATTAAAAAAATTCTGTATAAGTCAGCCTTTACCAACCTGGTGCCCTCTAGATGTTTTGGACTCCCACAGCCCATCAGTTCCAAACAGTTGTCCGGGGCTGATATGCAGCTGGGAAGCATTAGGTTTATAAAGGCTAGTATGATCATGAAATATATAAGCAACTGTTTTGAACAAATGAGCATATCTTGTTTGACTGAAAGCTGTTTGGCAGCACCTTAATGAAGTGCGTTCAAGCTCTTACTATGCTTTGTCATGTAGTGCAAGCTCATTATAATGAAGTATCCCACAGTACACAAAGAAGACATCACTCAATTACCAGATTGCTTCTCTATTTGTTGTCATCTCCCCCATTATATATTGTGTGGGCAAAAAAACCCCCGCTTTTCTTTTCCAAGAGCTTACTGAAGGACAGCGTTGAACGTAGAATTAAAGAACACAAAAGGCTATAAAATGGTCTGAGCAGCTGGAAAGCAACCAGCTTACCATTTAAAATGAGTATTATGCATTTGATTTTAAAATGACTAAAATGAATGCCAACCACGACTCCACCCTTTTAAAAGTCAGTCCACTTCAGTCGCTGGAAAGTACAAAAAACACACTACCTTCTTTAGCAACTAACCCAAATTGTCAGGATGCTAGGCCGCCACACAGGGATGTGAAACCTGGGGTCTTTCTGAGGTTGTTGGCCTTCCTCCATCATCCTTGCAGGAAAAGCAGCTTTGTTCCAGCAACATCTGGAGGGCCACAGGTTCCCCCTCCTTGCTGCTGAAAAGCCGTGGGCATGAGTCCCCAGGACCAGCCAGCTGTGGAAAACCTCAGACCCAGGTCTCAAAGGTATCCTTCCAAGTCTCCCTTGTTCACCCTGAGGGATCTTCCCCAGGACATACTCCTCTCTAGCTCTTCTTCAAACTCAAAAGTTTTTCCCTGGTTGGAATGTGTCCTTGGGACCCCAGCAGTGCCCCTGCTTGTTTGGGTGGAGGATACAGAGGGCAGCTCCTGATAAATAGCTCCGTCAATGGAGCTACTTTTCTCACCAATTTCTATTTAAGCCATTGCCAGGATACAGTGATAGTTATTTCCGTTAACATCCAATGTCAGTGATCAGGCTTGTGTGACTATTCTTCAAACCGTACATGTAGTATTCGCAAGGATATTAATTCCAACATCAAAAAGCATTTCAGGATTCATAATTTAAGCAGTGTGTAACCTTACAATGCTGAACCCGACACATACAAGCAATACACATGTAATTACAGTAGCATACTCCTCCTGCAGAATGAAATATTATTTCCCATCATATTCAAAACGGTATTTATTAATAAATGTAAATTTCTCAACAATGAGTTCTTAATGCTTTATTGAAACTACTTTGCTTCTGCGAAGGTTGACTCTTTATTCATGATTTTTCCAGGACAGAGGGAGCGAAAATCAACAGGGAAGAAATGAGGCAGTAGTCAGAAGATGATGGAATACTCTTGAATCCCACTGATCTGAGTGGGACTAGCAAAGCAGAGCTTTGAGAATACTGCTATATTACAACCAGCAAACATTCAGACAAATCACTGCCATTGATAGGAAAATGCCAAGGCAGTATATAGCCAACTAGCTTATGGTTCAAGCAATTCCAGCAATTATTTATTATAAATTTTGACCATAATTAAGGTGGTTCGGGGAAGGTATTTATCTAATAGAGCCAGACTTGATGCCAAGAACCGGTTTAAAACTTTAAATGTAGTATTTAATTAGACAGGGTGGCAGAGCCACAATTTCCCAACTGGCAACATGCAGGCATACCTTTGAATTTTCGAAGGCTAATTAAATTATTTTCTAATAATTTCTGCTGGAAGGCTGCACTGGTAAGCATTCCCACAATGCATGGTGTTCTGCCACAGACACGAAGATAAATGAAGCCAACATGTTTTCTTGTAGCAGTGAAGGAAATATCCAGTCATCCCAGAGTTGTCAAGCAAGGCACAAATTGTGATGGTTTGATCTAGTATCTTCTAGGGGAACCAAGGACACTCAAAATGGGAACAAGTAAGAGACGCTCAGCCAAGAGTTATTAACTGCACAGGGTAAATTTAAACAAACTGCCGACCAGGTAGCCCACATATCTCAATAAATCAGAATTAAGTCTCCTGTACCTGCTGGTTCAGAAATTCTAATTCCCGTATGCCCAAGAACAATAACGTCTTCTTCAGAATATATTGCTCAGTGAGAGCCTACATCTTAAGAAATTCAATGGTACCTCGGGTTACAAACACTTCGGGTTACAGACTCCGCTAACCTGGAAGTAGTACCTTGGGTTAAGAACTTTACCTCAGGATGAGAACAGAAATCATGCAGCAGTGGGAGGCTCCATTAGCTAAAGTGGTACCTCAGGTTAAGAACGGTTTCAGGTTAAGAACGGACCTCCGGAACGAATTAAGTTCATAACAAGAGGTACCACTGTAAAGCCACATTAGGGAAAAGACAACCTTAACTCAGTGTGGCCGCCTCCAAAAAACCACAAAGAATGGTTGTATCCTTTCTCCTGCTGTGATTATGCATACAGTCTAATGGGTCCTTACCACTGCACCTTCCTGGTTTAATATGCACTGACCTCTGTACTGACAGCAGGCAGTTCTGGTGACTAAAATGGTAGTAATCTCTCAGACTTCGGATGGCCGTGACAAAGAGATCTAATAGAGAGGGGTTGTGTTTGCCTTGAGATCATAGCTGTCAACCTTTCCCTTTTCTTGTGAGGAATCCCATTTGGAATAAGGGAATTTCCCTTTAAAAAAGAGAAACGTTGACAGCTATGCTTGAGATGAGTTCACCTCTTTTCTGGTACCCCTTGCCATGTTACTATTATTGGGTCCTCTGGCCGCTGTTATCCTCTGTTGCACTTTCAACTGTCTCTCTCCCCTCAGGTCAAGAACAATACTCTAAATTTGCAAGATCAGGAGCAATAGTCAGCTGGGATTTGCAAGGCATTGTGATGTCAACCCAGACTAGTCCCTGAACAGCCCTCTGGAAACCACAAGGCAAAATGGGTGAGAAATTCACTATTTAATAACAAGCCTAGAACTGATGGAAAAATGTGTGTGTTCATTCCCCTGCCCCCCGCCCGCCCCCATAACAGAGATTGCAATTGTAATCTAAACATATCTAGCATAACTGCATTTTTGGGAACTGATGCAGAGAAAAGTATTAGGTAAAACCTTTGGAAGTTGTTTGAAGAGTTTTGCCTTTTTTAAAAAAAAAAAGTACAGAGAGAGCGAGAAATCACTGTTTCCAGTTGCACTGCAGCAAGAAAATGGTATCTTTAAAATGGATTAGTATCTATTGGCTGCAGACTGTTGCAATATAACTTACTGTAAGCATAATAATTTCATACTTGAACTTGTAACAGGGAGTTCAATTTGACTGTTTAATGTTATACAGTACATACTATAAACTGAACATAATTGAAGAGCACGCTAACTGAATCTTAGCGTATAGTCTCTTTATACATTATTTTACTGCAGCTACTGTATGCAGATCTCAAAGTGTTAGTACATAAGATATTCATTATACGTGTATGAGGAGGATAAAACCTAAAAGGTTTATAAACATTGTCATCTGCACCTGTTTTCCCAATTACACATTAAAATGCAAGAAATGAACATTTAAACTGCAAAACTATAGATTAAATTTAAACATTGGCATTTTATGATTAACTGATGTGCAGCAATATTAATGGAAATATGACCAAACTATGTTCATGCAAATAAATCTTCAACAGTCTGCAAGTAGTTTCAATATCTGTTCCATACTTTGTATAAAATGGTCTTAAGATATATACTCCGTAAATGTTGTCAGTGCAATATTGTCAGTGAAGAAAATGCGGTGCTAACTTCCTTTTCCCACCCCCCTAGGATATAAAAACTCTCATTTGCACTGCTAAACTTTGTGAACCACTGAGGTTACTTTGTGCTAGGGAAGTTTCTAAGTGAAGTCATCTGAGCTACCTTCAGCTAATGTTTTCAGACAGCTGTTTACCCAGAACTACGGGCATAAAAATATAGCACAGCTGAAGAACAGTAATTACTAGCTAAAAGAGCCACTACAAAAAGCACTTAATCAGAACAGCTTGATCAACACAAACTGTCTGGCTTTGTCTATTGCTGCTGCTGAATAATAATACAAATCAATACAAATTATATAATAAAAAAAAGCTTAGAAAAAAGTTGAATCACCTCTGAAAAATATACTTGCAAACATGTTTGCTAACTACCATGATGTCTCACATCCCTTCCCCAGCATAAACTTCCTTGGAATTATAACTTAAAAGGATGCCTTTTGTTAATTTTATGACAATGTCCCATTATTCCATGAGATAAAATATTAATAAGTTAAAATTAGATTCTTTTACATTTACTGCTAGTAAGCAGGAGGAAAACAGCATGTTAAAACTATAAAGTGTGCTTGGCTAAGCATAAATAGTAACCTATACATTTTGGTTCAAAGACAGTTTGTAAAACTGAATACAGGACAATGCCTTAAGGAGTTTTCCCCTAGTTGTTCTTTTCTTTTCTTTTACTTTTTTGTAATTTTACTCCAGAAACAAAGTTCAATCACTTTAAGGTAGGACATAAAGTGAAGCTTCATACAGATTTTGAATACCCTGACTGGAATATTCTGCAGCTGATCATTCAAATGAAAACACGGCCCTCCTAAGTCCCACCCCCTAACTGCCCATAACCTCACTCACAAAAATAAAAATTTTGGTTAACAAAGAAGAAAGTACAATAAACTCTTGGTAGAACGTTCTTCTCATGAGGCAAGGTAGCATATCCTACAGCCAGATAAGACTTAAAAAATTACATTGCAATTTCATTACATTTTTCTCATAAACATGCAACTCACTGTGAAATACAAAACACTTGGCTCTGAAGAAAGAACAGCTTTATAAAGACAGACTGCATCAATAAAATTTTCTTTCCGATTTTTACATGGTTATAAAACCTGCTTTTTCACTAAAGTTCAGGTACCAGGTTTCATATTATAATGTAATAATTTGCTCTTTGTGAACATAATGTTCAAGAGGAAATATACACATTGACATACTAGACTATTAAAAATTCAGTTACAGAATTTTATTGATACAGCAGATTAAACCAATAAGGAAAAATAAGGGGATAGGATTTCATTACATTATTTATTAACACATAAAAAATTAACATATTAAATCTTTTTTTTTTTTTTTAATGCTCAATGCCACGAGAGGTCCAGGAGTCTGGAATCAATACTGAGGTGCATAAAATGAATCGACTTTCACAAATCTGCATCTGGCTGTATTATTTTATCCCACATCATTCAAAATCAATTTGGCACCTTCGAAGACAGATGGGTGCCAAAGGTAAACACTGGATTAGATACATAAAGATAAAGAGATCATGTATTTCCTTTTTCAAGCAAATAGTGTCAGAAGTGTCACTATTTGTCAAGCTGATAATTTGTTCACAGTTAAATGCCAATAAAAATAAAAATACAGACACTGACAGATATTGCTTGATATCCATTCTAACTCCCCCCCAACCCTCCCTTTTTCGAAATAAACATATCTAACAAACAGTCTGGTACTGTCAGGTTTAAAGCCGCTGTAAAAGCTATACAAGCACTTTAGAAGTCAGAAACATTTCTTTTTTTAAAAAAGGATTATTTACAGGTGGTTTCTTTACTCCATGTGTTTATATAGCCAGTGCACATTACACTTCACAAGAACCCACAGTTAATGATATTAACATGTGTGTGGCTTATGCTTGTGACCTAGGAACTCCAAATGCAAGGGCGGGAAACAAAAGATTGGTCTAACTTCCTTCAGCAACCCCACTCTGAGCACCAACAGCTTCCTTCAGCCTGAAACTATGCATAATAAGAGCATTCTTCAAAAAGACTTCACTTCAAAGGCTGGGAACGTGGATTGTTCATCGCCTTTCCCTTTTGGATGTCCTCCGGCTCACCTGAGGGAAAAACACCAGATGAAGAGTTATAGGCTCTAATCCAGAAAAGAGGTCTATCTAAACAGGCTTCCACACGAATCACCACCTGCTCCATCAAGAACCAAAAGCAGAAATGGGACTCACAACCCAAATTCATCTTAAATTGTTGCAGCTGGGTGGTCAATGGCTCCTTATCAACCCTGGTTTGTACTTCCAGGTACCTTTTAAAACAGGCATAGGTGAACTCGGCCCTCCAGATGTTTTTTTGGAATACAATTCCCATCATCCCTGACCACTGGTCCTGTTCGGGATGATGGGAGTTGTAGTCCCAAAATATATGGAGGGCTGAGTTTGCCTGTGCCCGTTTTAAAATAACCTTTTAAAAGTGTGATTTAGATATAGGAGAAAATAACCATTACTACATGAAAATGTTCTGCTCCCTGAAAAGATGATGGGTTTAATGCCAAAAAACTAGGGCTGCCATTCACCCGTCAAATGGTGCCCGGACAGAATTTTTGAAAACCCGGACCCATGGTAGGCCATATTAGAAGAGTTGTTTTAATTTCATGAATTTCCTAAAACAGAACTTCGGGGGGGGGGGGGGGATTTAGGAGAGATTTTGCAAAAAAAAAAACCTCAACAACATTTGTGTCCGGATTTTCACTTTTTGAAATATGGCAACCCTAAAAAAACTTGTTCCATTCATTTATTTCAGAGGGGTATCATGAAAGAGTTGATTTCAATGGGACTAGGCAGAATCAGGAAGATGGTGAGGCTTACTAGTAATATATCATGTAATGAGTGCTTATTTGGATCAAGACATTGGATCCCATTAAGCACAGGTAACTTAGATTCCCACTGTGCTCACTTCTCTTGTAGTGTGGCATGTAAATAATTGGCCTACCCCACAATAAAATCCATTCATTTCACTTCCCACAGTAAATGTAGGTACAGAAGGTGTCTCTTTGCTGAAGATCAAACTTTAAGACATGTGATTATCAAATGATGTTAAAACAGGCAGGCATGCCATTGTTTGTTTCTGTACCTCTTGAAACATTTGTAGTTATATGTAATAAAATAATTCAAACTGGAGGGAAATGAAATGAACAGATTTAATAGGTAGCTGCAATACACAAACATTTGCTTACTCTGACTGTAGAAACTTCCTCTTCCTCCATTGTGACTTCTTGGGGAATGTCCTGAACAGGGGAACTACTTTGAAATACATCCATCTCTTCAGTTGATTCATTTTCTTTACTTGCTGTTTGCTTTGACCGTCCAGCTCTTCTAAAATGGCAAACCACAAATCAAGTGTATTAATCGAGGAGTGTTAAGCACAGGTCATCACAGCATTTAAGCAAAACTGAACTTATTTCCCGTAAGCCCTTACAGTGCATACATGTTCAAAGGTTGCTGCAAAACTCTGGAGGGACATTAAGAGCACTGCCCAGCAAGTTAACTATTTTGGCAGAATTATCTGAGGTATCAAAATTTTAAAACTAAATTTAATGTACCCCATATTAAATTCACCTCACACTCACCCTTTTTTCTGCTGCGACGGTGGTGTTTTTGGTGGTCTCCCTCGCCTTTTCTGTGGTGTGGATTGGTTCGATTCAGCTGTACTTATTTCAGATGATTCAGACCTGTTTGGGAAGCATATCTCAAAGTTACACAGCAGATTTAGAATTAAAAGAGGCTGAAAGTTAGAAAGCGGATATCAAAACAGGGGGAATACCTCTGTTGTGCTTTCCTTGGTGTCTTGTACTGCCGACCTTTTGGCTTCTGCTCGATATTTTGCCTTTCTTCTTCCTCCTCCTCCTCCTCTTCCTCCTCCTCTTCTTCCTCTACAGGTTTTACTGGTGTGGCTTTTTTCCTACCTCTTTTAGGAGCCTTTACTATTGGCTCTTCCTTTTGCGTAGCAGCCTTGGGAGGTCGCCCTCTTCTCCCCTTCTTTGGTGGGCTATTTTGCTCATCTTCACTTTCTAGCACATCTTCCTTTAGTCTCTTTTCCTCCGACCACTGAGGTTCCTCAGACTCTGAAATGGCCGCTGCTCTCTTTCTCCCACGCTGACCACTCCTAAGTTTTGGTTCTTGCCCCAGTTTATTCAGGTCATCTATACCCAACTTTTCTTCTGAGTCTGTAATGATTTTCTTCCTTCCTCTGGGCTTTTCCAGATCTGACTAAGGAACAAAGAGAAAATTACTTCTCCCATCAAATATCTACTTTCCCGAAGATTCTACTTCGGAAAAACAGATTTAAGATCAAGTGACGCTCTCCTAAAATGGGCTGCAGTATCTTGTCCTTTTAACTTAAAATCTTATCTCTTAACCTTTTTGGCTTTATAGTCATACCTTGGTTTGAAGTAGCTTCATGTTAAGTATTTTCGGGTCGCGCTCCGCAGTGACCCAGAAGTAACGGAGCGCGTTACTTCCGGGTTTTGCCGCTCACGCATGCGCAGACGATAAAAATGACGTCACCCGCATGTGCAGAAACGGCGAATCGCAACCCACGCACGCACAGACGTGGGTTGCGTTCACTGCAGGATGCGAACAGGGCTCCAGAACGGATCCCGTTTGCATCCAGAGGTACCACTGTATTGTGAGAGCACATAATCTGAGGGGGAGGGGGTTAAAAGCAAGGTTAAAGTGAGTAGGGGGAGGAGTTAGTAGCCTGCAGCAGTTCTTCTTAGCTGCTTGCAATCTCTGGGAGTTCATGAACGGGACATGTAAAGGGGGCATTTTCAATGTATTGGTGGAAGAGACTGAAGAGAGTGAGATTTTGACTTTTGGATTAAGGCTGGTTGCTGAGGCGTGATTATGGGTTGTTTGTGTCTCTTTGTTTGTGGGTGTGGCAAAGCACATGATCTGAGGGGGAGGGGTGTTTGAGGGAAAGGCCTGGAGTGCTGTCTCATGGTGTATGTAGGACCAAGAGACATGGGCAGCAAGGGAGCTGCTGCAGTGACTTGCAACACCTGTGCATGTTTTCCCTCCTGCCTGAGAATGTGCAAAACCAAACCTGCAGCAAGTGTAACCTATGGAACCTAAACAGCTTTGCATCTTCTTAGTTCATATTGTGCCCAGACTGGTGCCCTCCAGATGTGATTGACTCCTACTTCCACCCTTGCTAACCACTGGCTATGTGGACAGGCATTGACCGGAGCTGGTGCTCCAAAAGCAAATGTGCTAATTTTCAAAAGCTGGTGCCATTTTAAATTTTCAAGTGTATTCTTTTTTTCTCTCTTTATTTAGATACCTACTGGAGGGGGGGAAACCACAATACACTTAATTCATCCTTACAATTTCAGAATCATCTCTCTTGTCATTCTTCTTTCCAGGCAAAGGCGAAGCCATTGTATAGTCTTCATTTTCGCTGTGGTCCATTTCAGTACTATCAAGTCTGTAACACACATATTCAAATACTTTTTAGAAATATCATTAATTCTGCCACTTCTGATTTAGTATCAAATTAACAATGGCTTCAGGAAAAGGCCCAAAGCAACAAACTTTAGATAACTTAAAACTGTTTAAACATATTTCTATTAGCCTCCAAGATATACCTGCATATTTCAAGAATACCAGGGGTGGGAGGACAGGTGCTATACCATAAATATACTATGCCTCTTGAAGACCTAGCAGGCAAAGTCTACCTTCAGTGCACTGTTGTCCTAAAATACACTTTTTCCCAAAAGAAGGAATGGCATCCATTCACTTAAAAGGAAGACAATAAAGGGGTACATTCACTGGGGACTAAAACCTGATCCAAGTGACCCCAATGCTTGAGGAGTAGCTGGGGGACAGCTGCCCCTCCCAAATCAATAAAAATCAATACTAATCTGAGGTTTTGCACCCACGAAAATCCTGGCTATGCCCATGAGAGGAACAGGAATACCCCTCTCAAGTAGGGAAAAATAGCTTCCCTTTTGTTCCATTTCAACTCAAAGGAAGTCACTGAAAAACAAGTCCTATCCATACATCAGCTTGTTTCATAGGATGCATTTCTTACTATACAATAGAATTGTAATGATGCTGGCACACTGCAGCACGATGGCAGAGAAGCCGGTGGGCAGCCCAGGCAACTAGCGTGGGTGGTGGGTAATCCAGGGGAGACGCAGAGGAACAGCCAGGACAGCTCATGGCAAATCTCCAGGAATCGCCCTGCTCTGTCGTTGCTGTGCACCTCCTGCCAATGCCACCACTGCAGCCTCAGTGGCAGCAGAGCAGAATGGTTGCTGGGGAGCTGCCACACCCAACCCTTCTGTTCCTTTGTGCCTTGCCTGAGCCATGGCTCACTTGAGCCGGGGGGGGGGGGGGACAGTTCGACCGAGCAGGTGGACAAGCAAGGCCAGGAAGGAGGGGGAAACCTGTGGCAGACAATGATGGCAGGCGAGGGGAAATAAAGGAGCTTATTTTTCTCCTTCCACCACTGTTGTTGTGGAAATCTCAAAGAACAAGCCTGCAGGCTTCTCCCCTTCTCCCACCAGGGGCATCAGCCCCCATTGCACCTGTGTTTTGTCTATCAGCACTGGCTAACTCCAGCAACAAAAGATTTCACTTCTGCACTTTCTGTGTTGCCATTTCAGTAAAGAGCTCTGCGGTTCTGTTCCACCCCACCCAACTGGGAAGAAAAATAATGGCGATCTCATATAGCAAGCAAGGGAGCATGTAGGATTCTGCCTTTATGAAGGACCCCATGCCCAACAATATCTCTCCGGTATGGAAGTAGCAGAGGGAATGGCAGGGTCTCAGTAGGAGAGAACATTCTTTGCACCGGGAAGGCTCTGGGTTCAAAACCCTGAGAGGCACTGCCAGTCATAAGGCAATGTTACATCTGCGTAAGACCAGAGATACAAGAGTTCTGTGAAATTATTATTATGGAGCACTTTCTCTTGGTACATGGTAACTGAAATTCTCATGTTGTTTAGCACATCACTATCCTAAGGAACATTAGGCTGAAATACAGCAACCTCAGCTTAATTGAAGCCACACAGTACAGCTAACGGCAAAATTTAGACCAGGCTTCCTCAACCTTGGCCCTCCAGATGTTTTTGGCCTACAACTCCCATGATCCCTAGCTAGCAGGATCAGTGGTCAGGGATGAAGGTCGACTGTAGTCTCAAAACACCTGGAGGGCCAAGGCTGAGGAAGCCTGATTTAGACCTAAACAAAAACCTGCTTCAAATTAAAAAAAAGAAAGTAGCTTAATATACAATTCTGTAACTTGGCATGCTTTTGAGTATTATTGTTACATTATCCTGGTAGGCCAAGTTGTATCAAGAATGTCAGCGTTGATTGATTGATTGATTGATTCATTTCATTCATTTAACAGATGTGGCAGGCAATGATGACAGCATATGGCTGTCGCAGAAATGACATAGCAGGCTCAAAGAAATGGATTAGAGCCAACATTGCAATAAGATTACCGTTAGTGGCACCCACCCGCCCAACTGTGGCTATTTAAAGATCCAATTGCCAATTTGGCTGCACATTTTGTTGCATCAAATAGAAAAAATGACACTCCTCTGGAAGTTAACACTAGTATACCACTAAATAATACCAGTATGAGGGAAAGTTTTACATAGGGTTTATATATTAACTACTGACAATCTAATCGTTTTGCTGTGTACCCACCTCCCTTTGATTCTTCCAGGTGAGGATGGATTTGAATTACTGCTGGCGTTGCTTACGGTTTCCATTCGTGAAGATTTGGATTGGGACTGCTTGCCAGCTGACGAAAGAGGCTTATTAACTGCTCCAAGAACGTTGGCAGCTTTGGGCTGGTGGAGGGGGGAAAGCAAATTCTCAGTTTCAGCTTATTATTTTTAGTATTAGGAATATCCGTCTCTCGGGTAACAAACCAATCTTCAAACCTGCAGTTTACAGTAGGCAATCCCAGAGCCTAACGTATACAGCTTGAAAAATTAAGTTTCAAGACAAGACAAAAGGCTAGACAAAGTTGCCCCTAAGGTGTTGTAGTCTTGCGCCCATAACATCTTCCACGAGCAAAGTCAGACATATCCATGCCCTGCTCTCAATACTTGTTCACTGCAGTGCATTATAGCATTTTGTACACTGGAAATGTCTATTAATTTAGAATAGGTTGCTAATTGGAAATAGGGACTAGGGAAAACAGTTTTGAGACCAGGTGGTTGCCAATCAGAAGAAGAAGAAGAAGAAGAGTTTGGATTTGATATCCTGCTTTATCACTACCTGAAGGAGTCTCAAAGCGGCTAACATTCTCCTTTCCCTTCCTCCCCCACAACAAACACTCTGTGAGGTGAGTGGGGCTGAGAGACTTCAGAGAAGTGAGACTAGCCCAAGGTTACCCAGCAGCTGCATGAGCAGGAAATCTAACCCAGTTCACCAGATTACGAGTCCACTGCTCTTAACCACTACACCACGCTGGGTCTAAATCACCTTCCGAGAACAATTCAAATTGTACCTGGCTACCTAAAGGACAATTTTGGTCACATGTACCTGCCTGTGCATTGAAATCACTACTGTAGGGCCTTCTCCTGATGCTCCCCCAAAAAAATTAGGTGGTATGTGGCACCGCATTCTGAAATGCTTCTCCAAAGGTAACTTGTCTGGTTTGTTCTCTTTATGTTTTCCAGCACTAGACAAATAACTTTATTATATTTTCTAGGCATTTTTAAAAGCCAGCTCCCTGGTACTCATGTGTGTTTCATCTAAAAACCACCATCCTAATCTGCAGAGTTTTTTCTTCTTCTTCTTTTTTTAAAAAAAACCTCATTTAATAAAAAGGGGGGAGTGAGACAAATAAGTTTAATTTGGTGCAATACTAAGTAGGTATATACAAAAGCCCACCTTTCCTGGCGTGAAAAATGATTTCATTTCTGGAGGCAGATAGTTTTTGGTATTACTGAAATTCTGCAAAGAGAAACAAAACTAATTAGAAGAAATATTTCAATAGCAGTTTAGTCAGTATCCTTGGTTGGCTCTTGGGAGCCACACTAGTAAAAAGAGCTTTATTTTTATAGGTATCAGAACAGATTTTTGATTCAATATTATGTTCACGGTAGCAGATAAATTTAATGAAAAACAGCCAGTTTCCCAGCAGCACTTTATAAAGACTGAATACCCTGTGTTATACACAATATTATGGAGTAGAATTTATTAATCTTTCAAGTCTATAAAATTGAGAGCCCTCCAGATACTATGTTGTTTTGTTACCATAGAATAGTGGTTCTCAACCTGTGGGTCCCCAGATGGGACTACAACTCCCATCATTCCTAGCCAGCATGACCAGTGGTCAGGGATCATGGGAGTTGTAGTCCAACATCTGGGGACCCACAGGTTGAGAACCACTGCCATAGAACAAAACAGCTACCCTTTGTAATAAGTTGCACTTACCATGAAATGTTATTCTGGTCAGCAAAGAGTGGAGCACGCAGGTAAGGCTTCACTCCTCTTCTGGAAAGCAGGGTCAAAACTTTTGTTCTTGCCTTCCAGAAGAGCTAACCCATACCTGTAGGCTTCACTTCTCAATTCAGCAAGGAAAGGTCCCAATCCACAAGCCAAATTTTACCTTGTCAGGTTGAGTGAAATACCGAGCTGGAAGTACAGGGTCTTTGGGCGATTCCAAACTATATGTTGTGCTCTTTGATATTATGATGTTCATTGCTATATCACACACTGTGTAAAGTTTCTGGGGGAGGGAAAGAAAGTGATTTTGAACACTATCAGAAAACATCCTAAATTATAACACAAAAGGTATTGAAAGGGTCAAACTTAGAGAATTATTGTTTGAGACAGTCAAAATATCTAGAGTACTATAATTAAAGCAAGTTTTGTATGTAAAAGCTCAGATATATTTTGTAACACCATCAATCTACATGAGGGAAATGGATATTGCAGCGTATGACATAATGTCACCTCTGCTCGGCATATGAATGCCTGCAACTATGGAATCCAGATTATCTGAGGGATAAAATGGTCCAGCCCCCCCCCCCCCCCATTTCAGTTCTACGAAAAATGGAATCAACTTTCAGTATAAGAGAAAAGTAGAATACAAAATTCATTTTATCCTGAAAGAACACACTGCCCAATAAGTTCCACCTTTTACAGCACTTTAACTGGTGGGTCGGGATTCAGCCTGATCCAAGTGGATCACAGCACGAGCAGGGCAACCACGTAAATATATGGTAAATGATTAAGAAATGGGTCCCCAATTGCTTGTTATGAGAAATATGAAATACATTTTTTTAAAAAAAAAACTAACAAAATTTATAAAGCAGCAGCTTAAGAACATCTTATACAATTGCCAAGCACAATTCAAGCAAATCAGCTGGGATGTTCATGAACATCCTATGATATGATAAAGGGCTGTTTCTTTGGATTTTTGGAGCCAAGGCTGATTTTTGAACAACATTATCTCACAGAGAAGCACAGCTGATAAGAAGAAGCAGCAGCAGCAGCCCTGTGTTGGGCAAAAAGATTCCTGCAGTGGAGGACTAGATGACCCTTGTGGGTCAATGATTCTCTCTATGATTATAATAAATTCCTACAATTATAGAAAGAATGACAGAGCAAGAATAAAGGATTGCATTTATCTTACAACAATCTTGGGAGAGCCAGTGCCTATTGTTGAGTCAAGCTGGAATCTGTTAAAGAAACTTCCCCAAGGAATCAGAAGCTATCAATGAGTTGCATGAATCTGACTTGTGACCCAGTGGTTCATAGACTTCACTCTTATTTGCATGGGTTTGCTTGCATGTGTTCATGTTGTTGAAAAGTTTTATTCGTATAACATAGATACTAATTGAGTCTATTTATTGTGCATGAACATCCTAGATAATCACAGCTGCTCAGCCAACCTTCACAAAAAGCTTAATACCTAATAATATAGTACTCTTGAAACAGGGCAGGCACTGTGGTGTCCAAAAATCATAATAGAGTAACTGATCTCTCTCTCTCTCTCTCTCTCTCTCTCTCACACACACACACACACACACACACACACACACTTCAATTATCCTAATTCCTGGGATGGAGACATGTTAGGTCTAAAACTATTTGCAGCATCCAAATATTTTAATTCAACTTACTTCATTCATTTTTGGGTCATCGGGTCCTTGAGCATCCTTTGTCTGTTTGATGTTTTCTACCATTTTTCTGATAAATGCATGGCTATTATTTTCATTTTTAGACATCAATATTTCTAATATGAACCAAAGACACCTAAAAGAAAAATTCCTTATTAAATATAAAACTGTCAGAAAATACAACCATATATTCTGCAAAAGTGCATGGTCATCTGTCCTGGATGCTTCAGCTTAGTTTCCTGCATTGCAGTGGGTTGGACTAAATAACCCTTGAAGTCCCTTCTAACTTTACAATTCAATGATTCTCTATTCACAATGGTTAAAAATAATTAACTGATTTCTCTAGTCTGGGAAAAGAGAGAATTGAAAAAACGATTTCCTTAGCGAAACTAATACAAACTACAAATCAGCATATGAAAACAGACTGACACATACTATCAATTGTATAATGTATCTGATCTTTTTAGAAAGTCTTACTCTTTAATATCTTTCAGTTGTTCGATATCTTGAACTTTGACATAATCGGGATCATGAGCCAGAAGATGGATAGTATACGGAACAACATACTCTGGTAAAAGCGACAAGAGTTTTTCTGAAAGTGTAAAATTGAGGGGGGAAATAGTAAGGTTTGGATTGCTTCGTAATAGCCATCAAAGAATATTCAATTTATATAGATTCCAATATAAATCATTTTCAATCTCAAGCAAATACGTCCACAAAGACAAGTGCATATATGCGGGTGGCCAGAAGATTCCAACTTCTGGTTGAAGACTTTAAAAAGTTGCAGCCCTAAACCTAGAAATAACTGAGAGGCAACGACATCAATATTGGGCAAAAGTTGACTTTGGTCAGAAACCTTGCTCCTGCACATACACAGCTGGAGCTTCCAGGAAATTTAAGGAGAAGGAGAAGGAGAAGGAGAAGGAGAAGGAGAAGAAGAAGAAGAAGAAGAAGAAGAAGAGTTTGGATTTGATATCCCGCTTTATCACTACCCTAAGGAGTCTCATAGCGGCTAACATTCTCCTTTCCCTTCCTCCCCCACAACAAACACTCTGTGAGGTGAGTGAGGCTGAGAGACTTCAAAGAAGTGTGACTAGCCCAAGGTCACCCAGCAGCTGCATGTGGAGGAGCGGAGATGCAAACCCAGTTCACCAGATTACGAGACTACCGCTCTTAACCACTACACCACACTGGCTCTCACTGGCTTTAAGGGCAGCCCCACATACAGCACAGCACAGTAACCTAATCTAGAAATTATTAGGCCAGTACTTACCGCTAACTGCTGCATGCTGCTTCAGATATTCCCTTCTCACATTGATGTTTTTCACAAGGCACTGTCTCGCATGCGCTCTTCTCTCTTTTACGGGGTCTTTTGCACACAGTGCACATATCGCCATATACTCTAGTGGCAACCGTAGCCTTGCTAGACCTTTATGAAGTTTCTGAGCAAATGCTTGTCTAACCTGGTAACATTCATCCTGGGGGGGAAAAAAGATGTTATACAACAATGACTTGTTCCCTATATGTTCACCTTTTCTTAGAAGTCCAATGTACTTTGCTGCACACGTTAACACTGTAAAATTTTGACTGTGTCAAGCTATGTATAATTAGCATGCAAATGCCCAGCAATGCCCTTCTATTTAACTTACATTAATAGCTAATGCACACAGCTGGTACTGTTCTAACGTAATGATTTCGTGATAACAAGGCTCCTGGGCTAGCTTCACAATAGCACTCGCAGCAGCTAGCCTCAGACGAGACATATCAGGTTTGCTGAAAAATAAGAAACGGAATATGAGCTAATTAGGATAATAACCATTAGATTATTGTGCAAAGGCTCTTCATGCTTGGCTCACATTCGTTTTCTCACAACCCCCATTACACGTACCCGAAAGGCAGGAAGGGTCACATGACAAGATCACATGATCTGCCTTCTCAGCATGGCAGTATTCAAACAACCATAGCTCAGCTTATAAAGCAGAGACGAGCGCTGGCCTTCACATATCACCATCAGTAGTTTATTTGGATGCCACTTTGCATGCCGAATTTGTGTCCAAAGCGGCTCACAGTGTATCAAATGAACAATAAGTACAGGTAACTCATATCTCACTTTTATTTCACTAACGCGGTTGCAGCTGTCTGCATTTGGCCGGGAAGTAATTAATTCAATAGGAAGCGGGTGGGGTGGGCCAAAAGATGGGGCAGCAGGGGGTCTGGGCACAGAAACACCCCCCCCCTTCTCTTCCAAGTGAAGCTGCAGGCAAGTGAAGCTGCAGGGAGGGTGTGATAGGTCACTTGCCAAGACCTCAGTAAGTAAACTTAACGACCAGATCTCAGGAGGTAGAGTGAGTTATGGGGGATCGTGCGAGCTTTACACAATATTGCTTATTTGTGCGATGGCCAGGAACGTAACCCCCACGTGAGACGCGAGCTACCTGTTTTAACAATTTTTAAATTATATATTAAAAAATTAATTGCATAAATAAATACAACTTTTTAAAAAAGAAATACAAATAAGCTAACCTAATTTAAAAGCTGAAACTAATAAAAATAATAGCAGCAGAAAAATAAAACTAAAGATTTCCATTTGAATGATCCAGATGATTCAACTGTATCCAATAGCTTGGATCCGAGACTCAAACTTTAAAGATCCAAAGGCCTCTGCATGCAGCTGTTTCACTCCTCCCTTTCCCGTGAGCCACAATTAATCCAGGAAGTCTTCAGTAAATCATAGTTTTCCATTTTTGTTTGAACTGGAAACTATGGTTGCCAAGCTCTGGGACATGCCAGGCTACTAAACCATGGTTTGACATTGGTTTAATCATGGCCCAGGTTGTTTCAAAGCTCAGACGAAACATAAAATAATGATTGGTTAGAGACTTTGGATTAACTTGTGATTTGCAGAGAAGTGAGGGGCAAAGGGGCTCTGTGCATGGTAAAAAGACCTTCTGCATATCTTGGCTTAACAAGCTGAGATATAACAAGGCCAATTTCAAACTATAAAAATTGCGACATAAACTTGTTTGCTTTCCTCTTTCCTTCCATTTTTCTTTGGTGCACAGTGTATTAGACTGCAAGTCTGTGCGCAGAGACGGTCTTATCTTCTGATTTCTCCACAATGTTTAGCAAACTTTATGTGCTTTGAAAGTGATAAATGACAACAAAAATTCCTTAAGAAGAAAGAAAAACTGGTACAGTATCTACTACAGCTTCAAGGACTTGGAATCCACAGCCACATGTGCCAAGTAAACAGAGGGCCCAGTTGGCAGTTTAAGAACATCAATTACCTGTTTAAACACTACCACCCTCCATGCTGACCACGTATGTGCAGCAGCACACAGCAGCATTCTATTTTGCATGCGTATCACTGGATCAGAGATATAACATGCTTCCACTTTCTATGCCAGCTGAAATAAATTACCCAAAAACTAGCTTTCCATCCATTATTTATATACCTAATTTTCCCCTGTTCTGTCAGGTCTCCATCACTGTGCAATATCGTTGATAACAACCTCAGGGTAGAAGTTCCTGATTTACTGAGGTTGTTCTTCATTCCTATCAACCATCGAACCATCATCTTGATGGCCTGGATCTGAAACAAATATGACAAACAGCAGAGGCAAATTATAACAAGTACACTAGATCAATATAATGTCTCTGTAATTACATAGCAGGACACTTTTCTAAAAATGCTGTTCATTTTTAAAAAAAAAGCTTTATAGGAAACCGCATAATCTGGTGAATGGGAAAACACACACACACACACACACACACACACACACACACACACACATATATCTCCATCCCACCAAAAGCAGCTTAGAAGCTAATTCACATCAAGTTGTGGCTCTTCTCCTTTTTGAGTAAGTTGCTCCTTCCTCTCACCTTGCTGTTCCACTGACTACTGAAGATAAAGGCAAAGGTAAAGGGACCCCTGACCATTAGGTCCAGTCATGACCAACTCTGGGGTTGTGGCACTCATCTCGCTTTACTGGCCGAGGGAGCCGGTCTACAGCATGACCAAGCCGCTTCTGGCGAACCAGAGCAGCGCACGGAAACGCCGTTTACCTTACCGCCAGAGTAGTACCTATTTATCTACTTGCACTTTGACGTGCTTTCGAACTGCTAGGTTGGCAGGAGCAGGGACCGAGCAACGGGAGCTCACCCTGTCGCGGGGATTCGAACCGCCTACCTTCTGATTGGCAAGACCTAGGCTCAGTGCTTTAACCCACAGCGCCACCCACGTCCCTGACTACTGAAGATAGTAGACTATAAAGCAGTCTCCAAGTTCTAATCGGATCCAGCCAGCATGGTCAATGGTTGGTGATCACTGCAGAATTTGCCTTTGTGCCTTTGCTAAGTTTGCAGGCCTTCCTGACCAAGTTGCCCTACTTCGAAGCACACACCATATTTGAAAGGTCAACCAAGAATGGCTTCTGTGGCAGTTATCTGTTCTTTACCACCCTAGTGAGTGTCTTGCTGTTGTTCTTCCAGCCATAAGAAAAAAACCTGCCCTACCAGAGAGACAGAAGCCATTAAACACAACATGTATTTAGTGACTGTGTGGTAGGCCCCGAGGAGAAGTAAAATGGTACATAGAGAAGGACTGACAGGACTAAGGAAGACTTGCAAAGCCTGATAAAGTAGGAAAGACAGGGGACAAAATGCAAAGGCAAGAAAAAATGTAATGCTATATTTAATTAGGAACTGGACTTCAGGTTACTGGAGTTTCATGGATTCTTCATGGACCATAACAATTCCATGATATAAAAACCACTGTAAATCCATATTTAGGCTCTTCAGAATCAAATGAATACAAAATGGGGGAAAGAGTGGGTCTCCCACACTAAGTAGTCAATTATATCACTATTTCCCAAAGATCTGAAGAATTTGAAGAAGTGTGCATGCACACGAAAGCTCATACCAATAACAGTTGGTCTCTAAGGTGCTACTGGAAGGAATTTTTTTATTTTGTTTTGACTACGGCAGACCAACACGGCTACCTACCTGTATCCCAAAGATCTGTCACTGAGCACAGATAATGGTATACAGCACTAGGTCATGCTACTGTTAAAGCAGCAAATTTCTGAATACACTCAAGACAGGCTAGAAATGCATAGCTATTCACATAAAGATAAACCTTCAAAAGCTGCCATTTAGGTGGGTTTGTAGTGTCAATTGCTCTCACATAGTAACCTTTTTTTTCTAAACAGAGGACAACTAGCATCCTTTGTATAAGGTGAAGCCAAAGATTAAGACCACCACTACTGAGAAAGTAGTTATACTTGTATCTGGTTAGAAGCTTTAAAGCCTTGGCTATCTAACTGTAAAATGTATGGTGTCCACAATTTAATAAATAATGACATCCATTTTAACAAATAATACTGAATGGAAGCCGCATAAGCGCAATATGACCATGTTATTTACTGATAGTTCATAAATAAATTAAAAGATGTGTCTGCCATGTAGGATATCTTAAAGAGTCTCACAAAAAGCTACTTTAAGAAGGGTGGGAGATCAGACAGAGAAAGGAACAAATTAGCTGAAAGTAAAAGTAGCACTGTAGACAAATAAAAAAAATGTGATAGGAAGATAATTATGTAAATACAAGTATTTAAGTGACTCACCTTTGCAAGTGTCTCAGGAGAAACCTCTTCATCTGGCACCCAGAGCTTAGTTGTCTTTTTACCTGGCATCTGAATAAAATTATATAATTTGTTTCATATACAATATTCAGAGAAGACCACTGTTTTTTCTCTACTTCATCTTAATATACAGCTTCCGTATAGATATATATTATATTATATTATATTATATTATATTATATTATTCTTGTGAACCAAACCAGGAATACAGGACTGGGTGCCTATGCATACACCAATTTAACCATGTAAGCTAAATGGATTTTTCTTTTACCAACAAAAATCACATACTCGGAAGGCATGGATTATAGTGGTAGCAACACTAAACCATCGCTTGTTTTAGCCATGGTATGTTGAGTAAGTTAGGATCCTGCACACCTAATGCTGGCTTGTTTTCTCTTGTGGAAAAAATGCTGTATATATGTTCATGTTTGCAAGGAAAAACATGTTCTGTGACCCCTGAGAGCTAAACAAAACTTGACTTAGCATTGTGTCAAATGCAGTGTTTGTGACACTTTATGAAAGTTGAAATCCAGGATTATAATTCAGAGATATGCATGCTTTTAATTTATGAACACTGTAATACTCAAGAGAATCCATGTACCTGTTTGTGATAGCAGAGAACCTGGTTGTGTGTATTTTAATAAAAAGGGGGAAGGGAGGGATGAAAAAGAGATGATGGGGAATTTTTTTCAAGGATTTACTGCTTTGAATTAATATTAGGTTAAAGTAATTTGGTTACTAACCCAGGGAGGCTTATTTGACACAGTCTGAAAAATATATTTATGCTTTTCACTCCTGTGTGAAGAAAAGGTTTATGCAGACATTATTTTAAGTAGTACTTTATTTTTCCTGTTTCTGAATTTCTTGCTGTAAAAAATAAAGTTATGAGTAAAAAAAAGAAGTTCTTACCCTGTCATTCATTAACAAGTCTTTAACAATAAAGGTGGCCACCAAGGACTTTAATGGGGCAGCAAACTGATCAGGTGCCAACAAGGCTATGTGACCAATGGAAACCAGAGGTGTAATCAGGTGTTCAAGGTTGGTTGGATCTAGACTCTTATGCAGTGGCTAAAAAATAAATACAGCCATTAAGTATTAATAAATATTAATGAAAGTAAACTTAATTGACATGCCCTTAATTAGCAGTCTGTTGAACTAAGTTAAAGATAATCACTTTTGTTCAGAACACAGAAGCATAGGAAACTGCCTTATATTGAGTCAGATCTTTGGTCCATCTAGTTCAGTTCATCCGAACCCAGAATGGTCTCCATGCAAGGAAGATGTTCTACCAGGGAGCTATAGCTCTTCCCCAAACAAACAGAACAAGGAATGGAACCAAATGTTCTTCAAGAAGCACATTTTAACTCCACTCATAACTGCAATATTTTTGGGTATCAAGCATTTAGTTATGGCAGATTCCCAGAAAAATACAAATGTGCTATAAAATTCCCCTTCCCCCAGCAAGAAACCCCCCAATTACCTCAAATATCTGTGCAAATTGTGTTTCTTTACTGGAAAATATTGCATGGATGCAGTGAATAGCATACTTGGCCTGGCGAGGCGGTCCTTTCTTAGCTTTATGATGCAAAACTGGAAGCAAAGCACTAAAAGTAAAAAGTTTTTTTTATTAATGTATATCTGTCACATTTCTTTTGTTTGCTTTAAATAGATATAAATGTAGCGGTCAAAATGTTTCTTTTTTTTTTTCCAAAGTGGAGGGGGAGAAACACGAAAGCTATATTCAAATACTTAATTTTTCTTCCACAGTAGTCTGAAAAAAACAGGTCTTCCCTGAATGCAGAGAGCAAACCCACCAAGCCAAAATCCATAGGGTTTGAAAGTCTGTGGTAATCATTTTGAAGATCCGTGGATGTATTTCCAGTCTCTCAGGATAATTGGTGCACCGAAATATCTGTTTCGTTTGTATTAAAATCTATGTCTTTCCTTTCTAAAATGTTTTTTTACTTTAAGCAATTTGAGGAGCATTTCTCTCAGCACTATGCTAAGGAAAACTGAACAATGCAGGCCTCAAGTTGACTGTGAAAAATAAAAGTCAACCAATTTCGACAGAACTACATCATCTCCAGCTGTGTCCTGGCAACTATCATCAGTAGAGCTTGCTTTGTTTTAACATAATGGCCTAGTTCTCAGATAAAATTAAACCACAGTTAACATAAACTATGTTTTAACATGAATGAGAAGCATGCTGTTGTGCCCTGCTCAAAAAGTCCACACTTGGCTACTTTCCTGCTCCACTCCTACCACGTCAGGCAGGAAACAAGCCCGTCTGATTTGTCGTTTATATGCGAACACAGGCTCATACTTTGTTTCTCTTCAGACAAACTACAATTACAAGCCAAGGCTTGCTCCTTGCTTACTGTTTATGAATTTTTGGGGGGAGAGAAATAAACCACGATCCCAGATTCATATATAACACCAGCCAGACTTTGGCTTGCTTCTGTTCCAGGGTGGTGACAGCGCCTTGTTATTTAGTGGAAGCAACAGGTGCAACCCGACGTCATCAAAATTAAGTGTTTCATTACTGACTTCCCTAAGAGCTAAATTCTGCCCAAGAATTCTAAAACTGTAATTTAATATGGACGGCCTAAAGGTACTGTATTTAACTCACGATCTGATGTGTGGGAAATCCTCTTCAATTTTGCCTCCCGTGTTCTTGAAAATTTGCAGTGCCGCTTCAGCCACCTTTTCATCATCCATTTTCAGGCAAGCCAGGAGGGATTCAAAAGTTTCAGCTGAATGGAATGAGATAGGGTGTGTAAACGAAAGCACCTGCAAAGTAAGCAATATGGTTCTTTTAAAGTTTATTCTCACAACACCCCATACAAACCAAACCATTATATGACTATATTTACTCAGCTCAATTATTAAGTAATCTTTTATATACCAGGAGAAATCAACGGCAAAAAATACATCCACTAAATGCCAAGTTGTAGCCAGTGGCAGTGCTCCAAATGATATAACAGCAGTTCTCAACTATAAAATTAAAATGCACAGGGAACATATGGCAAGACAGACTAACACAGCACTCATTCGCTCCATTTCTCATCAATAATATGATCTGGCTAAGCAACAGCTGCACCCTAAATATGACACACACCCCAGCCTACATAATACTCACAAGTTTGTCTCATGCTTTAGGCCAGGCATGTCCAAGAGGTAGATTGTAATCTACTGGTAGATCACTGGACGTCTGCGGTAGATAACTAGCAGATCATTGGCTCCCCCCAAAGAAGCTGAACAACTGGATCCCCTAAAAAAAGCTCAACATTTTACCTCCTCCCTGAAAAAATCTCAACAACTTTCACCCGAACCCCCAAAAAGGGGGTAGATCACTGCCATTTTTTAACTCTGGGAGTAGATCGCAGTCTCTTGGGAGTTGGCCACCCCTGCTTTAGACCATCCCAACCACAGCATCCATTTTTCCAATAATGCTTCTCACTAACTACAGGAGGAGCTCTTTACCTTAAGCAATTCAAGACCTGCCCTGATTGCCTGATCAGTCGGTACACCTTCATCCTCGTCATCTGCTGTTCCATCTATGGATTTGTTCACTTGTTTAATTAGGGCACTAACAAAGGACAAGATCAAAGTTAATCACCAGTATATAATTTTATACTTGCTGAGCTATAGCTAGTGCTATTTGCATTACTAGTACCAAAAAATCCTTTTTGATTCCTTGCTAAAGTTGCATGTCATATTAAGATAGACATTTTCCTTCCATAGCAAGTAAATAACTATACATTGTTAAAAAGCTTTGATTAAATCTCAACTGATAGTACTGATTGTGATGTACTACTATGAATAACCCATAGTCGCCTTTGTAAAAGTAAAGGACCGTCCTTTACCTTACCATGAATAATACTTTCTATTACCTTTATGTTTTTTATAGCTAAGCAAACATCCTAAATGGAAAGCCAGAACACTGAATTAATGGTAATTTAAAGTGATTTTTTAAAATTATTTTAGGTGATGTCCATTATGTTGATCATAAACATTGTTATAAATGCACAAAGGTCAGGACTTCAGCTATTGCTGTTTTTACTGGTTACAACTAGTGATGAACCCAACACCTTACCCCTTTTGGAAGTGACAAATTTGGGAGAACCATTTTGTTGATTTCATGGGTGGAGCAGCTGTACCTATTCATTGTTTTTTTGTAAGGGAAAATGCTTACCTTAAGAAAAAAATCTTACCTGTAATGTTGTGAGAATTCACTGACACCAAAAGAGGACTTTTCTGGGTAGTTGTGATTCCCCACCTGCCCTGCATACTTCTTGAATAATGCTACACACAAAGTACGTAGCATAATTTCAGCAGCCTTCGGGGTGGGAAAACTATGGCTGCCCAGAAGAGCTCTCTCTTGCTGCTCCTGCTAATAGCAATGACTGCAAAACCCTTTCATACCTAGTGCAAAAAATTAAAATTCTAAAACAATGAATCTATTGCCACCATAAGCAACTCCCTAACCCAAGACTTTGCTAATATGTTTGGCCTCCACCCCTGAAATTTCTCCCTATTCAGAGGACTTACTTCATTTTTCCTTATGAAAAGTGGTAAAAATTTAATTTCTGCAATTTTCTTTGTCTCAGCTTTATAGTTATTACTATTTATAATATAATCATCAAGAGAGGAATAAAGTAAATTTTCTCATCAATAATAAACCTGTCTGTGCAATACCTCCTACCAGTTTTATTGAATTTTACCACTAAATTAAGTGAAAAGAGGTACCTGATAGATTCTGTATCAATGTGCACAGGGGCTATCCTCTCCAGCAGGAACTTTATCATTTCCAGAAATGGGTTTGTAGGTTGCTTGGGATTTCCTAGCTTCTTTGTAATTTCTCGCTGCAATATTCAATGTTAGCCAACAGTTAATTGACAGACAAGACAATTCAATAACCAAAAAGTTATGCTTTAATACCTATTCTTACCACGCATCCTTCAGCTTGTTTGCATGAACACGTTGGGCTAACAAGTGTTTCCAACTGGTTCTTAATTTTGTCGTCATCTTCGAGGACTTGCGTGAATTTCTTCATGAAATCTTGTGCTTTGCCAGGATCTGGCAAGTTTCCTTTAAGGAAGTGAAATATGTTTAGGTTCAATGGGACTTTTATATCACTTAATAGAAAAAAAATTAAGAAGCCTAATACAAACAAACAAAAACTCCACCCCAAAACCAGTTGTAGTTAGCTTCTATTGTGGCTGGCAAGCTTCAGCGATGGGCCACTTGGAAGCATCTTAAGTCTGTGGCAAACATAGGTAGAGGTGACCATTAGGTCCAGTCGTGACCGACTCTGGGGTTGCGGCGCTCATCTTGCTTTCCTGGCTGAGGGAGCTGGCGTACAGCTTCCAGGTCATGTGGCCAGCATGACTAAGCTGCTTCTGTCGAACCAGAGCAGCACACAGAAATGCCGTTTACCTTCCCGCCGGAGCGGTACCTATTTATCTACTTGCACTTTGATGTGCTTTCGAACTGCTAGGTTGGCAGGAGTAGGGACCGAGCAACGGGAGCTCACCCCGTCATGGGGATTCGAACCGCCGACCTTCTGATCAGCAAGTCCTAGGCTCTGTGGTTTAACCCACAGCGCCACCCGCGTCTGACAGAACATATTACAGTGCTACCTCTGGTTACAAACTTAATCCGTTCCGGAGGTCCGTTCATAACCGGAAACCGTTCTTAAACTGAGGTGCGCTTTCTCTAATGGGGCCTCCCGCTGCGCGCATGCCTCTGGTGCACGATTTTCGCTTGCATCCCGGGGCAAAGTTCGATACCAGGAGCAGCTACTTCCAGGTTAGCTGAGCTTGTAACCCGCAGTGTTCACAAGGAGGACGGTTCGCAACCAGAGGTATTACTGTAGTTAGATACCGCCCAGTGAAAAAATATTCCCCCACTACTCCCTCAGTTCTAAATTTCAAACCACTAACTGTACTGATGATATATGTGCTTATGCTAACAATATTCTTCACACAACTTGTTCTGGGGCATTTCAGACCTCACTGTCTTAATACTCCCTCCAAATTAGAAAGTACCTGAATCAACAGTTGAACAAAACAATGAGCGAGGAAACAGTGTTAAAGTATTAAAGCTTTAAAACATTTTTTAAAACTTACTTGTTATTACCATCACTTTTGAAAATATAGCTTTACTACTGGCATCTGTCTGGAAATTAAATGAGAAAGCACTTTTGAATGTCAAGACTTTGCATTGTGAACTCAAACAGCATCAGGTATAATGCTCACCATCATTTCAGAAATAGATAACATCATTTCTATACATCATAAGTTGAATACAATATAAAGCTGGATTTTAACACAGAGCATAAGGTAATTGTTCAGAGTCCACCGCTGCTCTTAAAACCATGATGGGTATATAGATATAGATATATATGCTACATTCCTAAGCATATTTACTCACAATTGGTTTACATTTTGACAAGCAGGTTTGTGCTGTTGGAAATCATCAGGGGAAAAATTAAAGACCAAGGAAAAGACCAAGCAAGCCTAATAATAACCCCAAAATGTGGGTTTCTGCAGTAGCCACCTAACAAAGACTATTCTACTCTATTTTTACCAGTGTATTTCTTTTTATAACAGCAGGCAAAACCATCTGTAGTGTTTATTTAAACCATATTCAGGTTGCTGCCTTTGAAAGTATATTTATCACCTTACCATAATATAAATAGTAGCAACAGTTACGGTGTTGCCAATTTGAAAAACTACACGAAAAAGTTAATGCAAAGAAAAATACTAAGAACCAGCCCTCTTTGAATAACTAAATTCCATTTAGCATTCTCCAGCTTGGTACTCTGTGGACTACAGTTCCCATCATCTGACCACTGGCCATGCTGGCTTGGGTTGGTGGGAATTATAGAGGGCACCAGCTTGGAGAAGGCAGCCGTATGAACGTTCCATTTTATTTTATTTTATATTAAAAAGATGTTTTACATCATCAATGATACTTGTGACTGTGTTATTTCATTTCATTAACTGTTGCTGTTTTTCTAATAAAATACCATCATAATCCAATAATGTTCTCATTTTTACATTGCCAACACATGAACTCCCTACTAATTTTATTAACAACTGCCTATAAACAGGGAACTATGAACACCTGTCAGAAAGGGGCAATCTAGTTATAATGGGAAAAGGAGGACTCCTTTATTTTAAAAAAAATATTACTGAAAAATACTCATTTTTAAAAAGGAATAAAATGCCAGCATGTAGCAATAAATAAAATTTTAGCTTATTTGATTGAAACCAGATAGCTGTCAGAAATGATTTCATTCGCCATAACCCTATCTCACGTCATGCAAAATTTCTCAAATTGTTTATTTTATTTTTTAAGCCATCAAGAAATTCTACAACTCAGTTTTGACTTTTGAGTCAACTGGAAAAGAATGGAGAGGCAATGTTTTTAATGGCAACCGCTAAAAGTTCTGAAGCACAGTCTCGCCTACAGAGCAACTCAAACAATTCAGACCCATCATTAAGCGGGAGTGAAATCCAATACCGGTGCTGAAGTCTGTCAGGTTCTTGCTGCAAAGTTTTCCAGAGGATTAAGCACAAACGAAGCAATTTATTTGAATCAAGCTTTTCTACTCCTTATCAGAAAAGCCAGGCAGCATAAGTCACTGATTACCTGTCAGAATTCTGCGTAATCTGCTTTAAAGACCCTTTCACAGATCACAGATTTAGATATACAATCCCATGGAAAACATGCTCCTTCTGAGTTGCCATTACTACCACAATTTTGCTGCTTAATAGAACACCATTTCTTTAAAAAAAGCTTTGATAGTTACTTTAGTATGGGGAGCTTTAGAGGGACAACAGAAATTTGAAATTATTCCACATATTACTTTCTTAATCTTAAGGAAGAATGTTTCAGGATGAGGGGAGAAACAATTAATGGCTCCACAGCAACGCATACAATTCTGAGGCAAGGGACGCATTCCAACACGTCCATCAAATTTTAACGTGCAAATGTCTTGTCCATATCCATGCATCACTCCATTTCCTAAATAGCAGAGCTACATTCTGCTATCACTTTTGCTATTTTGAACACAACAGCTCCACTTGGGAAGAAGAAAAGCTTGTGACAGCAAGTCTAGGGCCAATGGTTCTTCTTCAATTCAGGCTACCACCTCACACAAGGATGAACTATACTAACCAACAGTTATGTTCATCCTAGCCTAAGAACAGTTTAATTTCCAACTGAGCCTTGAAGGAAAGCAAAGACTTAACTGCCAAAACAGTTCTCTTTTTATTTTATTTTTTAAATGATTTTTATTAATTTTCCAACAAAAGCAAATTTATAACATCATTAAACATCAAAAACTCATCACACATCTTTTTTTCTTTTAGACAGTTCTCTTTTTAATTCACTATAAGCTCTCTAAGAGCAATTTAAATGTCTTTTCAAGCAAACAAAAATTCTCATGAAGAGCCATACTGAACCAGACAAGAGGTCCACCAGTATCCTGTTTCCCAAAGGAATAAGCCCAACACTTCTGGTTGTCAACCATCTAAGACAAAGTCATCACCAAAATCTTGCAGCAGCAGCAGCAGCAGCAGCAGCAGCAGCAAACCCCATTAATTATACGCTGTGTAAAATACAACCCCTCGTTTTAATGTTGAGAGGGGTGAAGAAATCGCTCTCTTTTTTTATAAGTTTCTATCACGTCCTCCTTACTTGTCTTTCATATAAAAAGCCCTAAGAAGCCATTTTTAAAAATCGTTTTCCTAACAACCACATCTCCTCCTCCCATTATTCCCTAAGCCTCTTTGGATGTCTTGGGCTGTTAAGCCTCATCTCGAGGACTGTAAACTCTCGTTTGCCAAAGTAAGCATGTTTCAACCTTAGAGGTACAGAAACATTCTTTCCAAAGCTTCCAGATTAATATACAGACAAGTAAATCCAGATGTACACTGAAAGCTTGTTAAGAAAAGGAAATCAGTAGTTTAAGGACCAGCTCTGATCTTAAAGGTGGAGGGAGATTCAAAAGATCTTCTGCAAACCTCCCCCCTTCCCACTTAAGATCAGAATGAAAGGGAATTGTTACAGGTGGGTGGACCCACTCATTTGCGAAATCTGGCCCACTAGGCAGATCCTGATCATAATCTGTCCTGTAGAGAAAAATGATTACCTTCCCCTGAAATAAGTCATACTGAAAGTAGAATCAGTGAAATCCATGGACTGAAGTTAGTTAAATCTATTGATTTTGATAGGTCTACTCCAAGTATGATTTAGTTTGACACCTTATGGTTGTCCTGGATTGTAAGAAAGATGTCTTTACCACAGAGCCAATATTAATAGGGATATTTACTGCACATTCATTCACTCACTTCATTGTTATCCTGCCTTTCCTGCAAGGAACACATACATGGTCCTCATCCACTCAGCCCATTTTATCTTCACAACAACTTTGTGAAGTAGGGTAGACTGAGAGGCAATGAGTTGGCCCAAGGTCATCCAGTGAACTTCATTGCTGAGCAGTGATCTAAGCATGGATTTCCCTGGTCCTAGTTCAATAGTCAACTGAAAGTCCTTTTATTTTTATTATTGTTACGAAATAATAAAATTTAGTAAACACAATTAAATAAATGTTTTTAATGCTTTTATTTTATAAAACACCTTAATCTCTCACATATTTATTAACATGTTAAAAGGACGATATACAATATCTTTATTGCCATTGTCCCATACAGAACAATGAAATAGACAATAGCTAAATGGGATAATTGCTGCCTTAAGAGTCTTCATAATTTCTACTTTCCTTTTGCTTATTTGATGCTTCTTAAAAGGGACAGCAGTTTCACAACTGCGGTTGAATATTGAGCTTTCTACAAGAATTAGCATGAACTAAGTATTTTGTAGTATGCACAAAAGTTAAAAAGGAAATAAACTTACTTTGGGTTGCTTGATTAAGTCAACCATATCCTTTACTTGGTGCCGCAATAGATTTTGGCATTTCCACATTTCATTCAGTGCCCTGATAGTTAAAATATAAAGAAACAAATAACTGATATAGTACTCATAACTGCAACTTCCTAAACTGTTAGCACTATGAATAGGGAGAAACTTACAGTTAACAATTCACCTGGCTATAAGCCTTTAAGGCCTACTCTTCTGCTGAAGAACTAACAATATTTTGTTCTTGCCCTTAATGCCTTTAGCAAAATATTTATTATTCAGATTCATTTATTTGGGGCTTTTTTGCATCCCTTATTGTCTGCATGCATTTCCTTTGGCAATGTTTGTGTTCCCTTTTTCCCTCTCATTTGGATGACACTTCCTTTTTTTTATCTGTAATAACTTCCTTAACTCTGTTCATTACCCATGATTGTATCCTCTCATAGCTTTCCATATCCATTCTTGTTGAGCTTCTATTATTGCAGTTTTGAATACCATCCAAGCATTCTGGAAAGATTGGTCCCTATTGACTTCCTCTTTCAACTTCCTTTTTATCAATCCATTCCCTTCAATTATTTAAATACTTTGGGTGATATTCAGCGAAGCTGTACTCAGAGCAGACCATTACGATTTAGTCATATTCATTCATCTACATGAGCCTACTCTGGGGAAAAGTTAGTTGAATACCACCCACTAAAAGCAAGATACCAGCTAGGGAGGCAGTTTGAAGTTTGGACATGTGATTCTCTTCCTTCCTATTTTACCCTAACAACAACCCTGTGAGGTAGGTTAGGCTGTGAGAGACTGGGACAAGCCAAGTGAGTTTCTTGCTAAGAAGGGATTTGAAACCTGGTCTTCCGGGTCCTAATACAACACTTTAACCACTATACCACACTAGTTCTCATGTTAGAGATCATTGGAAAGGGACTAAAAATATCACAATGCCATTATACAAATGTTTCTTAATTTATGAAGTGTTTATACACAAATTCTGATACAGAGAAGCAGCTAAAACTTTGCACATAGTGCTAGTTCGGATTATCCTATAATTTCTATCACTATTGTTTTCTAAGCGAATTGTACCCAAATATGCTAATACCTATTAGACAATAATTAATGACACCCATCATGAAATAGTGGGTATGTGGGGCAGACTAGAACCAAATTCATTTTAGCCTTGCCAATTTGTTTCCAATTATAGAGCGAAATAAACCAGTTTCAACTCTGTTCCACCCACAATATGTTTGCAATATACTTTGAGGAAGCACTAAACAGCCTGTGAAAACTGTAATTCACAATCAACGTAAACAGTCAAAAAATATGAAAGACGTAGCAAGGTCTCTTTCCCATTTTCTCTTCTTTCATGTTCAAGGATGGATTTTGATAGAAATCTTAACCTACTAAATACTGAGCACAGTCTGTATCCAGATATTATCCAAGCAAAAATTCTGTCGCACTAAGATTATTAGATCTATTAGCATTGCAAACATCATTATTAGTTCCCAATTTGTCATGTAAAACGTACTTAACAGCATTTGAATCCAGGGTGGCGTAAAGGTAGTATAAACATTTCATTCTTTCATTTGTTTCCAAATTGTGAGGCACCATATACTGAGCAAAGATGCGTTCCACCAGCAGTCTAAAGAGAGATAGTCAATAATAAGCCTCTGTTATATGAAACAAGATTGAAGTTACTAAAGCAAATTTCTCAATATCCACTATGATTAAGTGCATATAAAAACTAAATCAGTACCAAACTGATCGAAGTAAGTCAAATTTAACAAATAAAATTAGCAATGAAATGTTACAAACAGAATGCTACTTATTTAAAATATTTATAAGATCTATAGAAATACACAATGGTTCAGATGTAAATAGAAACTATTGTTTTTGCCAGGTGAACAAGCTTCTAGAAAATTTGAGGCTTACACCCTGATAATTGTTTATAAGATTGCAGTCGTAGTCTGTCATGCTCTGCAATCCCTTCTCCTTTTTGACGTACCATATGAGTTTATCAAAAGCTATCTTTTTTAAACCAATCACAGTTCCCCATGATGCCGGCACTGGAAAAACTGTGCCTTACTTAAACTGTGTTGAGAACAAACCAGGTTAAAACCATGATTTCAGATCCTATCTTGCTCTCACTAACCACATTATGAAACATAAGACCTCAACTTCAGAAAAAAAGGGCAGACCAAGATTTGTTTAAAAATAGTGTCTTTCAATATCCTCCTCAGAGGAGCCTGCAAGAAGTCTCTAGGCTTAAGCAAGTTAATTCACATAGCTGGAAATCAAGGTTTTCCACATAAGAACCCTATGGCTTAGTTTAGATATAAGCTTCATTTGATCAAACAAACTGTGTAGGCCGAGTATGAATATCACACCTATTTCTATGAATGCAAAAGAGTTATGGCCAGAGAATTCAGTACACTTAACATTCCAAGTTCCAAAAGCAGTGCAGACTTTGGAATTGCTGTTTGAATGCCCTCCTAGACTCAATGAGCTGTTTGTGTTCTTTTCCGACTTTATTGCTATTGGTCAGCAGGCATACTCACACAAGGCAAAAGGATGAATACTTCCTAATTGTATATATTCAGGTTAACCTACCGATCATCAATACTGTTTTGATAATATATATGCAGCAGCTTGTCCTTTATCCAGGCAATTTGTTTTGAAGCTTCTTTTCCAGCTTCTGACTGCAAGGAGTACTTCTTGTATATCTGTGCAAGTCCCATCATTGCTTCTTTTCTCACTCTCCACTAAAACAACAACATGTCTCAAACATCAAAATATACCTTTGTTTCTAAATATATTTTCATACACATTTCAAAATTTTGGATTGTTGCAATGTGCTTTATGTGTTGCTGCCCTTGAAAACAATCTGGAAACTATAATTGCTAGGTCCTTCTCCGTGGTGGCACCCTGCCTTTGGAAAGTCTTCCTCCAAAAAGTGCATCTGGTGCCAACTCTATTGTTATTCTGGTGCCAGCTATGACCCATGTGTTTGCCCCCAGGACTTTATGAGTGGTTAGGTGCTGCTTCAATGACTTTGTAATGATTATGCTGATTTATTCATTCTTGCTGTTAACTGTTTTATTGGCTTTATTGGATATTCACTTCTACTATTGAGTGTTTTAATATTGTTGCTACCTGCCCTGGGTTTGAAATGAAGGGTGCTATGCATCTTTACACAATGCGGGCAGTATACTTATCAAAAGGGGGGAGTTTGCTACAATAAGGCAACAAATTAACACAAGGAAAGAAACAGTATTCAACCAGATTTTCCCCCCAGCTGTGTGTGTGTGTGTGTGTGTGTGTGTGTGTATTAAAACCAACAGCCAAAAATAATAATACACAGTTCAATAAAGGTTGTTCCTTATACTTTTGCTCTTCATGCACTAAGATTAAGTAAGTAGCTACATTGCTTTTTCGTAAGATGTGCTACAGACCTAATCTGACATTTGAACAAATTATAAATTCAACTAATCCACTAAACCTAATAATCATAATAATAATAATCATACATTGGGTTGTTTTAAAGTACTATGGCTAAGGCAGAACAAAACAATTACAAAGACTTCTTTACACATTACAAAATCCTGAAGGCACTTCTGTGTGGATCATAAAATGGAAACAGTTGCACACAAAACTTTCACAGTATTCACAACAAGTTCACTGTTTTTTTACTCTCATGTTTATACAATCTCATAATTTAGGAAATGCAAGAATATGTGCGGGTAAAGTAGATAATCACAGTATGCAAATATGCAATTAGTCAATTCTTGCGAGAAATCTTAACGGAAAGGAATTTTTAACATGCTGAATTAGTTGCCTACTCTTGGACTAACAATGACTCCAAGTAATTGACCTACATATACAATGACTTACCCGTTTGTCAAGCGTTCGCTCTCTCACAAAGTTAAGAAGATGATCATTGACAAGCAAAAGATCTTTCTTAGCAGCAGTAACTATTGATACAATAACATCATGCCTGATAGCTTCTTCAGGGTCATGAGACCTCACTTTAAGGTACTCTGTACAAAAAAAGACACCCTAATTAAAACTTTATACTATTATATTGAGTATCCTAAACTGACGTAGACTGATGCTGACACACTAGTCCCAGAGAATGAAGGGCAAAAGCTTGTATAATGGGAGACACTACAACTACAATTTAATATTTTCCTCTTAATAAACTCGCTGTCCGTTATTATCTGATAAGTTGTGAACAAAAGACTTTAATTCATGAAAATAGCTAATTTAATCACTACGGTGTTATATTTGCTTGTCCACTAACAGTTGAAGAATAAGATGCTGGCTACAGGACTTATCAGAAGCATTTAATTGTTTTTAAAGGCTTTTATTTTTAATGGTATGATTTTATGCCCTGGGCTCATTTGGAAGGGTGGGACATTAATTTAATAAATAAGTTCTTCATGGGAAGGCTGCTTTAGACTAGTTATCTTCAACTTTTTCAGACCCAGAACCTACTTTTGACCCAAAGATGAATTTGGGGACCCATTTCTTAATCTTTTACTATATATTTGTATAGTGGTAGTTCCCCTGCTGTGACCAACTAGTGCCTTAGAAAAATATATCTGACTGTATTAGTCAGATTAGGCCACAGGTGAGTGTGAAGGCTTGCTTCCCTACCAGGAGTAAATATCAAAAACCAGGCGCTTTGTAAATGCACTATAAAAACAGTGCTGTTATTTTGCTACTACTAAAAACAGAATAAATGCTAAGAGTTCCTCTTCTTTTGCAGACTCAATTTACTGATACCTGTTAAATCTTTTGCTAGATCTGGATGGTTCATAAGGCAGTGACTAGCAAATTTCACACATTCAAGACGGATAGGTACATGGATATCATTAAACCTGTTTAAAAAACAAAAAAACCACAGTATGTTATCCCTCATTTCAATTTTCATCAAAATGCCATACCTATTCCTTCAAAGAATCAAAAGATAAACAGTCTGGTAAACATGACGGATTAGATTCAGATATTTGCAAGCAGAATAAATTCTACAGGTATTATGTAACTGTTATAACAAAGACTTAGAAGAATACTCTGAAAAGATATCTCAAGGTGCTGTGCAAGAGCCTGGAAACACAACAGCTGATTCCAGCTTTGGCAAGTCTGGATCCAACCCAATATTAATAAAGTTATAATGGCAACGAAGCTCCTCTGCTCAACTTTCTAGTGTCATACAATCTGACATCCAAAGCTTCACTTGCTTATGACATTACTAAGGTATTCACTGTTCAAGAGAATGCACTATGTTCCATCTAGCTTAGTACTGTCTACACTACCTGGAAGCAGCTTGCCAGGGTTTTAAGCAACAGTCTTTTCCTGCCCTACCTAGAGATGCCAAGATTGAACTTGGAACCTTCTGCCTGCAATGTGGATGGTTCTGCCACTGGGCTACAATTCTGCTCCCTTAACCTGCTACCCAACTTGTGTCTGATAAATCAGGCTTGGCCATTTACATCCAAACAGATACTTCAAAAATGTAATACTATAGCCTATTTCTCATTTTAACCAAAGGACAAATCAGCTGGAAGATATACTCTTTAAGCATGCATCTCTTTCATGCAAATGTTTATTAATATATGCATTTGTCACCTAATTAAAAGTCTAAAGCCTTGTTTTTGTTACTGTTCCTTGGAAAGCTCCACAACTGTTGAATATTAATCAAATCCAATATAAACACAGAATTTATTAGTACAGTGTTGTGGTGTTGACAAGAGTCAGATTAATCTACGTTAGCAGAAAGAAGCGAATGGCAGTAAACTAAGTAAGATGGTTCATAATTGTAAGGTTTGTGGAACCACAGATGAAGATCTAGCTTTATTTATGTCAATTTCAGAGGATACAGAACAAATAGTTCATATGTATCTATAGCTCATATTAGACATAAAAGAATTTCTAAAATGCTGCAAAATAACAAAATGTTACATTAAATTTGTTACATGTCACATAGAGGAGGGAGAAAGGTTGTTTTCTGCTGCTCCAGAGAAGCGGACACGGAGCAATGGATCCAAACTACAAGAAAGAAGATTCCACCTAAACATTAGGAAGAACTTCCTGACAGTAAGAGCTGTTCGACAGTGGAATTTGCTGCCAAGGAGTGTGGTGGAGTCTCCTTCTTTGGAGGTCTTTAAGCAGAGTCTTGACAACCATATGTCAGGAGTGCTCTGATGGTGTTTCCTGCTTGGCAGGGGGTTGGACTCGATGGCCCTTGTGGTCTCTTCCAACTCTATGATTCTATGATTCTATGAAATTTCAGTATTTAATTCCCAAGGTAAAGGAACTAAACAATTTATACCTCCCCAGATAGCACTGCCAAAGTGGTTTGTTTTGAGATGCCAACTCTGAATCCTTTGCCCCAAACATTTTTGCTAGTAATTTTACAACCTGCAGGCGTTCTTCATTGTCATTGCTCTGGAAAATAAAATAAGTTTCAATATAAATATATAATGCATACACAGAGAAAGAGACAGACAAGACAGACTCTGTAAAAACAGGTTGTCAAACAAACCTATTTCTTTAAAAAAAAGCATACACATATATCATTTTAAAATTTAAAAAGGTAGCAAATAATAGCTGAGGAAATGAACCAACAAGCAACAAAGTCAGTTTATAAAGGAAGTGATTAAACCTGTCCAGCCATATGACTCTGATAAACAATTTACGAATACCATTTGAGGACCAAGGTATCACTCACTTATTATACTTCTCATATGTGCTTAACTTAAACCCAGTCCTATGCAAGTTTACTCAGAAGCAGGTCCATTATGTTCAGTGGAGCTTGCTCCTTGTTAAGTACACCTAGCATGCGTTAGAAGGCTACAGTTCTAAGTCCTACTTTTGCTTAGGTATAGCTAATAACATTAGTTGTGCATACACTGCCTGCTAGTGCATCTGCTTCACTCCTCCCTACCTCCAGCAAGGAAACAGTCCACAGAGTGGTTGGTTTAGCCTTATGTTCAAACATGTGCCCCTGGTTTATTTCTCCCAAGCAAACTACAACTGGGAAGTTTAGAATATGGTCTGGAGAAAAACAAATCCTGAGAACTGGCTCAGATATATTATAAGACAATTGCATTGTGGTTTGTCTCCCTGCTGGAGGCAGGGAGTGTCAAAGTGGAAGAGCTCCAAGTTACATGGCACAGTCTGCGCTACTTTCCCATAGTTTATGGCTCAGCATTGCGTCCAAACGCTGTCATAGACACTAACATAGAGATGGATGCTATTGCATGCTCTTTCCCCGCTCCTTTTCAGCCTACGGGGCCAATGTTAAGAGGTATGGCAAATGTAGCACAAAGTGGCATTAGCTGAAGTTAAGACTACACATACACCAGAATTCTGTTTCATTTCCTTTTCCCCCTCTTCATTCCAGCTGCTTATGTATACTCCAGTGCTGCTCCTCTGCTTTCATCCCACAGATGCAGAGGGCAACAAAGAAATTATTTACGACCATGTGCTCCTGTGTTCTTTGCAAGCAGATATATGGAGCGTTGAGGGGAATATTAATTCAGCTTGCCAACTGAAACAGCATCTGGACACAGTTACTGCATGTAAAGAGAGCCAGTGTGGTGTAGTGGTTAAGAGCGATAGACTCGTAATCTGGTGAACCGGGTTCGCGTCTCCGATCCTCCACATGCAGCTGCTGGGTGACCTTGGGCTAGTCACACTTCTTTGCAGTCTCTCAGCCCCACTCACCTCACAGAGTGTTTGTAGTGAGGGAGGAAGGGAAAGGAGAATGTTAGCTGCTTTGAGACTCCGGGTAGTGATAAAGCGGGATATCAAATCCAAACTCCTCCTCCTCCATTGCATATAGGTAGTGGACCTGGAATGCTGCAGGGCAGAGGTGGGGAGCCTTTTCCAGTCTGGCCCCCTTCAAGTCATGTGGTGCAATGGGTCAGTGCAACTGGCTGTTAACCAGAAGGTTGGTGGTTCTAGCCCACCCAGGGACAGCTGTGGGCAGGATTATTTCACTGCAGTGGACTAGATGATCCTTGTGGGTTCCTTCCAACTCTATAATTCTGTTTTCAGGGGCCACAGACCAGTGAAGAACAGTACTTGGAAGGGGGTGTGGCCTGAGGAGAACCCAAAGGGCTAGATAAAGAGAATTGCTACAGGGAAACTAAAAGGCGCTCATAAGGAAAAGGAGTTGACGCACCAATGTTCACTGAGGTGCAAAGGATCCAGATTTGATACAACTGATAGAACACTTACCTTTAGTTTAAATTCAAGCTGTGGCAAAACTGATAGTAAAAGATGACTATCAATATTGTATAGCTCCAGAATTAAGTCAAAAACATGCTCCGAGAGATCACTGATAGACGTTTTTCCTAACATAAGCACTTGATTAAAGAACTGTAAGACAAAGCAAGATGTATCAACAGCAGAAGAAGGTTCTCAGCCTCTCTCAACAAACTATTCCAAGCTGTTCTGGGAAGACACCACAAAGGGCTATCAAAATGCCCAGAGGACAAACATGTGACCCCCAAACTCCCGAGTAACTACCTTCTCACATTTGAAGTAGTTGGAAGCCCATCTTAAGAACAAACTTCTATTTTTAACTTCGGCTTAGCTCTTTATATTTCTAAAAGTACATCATTTGAAAGCTAACAAGTACTTTAAGAAGGCCCACTAACCTAGCATTCTACCCAAATGCCTGCTATCTTAGATTTCAGGTAACTCAGCTAGTTAACTGCAGGAAACAATAACATACTAACCCTACGTAGGAGACTTACTCTAGTTTCAACTTAAGCTCATAGTCTAAATTTCCAAGTGCCCTTTAACGCAATGAGCTTTCAAATGTAAGAGAAATCATATTTATTTATTATTACATTTATATCCCGCCTTTCGCCCCAAATGATTCAATTTTTGTTCAATTTGTTTTAAAATGTATGTGCAATGGAAACCACATTTATGCAGAATAACAATTATTGGGTATAGCTGAAAATAAAACATTTCACAATCTACATTAATAATTCTCCCGCGGAACACTGATGTGCCTAGAGCACTGCTATGACAGTCTTTTTCATTTCTGGCAGAGAGACTGTCTTTTTCTTGTACTGAAACAACACCACAAGCTATCGGGAAGTTTCAGAACTCAAATGAAAGCACTGCTCTTAACCTTTAAAGCCCTAAACAGCTTCGGAGCCAAATTATTTGTTGGATTGCCATATCAATCCACCCATTGACCAAGAATGCCATCTAAGGTCTTTCTCCAGATCCCTGCACCATCTGAAATGTGACAGGTAGCAGCTGGAGAAAGAGAGTGTGCACTTTTCCTGTGGTGTTCCATGTGGAATACCTTCCCTGAGAAGGCCTGCCTAGAGACCATGTTACTATTATTTTGGTGTCATATAGAAACAGTTTAGCTTTCCAAGGGTTCTAAGCAAGGGTTCTGACTCTATGGATATGCACGTACTTAGTCATCATCAAATTATATGTTTTACTCAGTTTCATCAGCACAGTCACTTTAAATCCTCACTTACATTAGTAATGTATGGTTCAATAGCTTGGGCCGTCCTCTTCAGTAAAGCCTTTGCCAAGTCATATGCTTGTTTGTTTAAGTTCTGAAAGGTATATTTCAGACAGGAAACGCTGTAAAAGTGTGCTTGAAATGTATGCCCAGATACAAATAAGTGAATTCACGTAACTGGCTTTTTGCAAATCTTCACAAACAAGATGGACAAATGCCGATTTTAAAAAAGGATACTACAAGTATTACACACACAAAAACCCACTATGATTACAATCTATAGAAACAATTATAGAGTTGGTCAATGCAGTGTCAAACTTTCAAAGCTCAGAAAAAGGCTACTATGCAGGCTGCAATTGTCTATGTCCTTTGTTGTTGTTGTTTAGTCGTGTCCAGCTCTTCATGACCCCATGGACCAGAGCACGCCAGGCACTCCTGTCTTCCACTGCCTCCCGCAGTTTGGTCAAACTCATGTTGGTAGCTTTAAGAACACTGTGCTTATCTGGGTTAAGTCCCATTGAACTCTGGGACTTACTTCTGTGTATGCATGCATAAGAGTGTGATGTTGGCCATAAATCCTGGTTTCTGCTATCTTCCATCTCTCAATCTAACAGTTTTCCTTGGTTTAGTTATTTTTCAGACCATAATCCACATTTTAACATTACAACTGACAAACTAAGTTATGTATTACTATTTATTGTTTTATGCTTCCTAGCAAATCAGCAGAACTGCTAGGACTCCAGAGATTATACAGTATAAATCACTAGGATCACTTATAAAACCCAGACGAGTGATCCTGTATTCATATTCTATGCTGTCCAGCTACCTGTTCTTCTGAAATGTGTTCAGTTCTCCAATTTATGTCTAATTATTTAACAGCACCAACATTACTTATCTGTCCCACTGAGAAATACTATTTTGCTCACTACCAACTCTTGCTTTGCTGTACTGTTTTTAATACAGTGGTACCTCGGGTTACATATGCTTCAGGTTACAGACTCTGCTAACCCAGAAATAGTGCTTCAGGTTAAGAACTTTGCTTCAGGATGAGAAAAGAAACTGTGCTCCGGCGGCGTGGCGGCAGTGGGAGGCCCCATTAGCTAAAGCGGTGCTTCAGGTTAAGAACAGTTTCAGGTTAAGTACGGACCTCTGGAACAAATTAAGTACTTAACCCGAGGTACCACTGTATTCGGTTGAGAGCCACCCAGGGTTGATGGGGAAACCCAGCCAGATGGGAAGGGTATAATTTAATTTTTATTTTGATGATGATGATGAAAAAGTTCAGGACACTTACAGCAAAGTCTAATGCAACTTTACTCAGAAGTAAATTCAACTTTGTTCAGCTGAATTTGTGTATAAATAAAAGCACCTACAACTGTAGCCTTAGCCTTTGAAGTAATTGTTTTTGTACAGTATCCTTGCATGGATACAGAAAGCGCCTAACAAAAATCTGTCTTGCCTCTAAGCAAGTGTAATTCTGCAGTGTATGTGGGCTGCACGTCCAAAGGTTGGGATTATATTTCAAGGTTGTATAAAAGCTTTATTTAGTTGCAAATGAATATTTAGTTGTTATAGTAACCAGTTAACACACATCCTTGTTCACAAAACATGCAAAAATGAAAATCAGAAACTCAATTTAAATTGCTTTTTTCCCTTGATGGTATTAAATTATTTAACTCAATTAACCCTGTGAAAAACGGAGTCAGGTTAAATTCAGTTATAAAATACTGTTGAACAATAGCTAGATCAATTTCATTTCAAGATCAATTAATAATGACTAACTGAAAAGTGTACCATGTGACTCCTAAAATGTAATGCTTTCAAATAAAAATTAAAAGCCAGTTGATACTCTTGTGTTTTCCAGATATTAATAGTTCATTGCATCCAGAAATCTGAAACAGCTAATTACACTTCCAAAAACTGGGAAAACCAACATGAAATAATATACATGTAGCCAAGGCAACTTTTCAACAGTCCTCCAAATATGGTGCCTCAAGAAATAACAAAATGGCAAATACACACAGTCTTTATACTCTTGACCAAGCAATGAAGTATTGATAGGATTAACTACAAAAAGGTAGAAACATGAGCTTTCCCTGTGCTATCTAGCGTTGGGAAAATAGCTTTCCTTCCCAAACGTAATTGTTCTTTCCCAAATCAGCTTCAGGAAAAGAACAAATATTTGGCTGAGACACAGCTAGTCAGAACAACGAAGACATAGAGAAATACTGTGATTTGCACCCTTATGTTCCAAGACTGCAAGACACCTTAAGTACTTGAAATATGAACATTTATATTAACATGATTTAGTTAATGTTAGCCTTACAAATTATTATTCAGAAGGGTCATCCATCTGCCTACTTAACCTAGCTGCACACAGCTTTTCTGCCTGCACTCCCCTATCCCAACAAGCGCCACGACAGGGAACACAGCTCTGCTTGCCCTTCTTCTAGAATGGAAGAGTTACTAACAATGCCATTTGAGGACAGAAGAGGAACACACACACGTGAATGGTGTTTGCCCAGTGCTATCTGCCATTAAACTTAAGCAACGCTGAGCTGAAACAAATGCAGTTCTCCAACTTCTCACAAAAAAAGAGCTGATCTCTGTCTAAGAAGTGGGAACAAGGGATGGAGATCTTGGCCAACTTTATTGCTTCAGTTTGGCAGTCTAACCCTGGTTACAGAGCCATGAATAAAAGGTAGCTTCACTCTAACTTTGCCACATACATGCCTGTTGATGCTAAATAAAAGTAACGGAAGCGCCAGGAAATCAGGAAAATGTTATTGCTTACCTTATGTGCAGGCACCAGGTTAACTAAAACTGTGTCCAAAAGCTCCTGAGACACTGTATCACCTTCACAAATTATAGAGCTCATCAAATCCACCATATGCATATGAACCTTTTGATTATGACCATTGCTGAAATCAAGAGGGACAGATTTTCAGCTCATTAGCACAATATAATTCACTATGGTTCAGCCATAAGGTAATTAAGTAAAATAAACTATTATTATGTTTATCCAATATTTCCTTCAAGGAGTTCAGAGTGGTGCACATGATTTCCCCTTGTTCTATCCTCACAACAAGCTGAGAGATAGGTTACGCTTAGAGACAGTGACTGGCCCAAGGTCACCCAGTGAAATTCACGGCCGAGGGGGCATTTGAACCCTGGTATCCCAAGTCCTATTCTGCTTACTAGACAAAATCACTGAATTAAAAGTCACACATATTTTCACACTTTTTTTTTTAATTTGGAGGAATGTGGCCCAGTCCATTTATCACTGTCATTCTCTGATGTAAAATTAGTGACAATGTTGTAATTTTTGCTTTTCACAACTCTAGCATCAAATAGAAGGCTCAGCGGAGGTGAAGTTAATTACACTACTAAACTATGACTAGAAATGTCCATTTCTGGGGATCTATCTTGGCTGATATATAGTATGGTGTTTCTGCAACTGTTCATGACCATAAAGATATAATCTGAGTTGTCATTAAGACAACTCATCATACAGAGCAACTAAGGTAGTTTCTGTACAAATATTGGGTCAAAACCCAGATTGAAATGGATCTAGAAAATCAGTTTCAGCCAAAAGAACCTGGATCTGGCCCAGGACCACCTGCTTGAAGACCTTGCCCACGAAGAGGAGATTAGAATGTACTTCACACCTTCCCTTTTCAATTCAGCCCTGTGGATTTGTCTGCCCCATGTCTAACATCATATGATGTCAGGTGGATGTGGTTTGAGTCAAACCATACTGCTGGCCAAATGGGGACATCTGGCAAGTCAGAGGTTCCCTACCACTAGTGTACAGGATTGCAACCTTAGTCAATTACTTTAATGAACAATGCATCTGTGGCTTGGAAAATTCAGGGTGTTTTAAGTGGCCTGGGCACTTGTAAGTCTGGTACTAATCCCTAACAATTTGAAATACAGGCAACCCCCGATTTGCGCATGGGTTGCATTCTGGGTCATTGTGTGCTCCATCCCATTTTCCAGCCACTTCCAGGTTGCTGCGATGTGCGTGTGCATTGTCACGCACATACTGAAAGCGTGTAAATCGGTCGTTGCCTGTAGTATTTTAATCCCAACCTTTCCATGAATAAATTTGTTGTTAAAGATATATATACTTACTTGATTACAGAAAACAATGTTCTGTACAATTGTGTGAAAATTTCATTGCTATCTTCGAGTTCAAAGCATATGTTGTAAGATTTAACCCACGCAATGTTCTATATAGGAAAAGAAGACAGTTAATGTATCTGGAACAGCAACCTAACAAAAAGATAAAAGCTAAGTCCTGTGGTGTCTACTAGCATGATTTTGGATCTCCACCCATTGATATTTTTAAAAAGTGAACATTTTGCCTGTTTTAAAGCAACTGTGGATAGCTGATAAATAGAAAATAATTTACACTTGCCTCAAGCAAATAAAAATATCTATTGAACTGTGGACTTTTTGTATCTTCTAATCCTTTCAATTGTCTTGTTATGAACATAAATATATCCTGCAAAGGAAAGAACAGGTATTTATTTCACATACATAACAAATATATACTAGTTGCATAAGCATTCACTTCAACTGAAAAATCATTTCTCTATGAACTAGAATTCGTAACATATTTTAACTAACCTCTTATTCTCACAATCAAAGTCTGAAGCACATAAAAAGACAGAAAATATTAGGAACATCAATCAGGATTTTGCAGCACTTGTTTTCACTTTAATTTTATTCTGAATCAGGTTTTGAGCTTTCAGTCTATTACAGTGAATAATGACAGAATGAAATCCTGGTAATAATTATTATCATTATTAAGTATTAAATTTGTGGGAGAGAGTCCTATAGTTTAACTATGCACTGCACGGCATGAAGAAGTATTTTCAGCAATTTCAGCAGCAACAAGAGATGCAGTGGGAAATCATGGGAACAGCTCCTCAATCTTTCCAGGACTATTCAATTCACACACGTTGTCTGACCACCCTAAGCCTTTTCCAAGGCAAGCCAGAACGGATTATGAGTATAAAAACTCATGTGTGTTTACCAACCTGCAGAAAGCAAAATAAACGAATTTTCACAACTCGCCATACGGAGTGCACACAAGTCTTGAAATGAAAAGGGCTGCTGGAAGCAAGATTTCCTAGATACAGCCACCAGGGGGCTTTCTTTCAGACACTAAACTTGTGCGCATAACAGCCCCCATACAGTGTGTGAGCCATTCAAGAGGACAAACCAAGTGTGAGGGAGCTGTCACCTAAGAAGTTTTTTAAAAAAGGGGATGCTGAGCAGTAACCTAGAGAAGAGTAACGACTGATAACGAGAATATACAGATGGAGGTGCTGAAAGACACGAGGAATCAAAAGAGCTGTCAAATCTGCAGACACATGAGTCAGAAGCGTAAGGCACAGTGGAGGAGCAGGTTTCAGAGCTTGGCATTTCAGCAACACCTCAAATAAATCCATACAATGAGGTGGAATATATGCTCAAAATAATTTTGTCTTCTCTACTAGAAGGTCTGGGTGTCCAAAAGGATCGCACAACACCACGTCTTCCAAAACGCTTCCCGGTTTTAGCTCTATGTCTCACATGCTAGATTCAATGTGGCAACTGGGTCATCGAGAGCACTGCCGTTTGAGAGGTTTTGCTGAAGAAAACTCTGCTCCATGGAAAGTTCACATGTATTCTTTTGGGAAAGTGAAAGTTAACTGGACAGGGTTCTTGTCCTCCCTTCTTTCGCGTGTTTGAAACGCCTTTTCCCAAGTAATTTGTCTGGAAATGATCAGGCTAAAATCAAAGTACTGTAACACCAGCACTGACAGACATGCATTTGAAAAGCTAGTTTTATGAAATATATTGTTGTTGGGAAGAAACATTTCAAAATAATTTGTCTGGGAATCAAGACTGTTGACACTGACAACGTTAAAAAAGCACTTTCGAAAAGCTGTGCTTGTGAAATATATTGTTGCGATGAAGAGAGTAAATGTGAACAACCTAGTAAAAGAGGACTGCAAAGCTAGACGTCATTTAACTTTTGACTTATAAAAAGTAATACTGAATGCTTTCAAAACACACTACATAAAGGTTAACCAAGTAGCCATTTCAAGTGGAAACTAATGTACTTGGCAATTTAACATAACAATACTATTGCCTAAAAGAATGTACCAATCTAAATTTCAACAGAGGGGGTAAAAAAATGGAAAGATGATGAGGGAAGCAACAAGGGAAGACTATGAATAAGTGTAGTTAGGCTTCAGTTCACAATCAATTAGCCAACCTGAGTTAATATGGTACCAATCCACTTACTTCAAACTGGTCTTCTATAGTCAAAGTGAGTTCTCTGAACTAACTGAGACATAGACTGTGGCTTCAGAAATTTCAGTGTTGACAACAAGGCAAAGAGAACTACACCTAGCAGTTTTCTATCCAAACCATGTAGCTTCATTCCAATATAACTGTAAACATTTTAAATATAGTTTACTGGGGTTTGTACATCTGAATCAGATATAGCTCACTAACTGTGGGCCAACAAACTACAACCTTAAACTATGGCTTGTCAATCTCAGACTGTGCTAACTGTATGTTATCATTATCTTTACATTTACCTTTTATTAACTTGCTATCCTAGTTTGTTGCTGCCCACCTGCTGACCCGAGATGCAAACAAAGAGCAGCTAAAAAATGAAACTCCTCACACAGCTAAGGGACACATTGGTGCTTTCTTAGACCTTTCACTGTGTCCTCTCGCTGCATGCTAGGAGACTCCTTTTTTAAAAAATTTAGTACACCATCCAACCTAGAGCTGTATACACATGGCCTCTCTAAACTTTTCTCCTATATGTGGGTGGAGAAATGGGGAGGGGGAGGCATTTCACCGACTTTCCCCAAAGAGAGTAGAAATTATCCAGTAACATCTTAGGGCTGAGGCTCACTGTTAGAAGCAGCACTGTGCCGACCCTTTACCAGTACCACAAAGCAGAAACCACATCTGGAACTGTAAAGTGGATTAGTCCCCCCCCCCCAACAGATCAGCATTACATCCAGAGCCATGTAGTCCTTTTTTCCATTCTCCCCAAAACACCTGTATATGAAAATACAACAGCTAGCTTTTCACCTACAGTAAGGTAAAGGGACCCCTGACAATTAGGTCCAGTCGTGACCGACTCTGGGGTTGCGGCGCTCATCTCGCTTTACTGGCCGAGGGAGCCGGCGTACAGCTTCCAGGTCATGTGGCCAGCATGACTAAGCCGCTTCTGGTGAACCAGAGCAGCGCACGGAAACACCGTTTACCTTCCCACCGGAGCGGTACCTATTTATCAACTTGCACTTTGATGTGTTTTCGAACTGCTAGGTTGGCAGGAGCAGGGACCGAGCAACGGGAGCTCACTCCATCACGGGGATTTGAACTGCTGACCTTCTGATTGGCAAGTCCTAGGCTCTGTGGTTTAACCCACAGGGCCACCCGCGTCCCTTCACATGCAGTAGGATGTGGGAATTGTTGGGTTATTCAAGCAAACTGATTGATCAACCTACCCCACAGCAATTAAATTGCCAGATTATTGTTCTAGAGAACAAGAAATCTACAGTCAGACTTGGTGGAAAGAAAATAGGGTTGCTGTTTTTAAGAAACTTTTCTGGAAACAGTGTTTCCCACAATTGGGACTCAAGTTGTTTTTGGATTGCAGCTCCTATCATCCCTATATAATAGGACCAAGTTTGGGAAACAGTGATATAGAACAAGGCAACTTCAAAAAACCAATTTGTCCATAGTAAGGAGCATAAGGAACTCTAGACTGAGTTCAGACTCAAACTATGTATTAATAGAAAATAAATTCACAAAATTCTCTTTACTGTATTTCTGCCCAACACAGGAAACCACTAATTCTATGAGAACCATTTTCTTTAAAACCACTGTTCTGAGAATTGTACAAACACAGAAAGATAATCAGCATGATTTATTCTGCATCTTTAAAATGGATTACAATTAGGTTTACATGCCAATTACAATTTAAATCCATTACTCATGTGTGTTTTAGTTGATTAATCTGTTAGCTAAATCTGCATACATTTGCATATGGGTAAAAGCAATATTTCAGAAGAAAGAGGCGTATTCACTTGTTTTTACATGATGCACACAGTCATTATGCCAGGTATCATCATTCCCATGTGTTAGAGAAAGGGGGGGGTGTCTTTCAAGATAGTCCTTGCCTTTTGCAGTTTACCATATTTTTCGCACCATAGGGCGCACCTGACCATAGGGCGCACCTAGTTTTTAGAGGAGGAAAACACACAAAAAAATATTCTGAATCAAATGTTGCACTAAACTATTTAAAGCAGAAAAGCTGGCGGCTTCTGTCCGCTTTGATGCTTTAAATTGAGCCTCAGAGGAGGGTAGGAAGGGGAACCATGGCTTATCTAAGTCCAGTTAATAATGCTGAACCTGACTTATGGCCATTGAGATTAGCCTGGCCGTCTCAGTGGAAATCTGGGGAGGCTGAGGTGGACATTCCAGTGGTCAAAGTGCGGTTGTGTCTTCCTGCCCGGCATCTATTTCCTGCCCTCTTTCTCCCCTGCACCCCCGCACCCTGCTTCGAGGGAAGGAAGCGGAGCCATGGATCCTCTGCTCGCAACTGCAGTGGATTCCATCCACTTTGAAGCAGGAAAGTGGGAGAGGAGCAGCTTACACTGCTTCAAAGGGAGCCGGGGAGGAGGGAATCCGCTGCAGCCACGAGCAGCGGAGGATCCATGGTCCCCTTCTTTCCCTCCTCCGTGGTTGCTTTGAAGCAGGAAGGTGGGAGAGGAGCTGCTTACACGAGTGTAAGCTGCTCCCCTCCCACTTTGCTGCTTCAAAGGGAGCTGGGGAGGAGGGAATCCGCTGCAGCTTCCCCCACCTCCCGGAGAGCCCGCAGAAGCCGCCAGCTCTTTAAAGGGGCTGCGCGGCTTCTCCTGGCTTTTCTGGGAGGTGGGAGAAGGGACTGATGCAGCCAGTCAGTCCCTTCTCCCTCCTGGGGAAAAGCCCGCAAGAGCGCACGAAGCTTGTGTGCGGCTCTTGGGGGCTTTTCCCGCCTGCCTCCCCCTTGCATTCGCTCCATAGGACGCACACACATTTTCCCTTGCTTTTTAGGAGGGAAAAAGTACGTCCTATAGAGCGAAAAATACGGTAAGTACTTGTATTAAAATATTTTTCTAAAAAAAACTTCTGTCCAATTAATCATGAGCACATTTTCATCTGATTGAAAGGATTTAAAAAACAACAACACACTTACAGCCCTAATTAAAATGAATGTCACATATAATGGTTTTAGAATCAATAAAAGCAGCAATAAGCCACTCAGAAGCGCTGAAACGGAGGATAGAATAGCTGAAAAAGACAAGGACTTTATTATGGACAATAGCAGGCAGACACTTGTAAGGAACTGAGCTGAAAAACTAGAGTCCATGACACACAACACACCATTTTCGATGCCCATTCCATTACAAAGATGGAGCACTGTGCAACTCCTTAGAATTATTGTTTTAGGAGGAAAAAGAAGTTATGTAACTGGAATAATCCACTATGGTTTATCATAATGTGCAATCCCCTCTTCTGGCATGGCCACAAGGAAATGAGAAGTGTTTGCTTCAGTTTCAATTAATCAGAGTTAGTCTTACATGGTAAACTGTGGCTAATCTTAACTATTGTTCGCTTGTTAACTTCAGCTTAAAGTTGCACTTGTTTCAAACAAGTTCATAACAATTAAATTATTGTTATAAATGAATCGCAGTTGAGTTTAACCAATTTTGCCAAGCTCAGATAAAACAACAAGCTGTAGTTAATCCAAAACAAAAATGAAAGCTTCTGAACCCCTCTTCACAACCACCCTGGAAGAGGAAAGGTAAGAGGAAGACCCCCAAGGAAAACCTGAACCATACTCTAGGCCCTGATAACATTATGATGAAACTACATTTTGCCTGGCGAGTTTATAAAACAGTGTCCATGTCCCTAGCAAATGGTCACAAAATGACACTCATTTTCATTCACTACAGAACAATGTTTTTCAAGCAGCTTCTTGACAGCGCTATCATAAAAGAGGCAAATGGGAGTCAACAACTAAGTTCCATAACATACAACTTTTGTCATTTATTGTACAGATACATGAGTCTCAGAAAACAAATACAACAAACTGCAGACAATATAGCTGAGCAAGATGGAACTGCTGAAAGCTATAAACATAAAAACTACTTGCTAACATCACAACACTTCCTAATACAGAAACATATCTCCACCTAAAATTCAAACTACTTTAGAATTCACATAGTCAAAGGAAAAAATGCCAAATGACTTGCCATAATCCAACCCCAAATGCCGTAATTTAACAAATTAGTATCTTTTGATAGCAGGCAACTGACAATATTTATTATTCCTATGAACACACACACACAAATAACTTTAAGGTCATTAGAAGGCATACAGAATGCCAGTGGTTATTAATTGTTTAGTTTTAGTTTTTAGTTTTTGCCTGTTGGAATAGCTTTAAACCTACACAGCTACCTTGCCAACAGCTACTCAATTAAAGTTTTGCATGCTGCCCTAAATCATATAATCAAGTTCTCATTTAAGGGTCATAGGAACGCACAACTGCATTTAGCACTTGCAAAATTTTAGTTCAAGATTCTTTTAAAAGGCAAAATGTCCCTGCTTATCGACTTTTCAATTTTCCTAGGCTTTGTTTTGCAACATAGATCAATCTGTGATAAATAACAGGCAACTGTCACTCCAAGCCTAAATACACTGTAGCAAATATTATCAGTACTGGGCCTATAAGACCAGACTACACCTTAACAATTCCCACACAGATCCTACAACAAATCACTTTAAAATACCTAGCTAACTTCTGGAAATGGAGCCAGTGCTTTTAAAAATATTTAATCCATATCAGTTAGAATATGCAGTGTGAAAGCTCTGCTAAAGAGTTCTAACCTCTCGGTTGTTTGTTTTTGAATGTTTAGAAATAAACATAAAACAGCACTACTGCTCATCCAAAGTCACAGAAAATAAGGATGACATGCAATCTTACCTTAAGTTTATCTGGTGAAGTGTATGGTGCTTCAGGAGCATATATTCTAAAAATATCAGCAAGACAACAAGCTACGAGCAAGCGTACATCTTTATCAGGGTGCTTAAGGAAAAAATCGGAGGCAAGATGTAAAGCGAGATTTAGATAGAGCTCCTTTTCTTCTTCAGAGTCCTGGTCCATATCCATGAATGTTTTGACAACCATCTGCCAAAAGAAAGTTCCAAGATAAGCAACATTCTCTAGAAAAAAAACAGCCCATATTAAAAAAAACCACATACATTACAAGGGCTATTTTTCGGTATGAGCTTCTTCATTTTCCTGACTATTTCGACTTGCCCGTAATGAGGGTAGAATATTGTAAGCTTCAAAATGGTTGAATGTCAAAGTATTTAATCTACAGTCATGTGACAAATAAATTACAGTGGTACCTCGGGTTACATACGCTTCAGGTTACATATGCTTCAGGTTACAGACTCCGCTAACCCAGGAATAGTGCTTCAGGTTAAAAACTTTGCTTCAGGATGAGAACAAAAATCGTGCTCCAGCGGCGCGGCGGCAGCAGGAGGCCCCATTAGCTAAAGTGGTGCTTCAGGTTAAGAACAGTTTCAGGTTAAGTACAGACCTCTGGAACGAATTAAGTACTTAACCCGAGGTACCACTGTACATCTTTGCTAATAGCACATATCAACATGCAATGGCACTAGGAATAAATACACAGCAAAGATGGTTGCTGCTGACAGGAATATACAGTCAAACTAAATCTGTATCTGACAAAGTAGATTCTGGCCTATAAAAGTTGCACTTGTTTAAGGTGCCACAAGTTTGCTTTTGCTGCAGCAAATCAACACAATCGCTCTTCTCATCACTTCCCTTGGGGAAGGGCCATAGCTCAGTGGTAGAGACTGTCCTGCATGTAGAAGGCCCCAAATTTTATCTCTCGGTAGAGCTGGGAGAGACTCTTGCCTGAAACCCTGGAAAGCTGCTTTCAGACAGTGGAGACAATACTGAGCTAGATAGACCAAGGGTCTGATTCAGTGTTTGGCAGCTTCCTATCTTCCTATATATAAAAATGTAAGTCTGCCATCGCACAGCCCCTGTTGGGAGGACTATATCACAACCCGGGATTTGCATAAAGTCAGAGTGAAGGAGGGGAGCAAAAGAGAAGACAGGTTGCACAAAAACAGTGAATATGGCATGGAAGTAAGAAGGGAGAGACATTGAAAGCGGGGAAGTAGTGGTTTAAAACAATGGCTGAACTTCAAGTAAAGCATGGAAAGAGAGGAAAGCAATAGTTTAAAATGGTTTTAAACAACGGCAGAGGTTTGAGAGAAATGGGGATAGAGGGGCACACAGGGAAATTGTGATTTAAAACAACAGAACTGTTTGAATAAAGCGGGGGTGTAAAAAACTGTATGCTTTTTCAGACTGTCATTTAAATATTTATTTCACTGGGAATCTTTTGATACATATATAAAAAAATCTATGCTAGTCATTCTCAGAGTCAACCCATTGATATCAATGACTTGGACGCACTGATTTCAATGGATTTACTCATTATTTTAAAAGAACGTAACAAATTATTCAAGCTTCTCTGGAGTTCAGCTTTGTTGTTCAAAGTACTTCACAAAAACATTTGAAGTTCACTTACACGGCACAGAACTTCTGGAAAATCTAACATGAAAAAGACTGCATTCTCTAACAAAACGTATTTATTACCATAGCATATTGCAATATGTTTTGCTACACACAAAAACCAGCAACCAACCTCAAACACTAAAATTATTAAGCGCAATTTTAGTCAGGCCTAATTACAAAGAGAAGAGTACAATCAAAGTTAATCTTCTAGGTATACCTAGAAACTTATTTACAAACCCAGAAGGCATCAGGTGTTTACTCTATTGAATCTATTTTAAAATTTCAAGATTTTGTAATGCACTCAGTTGCACGAAGCACAAACAGTTGTCTATCCATATCACCCTTTATACCGGGGGGGGGGGGTAATTTATATCTGAGAAAACGTAAGTGTATCACGAATCATTTGGCCCCGTAATTGTATTCTGTCTTTGAACTGTAATATAAATGGTGTGTGATCAATTTTTAGGAGTATCTCTTTTCAAATATTTAAAAAGTAATCAATTATGTACTACTTAACACTCTAAAGATCTATACAATTCTTTCCATGAGAGACTTATTAAGCCATCTATAAAATGATGACATAGAAGATTCCATAAAACTAAGTCGGAAACTCCACTTCTTCTCTGGCCTCTGGTAATGCTGATCTCAACCAATGATTCAGCTAACTGCAAGTAGGAATCCAATTAAGATACCAGCTGGGTACTGGATTCTTTCCTGTGTGCAGAGAAAATAGGAGAAGCACACCGTGGAAGCAAGAAAGGGTGTAATATTTAGGCTGCACAATGTTGGGAAAGCGCCGGTTTTCATACTCAGCAAGCAGCCTACACATGATGGAGCATAACCGTGTCATTTTAATATGCACAGGTTTCGTGCATGGTGGGGCAACAAAATTGTACACATACATCCACCCTAGGTCATGTCTCAACTACACCTCCCCTTGTATTTGTGTCCATAGACCCAGCTCCCAACATGTACGGTACTGTCAACATGTATGATTCTCTCAAAATTCAAAATGTGCCTGCTGGTCCGAAAAAGGTTGGCAGCTTCACCTTAGACCAATAAATAATAACTATACCCAATAGGATCTACGTAAGAACTATTACATTCAACTGGGTATTTAACTAAACATTATATTCAAATTTCGACTTCCATGTCATTATTTCATTCTCGGTTTCCCAGTATCTGTGAATTTCAGAACATACTGTCCTTACTGTCACTTAGCTAGCTAGATAGCTATGACATCTTTTTCCTTCTCTCTCTTCCCCCCTCCCACATATTTACCAAAAAACTGTGACAAACTCTTACCTCTACAGATCTGAGCAGAAGGAGGGAAGGGGACCGTTGTTTGGTATATGTACATGATGAGAATGCTCTGCCAATTTCAGAAGCAAATTACCATGTTTTTCCGTGTATAAGATGCCCCCATGTATAAGACCCCCCCTATTTTTGGGGACTCCAAATTAAAAAAACAACCCTCAGCACTACCCGTGTATAAGACAAGCCCCAATTTTAAACCTATTTTTTTTGTTAAAAAACCTAGTCATACAAGGAAAAAATTGGTAACTACAGTTCACTATGACACATTTCCATCTTGTAATAGAAAAATAAGTTCTGTGGGGAAGTTTACATTCATTGCTGTAGCTCTGCCAGCCCTATGTGACACTGCTGAAGCCATCAACTTCCACCACCCCCAAACTCACAGTAGTGTTATTACTGTTTTATTTGAAAGTAACAATATATTTTTTCTAGTAATGTTAGCAGCAGTAAAAAAATTTTTTAAAAAAGCACAGGAGAGAAAAAATATGATAGGTGCATGAATTAGAACTGCCCAAAATGTGTAATAAAACTGGTCACTCACTTTTAACCGCCGTACCATCTCTTCTTTAGAAATTTTATCAGATATTTCCTTAACGCCGGGTGGATAAGTAATTTTTCCATCATTGGCTCGAGTCTTTGAATGAGCCATGATGCCGGTTTAAAACCTGGAACAGAGAAAAACTGAATTAGATAATATTTAATACCCATCACACAGTTATCTAATTTCTTTTTGTTTTGTTTTGTTTTTAAGACACTGAAGTCCAAGTGGCCAATTTTATAAAGCAAGGAACAAATTTAAGTGACGTGCAAACAATTCTACCTGAACTGTGCTACACTTTTACACATCCAATACGTATGCAATTGTACCACATCTGCTAGTAATCAGACACCAAACAAGCCAACTAGCTCAATATGAAAGTTAGGATGGATATAGCCAAGACAAGAGTTCACAATCTCATTTAAACTAAACCTAGATGATTTCCCCCCCCCCTGCAAATGTAGAGAAACTGACATTTTGACACTTTTAAGAAGCGGGTCAGGAATTCAGAATAAGGGAAAGCAAAAGAGACAGCCATAATGCATAATTTCAAAAACGGAATTAGTTAATTTATAATTTAATGTCTGAATATAGCACATGCTTCAAAGGAGACTCTTAATCTCACCTCAACAGAATCCTCCTCAAGTTTTAACTTTTCTACGTGTAGACAGAAATATATATATATCTAGAAACATAGTGGGTGTGGTGTGGGTGCACGTATTTTGTGTGTGTATGTGTGTGTGCGTGCATATATATATATATATATATATATATACACACACACACACACACACACACACACACACATATACAGTGGTACCTCAGGTACCACTGTATATAGTGGTAACTAACGACGGCACGTCTGCGCGTGCATCGCTTTTCGTCACTTCTGCGCATGATGTCATTTTGAGCGTCTGCGCATGCACGAGCGGTGAAACCCGGAAGTAACGTGCTCTGTTACTTCTGGGTTGCTGCGGAGCACAACTCGAACGCGCTCAACATGAAGCATATTCAACCCGAGGTATGAGTGTACATACATATATACATATATATATACACACACAGAAATTCTGCTATATGAAGAACTTTTATCCAAAATAATCTGTGACACAATACATCCCTAAGAACAAATGTGCCTCAGTGGATCAATTGGCACAGGAGCCCTCTTTCTTCCTACCCAGGCTGACCCTTCCCACAATTACTTCTAAAGAAGTAATTTGCAGGCCAGAACTCAAGACAGAGAGATGGTTGTAACATATGGCATACAGTTAGCAAGCACCAACTTCCCATTACAAGAGTGGTTGGCACACACTGGTGTACATGTTGTTGAGGATGAATCAGGCCATGGAGAGCCTCCACTAAATACTCTCACACTCCCCTCCCATAGGAGCTACTGTACCTCATGGGGGATAAGCCAGTTCCCTGATAAGAAACATTACAAGCTGGAAAAACATACACTCGTATTAGAACTGATGTCAACTGCGTCATTTAAACTACTAGTACACCCATTATTTCATATAAAACTATTTACAAGGTGAATAAAAGGATAGAAGATAAGTTAGGCATTTATCATCTATCTCTCTATCTATCTATCTATCTATCATAATCATCTCTCTATCTCTCTCTCTCTATCTATCTATCATCTATGCTTCTATATAAAAAAAATGAGAAAAGAGGAAAGCAACTCCCAAGAGATGCTGCAGCATTTGATAATGGAAGACACAGCAAAGTACATAGCAAAAAGTCATACCTCTTATAATATGAAAAGATGCTTGTACTAAATCTAAGGTAAACAGAATCAGAAAAGTTTCTTGGTTATTCTAGCTATGACCCTTTTTAAAAAAAAAAAAAAAAAGCATGCCAAATACTACCAAAAATATACTGTGCCGCTTTGGAATACTATAAACTAAAAATGAACAAAACAAAAATTAAGATTATACGCTAGATGCATTTCCATGCACAAGAAAACAAATGCAACAAAAGTTTAAAAAGCAGAATAAAAATGTACTAAAATCCTATTAAAATAAACAAACAAGGAAGTCATTTCTTAAGGAGCCCTGAGCTCAACAGGATTATTCTGTATGCGTCTTGCTCAACCACAGTGTCACTAACTGCCTCCTTCCACTAGCAAGCCTAATAAGCCCCAATCTCCATTCCACACATATTTACTTCATGTAGTGCTACTCAACCCACAGTGGATAGAAAAGGGGTATTGGTTGGGAAATACATTAGTTGCCATCCTACCCTAAAGATCCATGACCCATGTCACATTTTATATAACATAGTAAGAGTCAATACAGGGTGCACACAAGACCACTGTAAAGTATACAGGATTTTTTCCCATCTTAATTATTTGCCTAAATGCACTTGCCTGTTTAGAAGCATGCACACAACACTTTTGCAGCATTCCACACAGGTTTTTTATAAAAAGCATTTCCAAATGACTTAAGCCAGGCAAGATTCAATACATTACATTCCAGCAACAAGCTTTAAAGTAATCAAGATTCAATAGCTGCCTTTTCATCTAAGGTACTTAAAAGTTTCATTCATTTTATATCAGGGAATCCCAACTGTTATCACAGAAGCCATGAGACAAATCAAATAATTAGTTGTTCTCAGGCATTTTACATTACAGAACATACACATGCAGTCTCTATGTTCCAAAGCATAGGTTTTTCCTCTTTCAGATACATCACTTCTCTTATGAGCTATAATATACTTTTTAAGGCACAGGTGACACCTGTCTGTGCCTGATGAGGTCCATCATATGTGAGATATAATATACATATTAATACATAGGCCTCATAATTCACAGGCAGGAGCATTAGAATGGTTAGGGTACTTTAAAATATAGAGAACTGTAATTTGGTGCACACGTAGCTGAATCGCTCCAATTCTGAGAAAGTTAGAAACACAATTTTAATGTCCAGCAGCTGAAACGCAGAATATCTTCTTCTTAACAGTAGCTAGCTCTCCAGCAGAGAATAGAAAGACGCAAATGACAAGAATTAAAAGATTCTAATTTCACACACTTTTAACCATTAGATTGGGAGGGGGGAATTCCTATGACAGTAAAGAATATGAATACATAGTATACTGTTTGTGTTGTGTGCATAACATATATTCAGTTTAAAAGTCACACCAAATCATGAGTTGTAAAGCTTAAATGTGGCTTGACATGATACTGACATTGAGAAACCATGGTTCAAGAGTGACCAGCTAATTAAAAAGTGATGCCATCTTTTGGAAGCAGATTTAGAAGCATAGCTTTGTTACGGTGTGATGTTGAAATTGACAAACCATGGTTATGGCGATTGTTCTACCTCCTGAACCTACTGTGCCATAGTAGGTGCAAGAAAAAGTAACGAATGGCCATCCTGGGAAAAGCAGCGACACTAATTTCCAGTTCGAAGTAGCTTGAGCATTGATAGCCTTGCCGAACCTCAAGGTTTTGAGATATTTCTGCTGAAGAGAAAGAATAGGAGAACAGATGTGGGTGTGAGAACCTTGTGAAGCCTTTAGTACCATCCTCGATCCAACTTCCTTCTCCCCATGCTCAAATAGGCCTCACTCACTACTAGAGGTTCTGCTACTTAGATAAAACATTGAAGCGGTACAAGCGTAAGTCTGGTTTGGGATGTAAGTGGAATACATGGTTTTCTCCTACAGGTGCAAGGCTAAGGTTCATGTGCTTTCCACTTCTGCTTCCCCTCACAGAATCAGGAACAGTGTTCAAAATTATCCAGGCACCAGGTGTGTTTTGCAACAGGTACGGGTCCAATTGTGACTACATGGAGATCTCTGGATGCCAGGATGACAAGTGACATCTCCATCTGGCTGGCCCCTCCAGCTTTCTTAATCACATAAGCAGAAGACCTTATGTATTGCATTTATATCCCACCCTTTTATATCCCATCAATCATCATCATCACCACCCCCTGCAAAGGCACCTAGACACAATCTAGTCACATGTGATGACTGTAACCTAGGTTTAATGTACTATTTGGCGATTAGCTTATATATCTGAGTTTCTCACACTGCAGGAGAAGCTTCTGCTAACTAACCACTGATGCTTGTTATGTCTGAACTTGGGGGAACTGAGGGCTGTAGTTTAACATACCCTCTTAACCTCTTCCCCTCAGAACTGAAGACATGGATCCAGTCTCCAAAAAGCATGCTCCCAGCATGCCACAGGGCATACTGCTCAGCAGCAAGGCCACAAAAAGAATTTAAATAATCTAGATCAAAAAACTTACAAACACAGGGGAATAAACTACTCTGAACTCTTAATACCGAACCCTTCTAGCACATGTGGACAATCTTTTTTCTGTCCAGGGGCATGTTCCCTCAGGAATAATTTATAAGTTGCTGCATGATGGCAGTGTGAGAGGCTGTGGCCAGTGGTAGGGCAAGAGTCAAAAGTGTGTGGAGCCAACACATTTTTCTCCTCCTATCCATGGCCTTCTTTTCCCTCTTTCTGTCACCCTCTTTTCTTGCGGGGTCTTTTTCTAACACTTTTGGGAGGGGTCTTTCTCCCCACTTTTCTTATCCAGCGGTTTGCTGAGGCAGTAACAGATTGCTGAGGTCTGAACTAATTGCTGATATGTGCTTTTTTAAAGTTCAGGAGTCACATAATTTTTGGCCAAGGATCACAGGTTGCCCACACCAGCTCTTCAGGGAACACTTCTATAGGGCATACCTATAGAATAGATGTGGGGGGGGGGAGTCATCAGTACACAGATAAAGGAAAATAATAATAATAATAATAAATTTTATTTATATCCCGCCCTCCCCAGCCGAAGCCAGGCTCAGGGCGGCTAACAACAATAAAACAGTATAAAAGTACAGCATAAACAACACTCTAAAATCATTCATTATAAAATTCATTCAAATCAAGCCACTGGCAACCATTGGGCCAGAGCTCCACGAAGATTGCCGAGGGAGGGAGTCAGGCTGTGCCCTGGCCAAAGGCCTGGTGGAACAACTCTGTCTTGCAGGCCCTGCGGAAAGATGTCAAGTCCCATAGGGCCCTGGTCTCTTGTGACAGAGTGTTCCACCAGATCGGAGCCACAGCCGAAAAAGCCCTGGCTCTAGTTGAGGCCAGCCTAACTTCTCTGTGGCCTGGGACCTTCAAGATGTTTTTATTTGAAGACCGTAAGTTTCTCTGTGGGGCATACCAGGAGAGGCGGTCCCGTAGGTACGAGGGTCCTAGGCCGTATAGGGCTTTAAAGGTTAAAACTGCCTGCATTAAAAGCCATGCAAAGAATTTTCACAAATCATGACTTACAAGAAGTCACTTAAAGCAATGAAGGCGTAACACCTATTAAGTGGAGTTTTTCCAGTATCAAAATTATTCGTTCCCAAGCTGTAAGGGTGGCATGGGAAAAGCCAACCCATTGAAGTGTGTGATATACAACTGACATTTCGGGTTGCATGTTGTTGTGTTCCACAGATTAGTAGTATTCAAGAATCCCAGTTTTCATTCCAAGCACCATCTTGGATCTACACAGAAGCAATAACAACCAATAATAACGTAAACTCAATAAGAATTCAGTCCCCTTCCCCGCAAATTAATTTATAGAGTCAAGCATGTTTATCTCAAAATTTTCACACTCAAGGCAACCAATTCCAGAATAAATGAATTCAAAAGCAGATTAAAAAGCTGTTTGTTACCTAAAAATACATGCCATAGAAGAAGAAGAAGAAGAGTTTGGATTTGATATCCCACCTTTCACTCCCTTTAAGGAGTCTCAAAGCGGCTAACATTCTCCTTTCCCTTCCTCCCCCACAACAAACACTCTGTGAGGTGAGTGGGGCTGAGAGACTTCAAGGAAGTGTGACTGGCCCAAGGTCACCCAGCAGCTGCATGTGGAGGAGCGGAGACGCAAACCCGGTTCCCCAGATTAGGAGACTACCGCTCTTAACCACTACACCACACTGGCTCTCGATAGGGTATCTAAATTCCAACTGTCTTCCATACACAATGGAAGCTAAACTTGGAATGTGTCAAATTTTACAGTAACTGGAAGTCACTTGCTTTTAAAAACAGAAAAAAGAGGCTACAAACATTTGGTTTTGTATTTTTAATGCCACTGAACAAGTGTCCAAGACATATTTAAGTTTTAAAGAATGTTTTATTTAAGATTTATAAACTGCTTCCCAACAAACATTCATAACAATCTACAAACAGATTTTTAAAGCATCAAATTTCAAAACTCTGCATAACATGCAATATAAAATGGCTGATTCACTATTCAGGGAAAGCCTTCTTAAAAAGCTAAGCAATATTGATTGCCCACCCCCCCAACACTGAATGCTTGAAAAACTTCTCTCCGAAAGAGAGTAGCAAAAAACCCCACAATAAATTACCTGTCTGTGACTTGGAATCAACCATATTCCTGAAGATACAGTAGTTAACCACAATCCTCAGATTCATACAACTTTCAGGGCTTAATCAGTTGATAGCATTCTAAAGCAACAAATTACTAGCCAACTGAAGCTCACCACAATGCTCCCCAAGAAATCAAACATTATTAGTAATAAGTAACCTTCATAAAGGAACCTTGAAAAGGAACCTCTCTCACACAGCTCTATTAACTTGCCACACAGTTTCAAATATTTAACAACAGAAAGGAGGCAAATGTGAGCAAAAGACAACGAAGATTGCTATTAACTCTATATAGTTCCATTTTACATCTGACTGGCACCAATTTATATAGTCTATGCTGACAACCCTGTTTTGCAGAGAAACAAGATTTCATCCTAGTCCATCAAGTCTGGCAAAAATACTACCTACAATGTGAGTTCAAATGTCTCGCTGAAGAATATCATAATGCAATCACTAGGACCTATATAGAATTTAGATATATGTGAAACCAGCTATGTAGGCTAGAAACAAAACTCATCAGCTGCGATGACAATCCTTAATCAAAAAAATATTGCAACTCTTCCCCTAACCTTTTGTGTGGATACAAAGAGTCTTTTGTATACGAAGTCATAGGTCTTCATAACAAATCACTGAAAATACTGATAGGTCAGAGATGAGGACCTCTTTTTTCAGTCCAGGACAGAAAGTAGTGGAATTCAGTAAGTGCTGGAGAAAGTGATTTGACTATTTAAAAAATGTTCTGATCTGGTGACTTTACTTCAGTTTCAATGGTGGCACACCCTAAGTTCAAGGCTGCTTAGGATTTGCTTCCTCCCTTCCCATTGCACCCCATGAAAAGCCCCTCCAAGTGGTCAGGGGTCACTCAGGTATATAGTCTGGGACATAGTGTGAAGAAATGGCAAAGAATCAAATGATGGGAAAAATCACCAAAACTTAAGCAAAAGCAACCTGCCACAGAGACTTCCTAAACCTACTCAATTTTTGCTGATTCACCACATCTCAGACTGTTCCTGATTGTCTCCAGACCACTAGCAGAGACTTTTTAGGGTGGCATCAAGACCTAGAGCCATTGTGTAAAGTGTCTCTTGGTTGGTTGCAAGTGGTTTCAAGCCTATAATAGCCTTGTACAGTGGTACCTCGGGTTAAGTACTTAATTCGTTCCGGAGGTCCGTTCTTAACCTGAAACTGTTCTTAACCTGAAGCACCACTTTAGCTAATGGGGCCTCCTGCTGCCGCCGCACCGCCAGAGCACGATTTTTGTTCTCATCCTGAAGCAAAGTTCTTAACCTGAAGCACTATTTCTGGGTTAGCGGAGTCCGTAACCTGAAGCGTATGTAACCTGAAGCGTATGTAACCTGAGGTACCACTGTAATGCTATAGTCAATGTTCTTATTGCCATGTTGCAGATGCATGGCTGAAGCCAAGGCTGAAAGTGACTTATCTAAGACAATAGTATTTAGTGTCCACATCCCATCAGTTGAGGACAGACAATTGGTTGTGGACATACTCAGATTATGGAACTTCCTGCCTTGGGGAGTTAACATCAAGCCTCCTCTCTTTCAGCCTTTTGCAAAACAGTTTAGACACTTTTTATTCTAGCAGGCATGATCTGATAGGACCATTTTTAATGGTCTGATCACTTGCCTTAAGGTGTTTTTAACAATTGTGCCTGTACCTTGCATTATTGCATAGGTATGTTTTATAAACTGATTTTGTGAGTTGTTTTTAGCCTGAATACTGTGCTATACTAGAATAATGCTGTATATATTTCTATAAATTCATAATAGTGAGTTCATGGCAGAAATGAGATTTTTACCAGGCATTTTCATAACTCAGTCTCAGTTCAACCCCACTGTTTGTATAGGGCAGGGCAGGGCAGAAGGAACAAGTGGGAAAGTGTTTCTAACCCTGGCCCTTGGTGGACACCTCCATTGCCAGTCGTGTTCTGCTGCCAATGGAGGTGCCCAAGGTGGACATCTAAATCCCCTCCAGCGCAGTAGATTAGGGGGTTGCATTGCCCTTCCCACTGCCCTTTCCTGTATGTTTTCCAGCTTTACAATATCATTTATGAAATTAGTTGTTTGGGGATGTGCATGGTGTTTTTGTTAATGCTGTACCAAAAATGCATATAATTAAGCTTCTTCACAGCCACGGTCAGTTCAGACCCACCAGCAGATTTGGTTAGTGCGCATCACTTGACACATCCTTACATTCAGTCTCCCTACCATTTTGTTGCCCAACAACCCCACATAGGGAATATCCTCTGCTTTTCAGAGTCTGCTTGAGATTGCACCATTCTGAAAACATCTCTGGAATCTACAAATATACTTCGTTACTTTGATCTTTGGAGTTCTTTTAAGAACTGAAATGTGGACACCAACAGACCCCGAAGACTAGTTTCTTTTTAATTTTTCAGTCAGTTCTACAACTTTATCCTCTTTCATCCCCATTTTACACAGCTCTTCACAATTCACTTCCCCAAAACACTGCTTCACATATGGGCTTCTCTCTCCCAAACATCCTTGCAATTTAACATATGTTCAAGAATTTGTTTAGCTTCCCTGCAGTTTCCTTCCCTTCCTTCAGTGTTTTCTTTTATACTGACATCTTTCTCCAGAGAGTTTCCTACTTCTAGTGCGTTCACTTTTTAATAGTATCAGTTTGTTCCACAAGTACTTTCTTGGCCTGCCTTACTGTCAACTTACATTTACTATGCCATAATTTCTGCTTTTTATTTTTCTCATTTTAGCGATGCTTCATTTGTACAGCTTTTAATGCAAGTCACATTTCTTTCTACAGCCTCCTTGACTGCAATTTAACAGCAATTTCAAGAAACAGTACATTATAAATATAACTGTGACTTTCTTGACAATTTCCCACTCAGCAGAAAGTTTGGTGGTGTTACACTCACTGTTTTGAAGCAGTTGAACAAGATATTTCACATCAAATTCAAGGCACCACTTGGGATTTAATCATAACTCTTGTAAACCCAAATCTGCAATTATTTATTGTGTCTAAGCTTCTGGGTTTATCACAATGACATTTCCCAGTCAATTTTATTATATCAACAAGGTGGCTCCTTGATTTACTTTATATATACCATCCAACTGTCAGTCAATGAGCTGACAATACAGTGCATTTAGTACTTATTTAGCTGGAATTTCTACATACAGTGGTACCTCGGGTTAAATACTTAATTCGTTCCGGAGGTCCATTCTTAACCTGAAACTGTTCTTAACCTGAAGCACCAATTTAGCTAATGGGGCCTCCTGCTGCTGCCGTGCTGCTGCCACGCAATTTCTGTTCTCATCCTGAAGCAAAGTTCTTAACCCGAGGTACTATTTCTGGGTTAGCGGAGTCTGTAACCTGAAGCGTATGTAACCTGAGGTACCACTGTATAACAATTCTGTGGATAAGTTTGTTTCCTTTATTATGGTGGGACAGAACTTCCAACCCATGGGCCAGATTATAGTCAATAGGGGTAGGATTAACTACAGCTCCCATCATTCCCAGCCAGGATGGCCAATGGTCAGGGATGATGGGAATTGTTGTCCAACATCTAAAAGCTACCCCAGTTCCCACCCTAGTGCAACCAAATACTGCTTTGAGCAAAGAAGATCTTCCTTGGCAGCTCATCTGGAGCTGAAGCCAGGCTGCAAAGTAAGGTAGGAAAAAAACAGCACACTTTAACCATTCAATTTTGTGGGGGTGAAAGCACCCCCTGGGTCACTTTTCACTGTGCAATTCACAATAAGCAGATCTAAAAAGTAGTTGTTCTAGGACACAAACTATCACCCACACAGCATCTCCAAACTTCAGCACTTACCACTTACCATTTTTCTACTGGAAACAAAAGAAAATCTGTAGCATACAATGCTCCCAAAATAAATCACATTTTGCCATTAGGGTGTATTTACTATCCTAGTCACTGTTATAATTTTTTCATAGAAAAATGGTCAGGGACACATCACCAAAGAACACTGAGATCAAACACGTTTGCAGTTACATGACAACGGATTAACCAAATTTGCAATCACTACTCCAAGGACCCACTGTTGCAGAGCAGATCTATCTAGAATGACACAACTTTGGCCGACAGTATTTTCATTCGTTTTACAGAGAGCAAAACAACTCATGATTATTGAGCAAGTGTCAATAGGTTGGCACAAACCATATCATGTTGTTTTGGGGACATTTCTCTAACCTAGGACAACTTTCTTGCAAATTTCTAAATGGGTTTAGGAAAACACCCAGAAATAAGTGTTTTCTGGCTCTTAGTGTTTGAGTATTGTCAAACACACTTCTTCTTACACCACAGACAAAAATATTTTCTGGGGTTGCACTTCTACCCCACAATACATTGAAAGTTTCATTGAAGTAGACAATACACCTCCAAAAACTTACTGTGATTGTTTTCCCCTGACACTGGGACAGTGCTTTTTTTACTAGAAAAAGAGGTGCAGGATCTCCATCCCTACCTTACAATTCCTGATTTATTTAACATGCAGAGTAACAATACTGTCAACGTAAGTTTACTTGGTTCTCTCAATAATTTTTATGTAAGTATACTTTCAGTTTCAGGTGCCACAAGTCACCTGTTTTGGCTCTCTTATCATCAGGAAATAGACATATATGTTTCTTTACTCTTTGTTTCTACATATTTTTGTAGACATTACATTTAATCTTCACACTGAGATCTCAGTTTGAATGCACTGATTTTAGCATCTATCCATCCATCAATGCTTTGAGAAAATAAATTGTCCCCATTTCCTTAACCTGATCAGCTTTGCATTAGAAGGAGCACCAGCAAATGAGTCATATTGCAATTCTACATATGTGCTCCCTCCCCCAAAACATCCCTTGTTTTTTAATTGATTTAAATTCTTTATTCTAACACCCGCATTACATTCATGCATTGAGACTTCACAGCTTTGCCTGTCATCTCACTATGAGAATCTGGTCTTAACCCATGTAGCAATCTAAATTTGGCTTCCTGGACTTCCCAACTAAATTATCTGCCTTCTCTAGTAGCCTAACTAGTCATTTTATGATATCAGAAATAGTCACACCATACCACACAGAAGGTAATGTCATGCAATCAAGCTACCCATCACACATCTATCTATGTCTCTGCGGTTACTACATGGATCCTACACTCTATACTATGGGGAATGTGGAGCTCTAAGCCATTGAAAGAACTCTATCGCCATTAGAGAAATGGTGAGGTTATTGCAAACACAGCATGGAACACTTTCTGATCCACTTTCCTCCTCTGTCTGGATTCTGCAAATGTTTTTTTCAATAGAATAAATGGGCAAGAACTCTTGAAAGGGCTACATTCCAATGTGTTTGCCATCAGTTGAAAATTCAGTCATATATTTTCTCTATTTCTAATATTAGACTACCACCAAACTATATTTTAACCTCATTATAAACTCTTTTATAATGATAAAGCAATGAAGCACAAGGTTGTGCTCCAAGAATGTAAGTAGTGCCAGATACAGTCATACCTTGGGATGAATACGCTTCAGGTTGAGCGTTTTTGGATTGCACTCCGTGGCGACCCAGAAGTAACGGAACATGTTACTTCCAGGTTTCGCCGCTTGCGCAGATGCTCAAAATGACGTCATGCGCATGCAAGGAAGCGGCAAAACGCGACCCGCACAGTCGTGTGTAACATTCGCTTCAGGATGCGAACGAGGCTCCAAAACGGATCCCGTTCGCATCCAGAGGTAGCACTGTAATATAAGAAACCAAATTCCTCAAGCAATACTATTCCTAAACATTTAAGAACAGTAAGAAATATTATGAACATTATTCTTAAGAGCTTCAGCGGAAAAGGAGGTCTTATTTTAGCTTGAATCTGTTTAACAGGACACACTACTCAATTCATGGCAAGACTCTCCATAGGTGAATTTTCTACATTTACCCAGTATTCAGGAACTTCCAGTCCAATCCTAGACATGTCTACTCAGAAGCCCCATTTACTTCACTTATGCTTACTTCCAATAAGGAAGTGTATAGTTACAGCCTTAGATAGTGCTACAACTCTTACAAATGTAAACAATGTTTTAGAAACGGTCATTGACTTAAGGATGCAAGCTGATTACATTCTTACCTGCACTAACAAGAAAAGTATCCATTGAAACGATCTCCAGCATTTTGATTCTGAGTAGTAGACTGCATCTGACCTTGCAAACAGTGAAGTCAGATACAGTCACTCCTTCTAACCACCTTCCTCCCTTGCCCCTAGCAGTAAAAGCAGTACATAAAAGCAGTTAAAAGGTATGGGAGAATTAAAAGAGAGTTGCCTTTCCTTAAGGGGACATTTGAAGTAGGCGACAAGTTTACTTCCTAGGGAGAACATACCACAACTAAGAACCACAACCAAGGTTTTTCCCCTCTCTCTTTGAGAGGGAAAGGACAGCTTTATTCACAAACTTCCTAGTGACAGTATGGACACTCAGCACAGCACACAAAGAGCAAGTTCCACCTATGAGTCCCCCTCACTTTTCCTCCTAGGTAAATACAACCATTGCTTTAATCATATTTGCCCTATCACACACCCCAACTAGGTAGTGGAGGGGAAGAAAGGTAGTGAAGGAGCATCTCCACCCCCATTGTTCTGCCCGGACACTGAGGTCCAGCGCCAAGGGCCTTCTGGCAGTTCCCTTACTGTGAGAAGCAAAACTACAAGGAGCCAGGCAGAGGGCCTTCTCGGTAGTGGCACCTGCCCTGTGGAACGCCCTCCCATCAGATGTCAAAGAGAGAAACAACTACAGTACCTGACATTTAGAAGACATCTGAAGGCAGCCCTGTTTAGGGAAGTTTTTAATGTGTGATATTTTAATGTATTTTTAATATTTGTTGGAAGCCGCCCAGAATGGCTGGGGAGATAATAAATTATTATTATCATCATCAAAGCGTGATTTCAGAAAGTGGTTACTAGACAAATATCACCAGGCAGTTCACTATTTGCAAGTCTGCTATATATAGATTTATGACCAATTTAAAATAATAAAATAATAAACATTTTGGAATTGTTTCTTAATTAAAAGATACCAATACTGCATACGAATTTGTATAGTCAGCCTCAAAATACGAATTTGTATAGTCAGCCTCAAATACTTAAGCATGGCATTTATGTTTTTCCTGAAGTAACCGATTTCACAGCTAGCTGCCAATGAATACTATTTAAAGACATTACACCCGTTCAGAATAGTATACTTAACACATGCAAAGTGGGATTGCTGCAATAAGCTCCACCCCTGATTTCCACGTGTAGACTGTACCTTATGCACAATGCCGGTGTGTGTACAAAATGCAAGTCCTAGATTGCATGTACAGAGCCCACCCTCTGTGTATAAGGCACAATCTACTCATGAAGGATTGTTGGCAGACATCTGCACAGGGCTAACAGTATCCCTCACAATGCAGCAGTAAACAGAACTACCCATGTAGGATTTGACAAAATATTATTAACACACCTATAACTGTAACAGAAAAGCAGTGTCATCCAAAAATGCATTAAATCCAAGTTAATGAATAGCATGACCGTGCAAGACATACTTCACATTGCAGTTATAGGTCTCCACAAGAAATCATTACAAAGTGAAAATAACGTGCACCTATGAATTCCTTTACTTTTAACAATAACAAAATATATATCACTGCAGGAGCTGTACTAGTCATCTTGTTGATCTAAGGCTATGCCCACCCCTGATCTTTTTTTTCTCCATCAACCATGAAAGGAGCAGAGCTGCGGGAAGAGAAGCATCTTTATTTACTACATTGCAAGGCTGAAATTTCAGGTCCGGGATCCGTGGGTCAGACAAACTCTCTTTCAAAAAGTAAAGGCTATCCGAGAGCGACCTATCACAATGATGGCAACTCACTGGCCGAAGGAAAAAGTGTGAGAGGCCTCTATTCAATATATGAAGCAACGGGTGCAAGGCAAACTAGCACGATTTGGATATGTTATAATCGAGGCAAGCAGCGCCCACCCCACTTCCTCCGTAAAGGAGGGAGAGAGAAGGAGAGAGAGAGAGAGAGAAAGCGACACGCCTCCAATGCACGGCAAGTTAAGAGAGCATAAAAGGAGGTGGGGGAACGAGCCTGGAGTCCCTTTTTCCCCTTCCCTCCACCGCCATCCTTACCAGGCCCCAGCCAATGGCAGCAGGAAGGGGCTGAGCTGGGGCAGGGTGCCTCTGCGAGGAGAAGGAGGTGGGGGGACTAGCCCAACTAGGGAAGCCAAAGCACAAGGCTGCTCCGGGGCTCTCGGAGCCGCTCAAGTCTTGCAAGGAAAAAGCGGCTCTATTGGGGCGGCTGGGGAAAGGGCAGCCGCGCCACATTTGAGGTGCAAAAGCCTCCGGCCGCCTGCAGCTGCTGTCTCTCTCCCAGAGATAAGGATTGTGCAAAGGGGGACCCGGGCAGGGGAAGAATGGGGCGGGGGAAGGGCAGGCGGAAAAAAAATAAAAATAAAATGTGTGCATTAAAGCGGGATGGGGAAGGCAGACAAGGTCACCCGCCACCACGCTGCTCATCCTCCCGCCACCCCCCAAAACACACACACAGACCCACAATCGCCCCACGGAGGAAAGGGCGACAAGTTCAATATGCGGAGAACGGCCGAGCCGAAGGAGGGATGGCGGCCCCGGGGGGGAGCTGGAAGAGGAGCCATGGGGGGCAAGGAGTCCTCCTCCCCACCCCCCAGCCGCCTCCTGGGTTTGCCGCCTGCCTCGATCGCCGAAGGGCTGGCGGTGGCGCGAAACGGGCTTCCTCCCCGCCTAGAGAAAGAGGGCGCTGCGCTTACCTTCCCAGAGGCTGCCGCCGCCGCCGCTGCTTCTCGTGAAGACGAGGCAGAGCGAGCTCGTCCGCTCCGCTCTCTGGCCCCGCCGCGCTAGGCTCGGGGAGCCGCCGCCGCCGCCGCTCGGCCCCGCAGCCAATCGCCGCGCACCCGCCTCCCTCCCTTCCGCAGCTCGCCGCGGTGCGTCTCCCCCCCACCCCTCCCCACTCGTCGGCTTCAAAATGGCGCCAACTCGTCTCCGGCGGCTGCTTCTCTCGGACAGACCCCGCCACCGAGCGGCAGGGAGAGGCCGGCGCCAAAGTGAGGCAGGAGCGACCCCTGCAGACACCGGGAAGGAAGTGGCGCTGGGAGACGGAGAAAGGGGGGACAGCGACGCTGAACAGCCGTCCCAGAGGCTGCGGGGTGCGTGGGGGCAACTCTTTCCCCCCTCGCGAGGCGGGTGGCTGCCTTCGCAACACAGCGCGTCGGCGGATTCCGCGGTCGCCTAAATAGATTGGGTCTAAGAAGGAAGGAGCCACAGAGGCATGAAACTTCGGATGCACTCCGCAAAGCACCTCCGAGCCTGACCCTGCTGTTTGCAATCGTGCATGCCTGAAGGTCTCGCTCGCAGCCCCTCATTCTTTTTTTGTGCACGGTGGCCAGAGCATGAGATCTCAGTTACGCGGTGCAGTCTGAGCCCCGTTGAGTTCCATGGGACTTCGTCGCAGGTAAGTGCGGGACTGCAGCTTAAGGAAGTTAGCAGTATTTAGTATCTGAAGGAGCAGATACATAGCTCGGGGATACTTCTGGATCCCTTGCTGTCCCTTAAGGCTCACGTGGCCTCGGTGGTGCGGAGTGTCTTCCATCAGTGTCTTCTGCTGGTGGCCCAGCTGTGTGCCTATTTGTACAGGAATAGCCTAACTGCCAGTGTCTGTGTTCTGGTAACCTACCTCCTGGCAAATAGAAGGGGAAGAAATGGAGGCAGTGAGAGATTTTACTTTCTTGGGCTCCATGATCACTGCAGATGGTGACAGCAGCTACGGAATTAAAAGAAGCCTGCTTCTTGGGAGAAAAGCAATGACAAACCTAGACAGCATCTTAAAAAGCAGAGACATCACCTTGCCGACAAAGGTCCGTATAGTTAAAGCTATGTTTTCCCCAGTAGTGATGTATGGAAGTGAGAGCTGGACCATCGAGAAGGCTGATTGCCGAAGAATCGATGCTTTTGAATTATGGTGCTGGAGGAAACTCTTGAGAGTTTCATGGACTACAAGAAGATCAAACATATCCATTCTGAAGGAAATCAGCGCTTAGTGCTCACTGGAAGGACGGATCGTGAAGCTGAGGCTCCAATACTTTGGCCACCTCATGAGAAGAGAAGACTCCCTGGAAAAGACCCTGATGTTGGGAAAGATCGAGGGCAGAAGGAGAAGGGGACGACAGAGGATGAGTTGGTTGGACAGTGTTCTCAAAGCTACCAGCATGAGTTTGACCAAACTGTGGGAGGCAGTGGAAGACAGGAGTGCCTGGCGTGCTCTGGTCCATGAGGTCACGAAGAGTCGGACAGGACTAAACAACAAAAGGTTAGATTACTGCAATGTGTTATATGTAGGGCTGCTGCCCCTGAAGACAGTTTGGAAACTTCAGCTGGTGCAGAATTCAGCAGCCAGGTTGTTCACGGGAGCATGATGGTTTGAACATACTACATTGATCCTTGCCCAACTCCACTAGCTGCTAACTAGTTTTTGGCCCCAAGTCAAAGTGCTGGTTTTGACCTATAAAGCCTATAAAATGGCTCAGGACCACAATACCTCAAGGATTGATTCTCTCCATAGAAACCTATTGAGACACTGAGATCAGCACCTGAAACCCTCCTTTATGTTCCTCTTCCACAAGAGGTCTGGAGGGTGGCAACACAAGAATGGTCCTTTTCTGCAGTGGCTCCCTGCTTGTGGCTGTTCCCAGGGAGACTCAACCGGCGCCTACATTATATATTTTTAAGCACCAGGAGAAAATGTTTCTCATTAACCAGGCCTCTGGCTGATTAACATTCTACATCCTTTTAAATGTGTTTGTGGGAGGAGGGTCAATGGTTTGTTTTGTTTTTATTATGTATTTTGTGTTCTCATTTTGTATTTTTATGTTGTGAACTGACCAGTGATCTTTGAATGAAAGGCGGTGTACAAATTTAACATAATAATAATAATAATAATAATAAGGAGTGTTAGGGGAGGGATAGTACCTCAGGTGGGGGACATGTCATGCTCCTTCTGGGGTAGTTTGTCCATCTCTGGTCCCCACCCTGCACTCAGCTCTATTTAAAACAAAAAACAAAAAAAGTTTTAATGGTATTTATATTTCCTTGGATACAGTACATATTTTAAATCTATTTAATTAGTATATCGATTCCATTTTAACTGTTTTAATGTTTATGTAAAAATGATGCTGAAATTCTGGTTTTTACTATGCTGGCTGTAATAATAAACATTCACACTACACTCAGCTCTTAGTTGTAGCTCCTAAAAGCATGAGACTGCAGGCACATGCTGGGAACGGTTTCGACTGGCCAGCTAAACCAGGTAATGGCAGCTGAGGGGTCTCAAACCCTCAGTGAGTTAGGGACTTCCCCTGCATACGAAGATGGGCTCTGGCAGATTGAGCAGACGAGACCAATAGTGGGTCCAACAGTCAAGAAGGCTGTTTTGGCACATGCTGTAGAGCAGGGGTGGCCAACTCCCAAGAGACTGTGATCTACTCTCAGAGTTAAAAACTGGCAGTAATCTATCCCCTTTTTTGGGGTTCAGGTCAAAGTTGTTGAGTTTTTTCAAGGATGTTGAGGTTTTTTTAGGGGAGCCACAGTTGTTCAGCTTCTTTGGAGGGAGCCAGTGATCTACCAGTGATCTACCACAGGTGTCCAGTGATCTACCAGTAGATCACGTTCTACCTGTTGGACATGCCTGCTGTAGAGGGAAGTGAGGGGCAGATGGATCTCAACCTAGGAAGGTAGCCCATGTAGGAAAAGGAAAACTCTGATCCTAAACCTTCACTGCCTTGTGAGACATCTTTGGGAGAAGAAAAGGCTAAGGAGTAAACCCTACACAAAGCCTGAGTGGAGTCCCTAAGACGGTTGGATGGCAGCTTTTGTGCTTCTTCTGGCAACTCCTGCAGCCAAGCTACTGCCAAACATATTCATTCCTCTGCTTTCATTGAACTACATCAGTGAGGCCAAGTGGTGCTTGTCATCTGGGCAGCCCAGGACCTCCATGCACACTGCCCAGGCCTGTTCCACAAGGGAGGTCACTTCAGTGCTGCTTCACCCCCAGAAATACGCTCTGTTGTCTCTCAAGACAGACGGATGCCAACAAGTTAATGATGATAATAATGGTATGTTCAGTAATTGAAGGGAGTACTTTGCTGATCAAATATTATAAAAGTTCAGGTTGCTTGACACAAATAAACCACCCTACCAACCAAGCTTTTAAAAAGCAGCTGCTTATGCTCCATTGCAACAAGTAGTAAGTACAGTGTAATAATTAAATTGAAACTCAGCACAGATATTGAAACAAAGTGACTATAATCCAGGGGTCAGCAACCTTTTTCAGCCGGGGGCTGGTCCACCGTCCCTCAGACCATGTGGGGGGCCGGACTATATTTTGAAGGGGGGGGGGAATGAACGAATTCCTATGCCCCACAAATAACCCAGAGATGCATTTTAAATAAAAGGACACGTTCTACTCATGTAAAAACACGCTGATTCCCGGACTGTCCGCACGTCGGATTGAGAAAACAGTTGGGCCGCATCTGGCCCCCGGGCCTTGGGTTGCCTACCCCTGCCATAATCAGCAAGTCAAAGTTGGTCTTATCACAAAAACAACCTTGGTCACCCTGGTTGAGAAGAATGGGGAGTGTGACCCTACTGCTGCTTCTTGATCTTTCAGTGGCTTTCAATATCGTTGACTGCTGTGTCCTCTGTTAGTTGACCCCATGGCTTTTGGTCTGTAGGGTCTTGTAGACGTCCATTCTATCTCCTATGCTATATAAAATGGTTGGGAGCTGTCTTCCAGGGATTTGAAGCATGGTGTCATCAGTATGCTTATGGCATACTGATTTCTCAGTCTGATTTAGGAGTGAAGGTATAGAGGTGAAACAGGAACGCACTGCAGTCGCTATGCCACCCTACAAACTCCATTACCTGTGTTGTGTGGTGACTTCAGCTTCGGACGGAACCCGCCCCCCCGATTTTCACTGGAAACCAGTGCCGCTTTTCTGCTGGCAAAAATACACTTGATCGATTCGTATTATTTTGCAATGAACTTTCAGCCTTACACACGTTCCAAGTATTACAATGTAATTCCTTCTCGTAACTTACAATGGTTTTAGCACTTGTAATTTATTATACCCTCATCCTAAACACACTGGCTTGGAAAGAAGAGCCATTGATTTGGGGGATACTTAGAAACAGCTTAGAATGGCTGCCATAAAACAGCACAGCTGAATTTGGAACATGGAGAGCTGATCACATAAGCTACATGACTATATCTGATTTGAGACAGGACAGTTCTGCCAACGCATCTGACCTATTGTTTCATTATGTGAGATCACTTCATATGTCACACAAACCCAATAAAAGTGCAGGCTGGTCATAAGCATATTAACTTAGAAATCAGTTTTGTTGAGTTTAGTGGGCATTCCCAAATAATTGTGTATGGGAATACATCCTTAAGATCAATGAGCAAAAGGATACTTTCTCTTCAAAGGGTACACTGGGATTAAAGATAGAGATCTGCAAGAAGCCAGCAAATATATAACATGTTAGTCTTAAATTAATGTTTCTGCTACAGCAGTTGTGACGCTGTATTTACAAGAGACAGCTAGCTTCAATGCTTTCAGTTAGCAAACAGGCACCCATGCTACTTTATGAAACATTAACCTCTAGAGATAGAAGATAAATCAGCTTTTGCTGAGACATTAGCATTGTTTGCGCCACCTTCCAGCTGCTCACTAACTAAAGTTCTGGACAACTGATAGGATAGGAATGTACTTCTTCAGAGGATAAACAATCAGGCTGACTTAGTAACCAGCAACCATTCACTTTTAGATTTGGTGTTTTTAAAACTAAAGTAACTGTTCCAAAAGGGATATATCATTTGTTCTTTCATTTGCATTTCCACAAATCTCCTTTCCCATTTGTTTTATTAGCTAAACTTCTAATATGCCACCTTTTCTCCAAGGAACTCAAAGTGGCACACATGATTTTCCCTCCCTTCCATTTTATTTTCACAACAACCCTGTGGGGTGGGTGAGGTTAAGAGATAGTGGCAGGCCCAAGGTCCCCCAGTAGCTTTGCAGCTGAGTAGGAATTCAGATGGTTGGAGAGTTACAGCGCCTGCTGTGGCTGTAGAGACCAATGTGGGAGAGACATGTTTTGTTGCAGCTGGGGCAGATGAAGATGCACCGTGGCCTTTCTTCTCTCTGTGCTCCTCCCAGCTTGTTGCTTCATGGGTAGAACAAGAAAAGTGGGGGGAAAGCACCTCGAATGAACAAAATGAAAAAAGAGGAACAGGTAATGATGAGCTCTAATGAAAAATGCTAATGGTTCGGAGTAAAACATTTATCCATCAGGAGCCATGAACAAAAGCAACGTACAACATGAATACAATGATTTTTAAAAATATGACATAAATAACAAAAAAGAATTGTGTCATAAAATGTTAACATATACATACACTCGTCAAAAAAATAAATAAATCCTTGAAACACACACCCATAACATATCATAAAACTGCATCAAACTCATAATATTTTTAAAAAGGAAAGAGAAACAAAACTTTTTCCTTTTCTACCATTGTTCTAGGCTCAGAAGAGCAGATGTGCAGGTCCCTCTATTTCTGAGTACTTTCCTCTACAGTGGTACTTCGGGTTACATACGCTTCAGGTTACAGACTCCGGTAACCCAGAAATATTACCTCGAGTTAAGAACTTTGCTTCAGGATGAGAACAGAAATCGTGCTCTGGCGGCAGCAGGAGGCCCCATTAGCTAAAGTGGTGCTTCAGGTTAAGAACGAACCTCCGGAATGAATTAAGTACTTAACCCGAGGTACCACTATATCTGCTATTTCATTTGAGGGGCCTGACTTCTTCATTTAATTAATAGCAAAGCCACATACATTCAGTGTGTACATTGGAACATTTATGGAGCTCTGGATTGGGATAATTTCCTGTTGATATCTGGAGGGAAGACATTTGCCTGAATAAAATTAATTGGAATAAGAAAGTAATCTTATTTCATTTCTAAGCAAGTTTCTAAGCAAGATCTGCATAGATATCAATAGCCACTGTAGTCACCTCCAGAACAACTGCTGTTAGCACAACATTCCAAGATGTTATGTACACAGTTATAGAACAATATAATGTTAATAATAACAACAGTAATAACTAAAAAGTTGTTCAGTCCGATATGTGCCCACTGTGTTCATTGCACAAGTCACATCTCTGAATTCCATATTGTCCCTGCTCATTGCTAGAGTTCACTGAAGCTACAGCAATCTGAGATGGATTCAGGAAGAGAAGGCAAGCACTGTACTTCTCTATTTCAATCAAAGATCAACAAATATTCCAAATGTCTCCTAGAATTTCCTTTGTAATACTTTTAACCAGCTTTAATGATGGCAAATGAAACATAGTTGCATGTCACTTCCAGCAGATGGGGCAGCTGAAAAATCCCAGTCTCAAGATTTGAAAACCTTTATATAAATGTTTTGAAAATTGCGGCCTTGCCATTGCAACTGGAATTGACCGAGGGAGAAAACTGGACAATGGAGATTTGAATAATTGTAAATACATATCAAGTTAAGATGAAACCATGCACAGAAAATTCCTTTAATTAAATCTGAACTTCTACTGCTGCCGTGTAAAAAATTAAATGTATTATAAAATTTGAAATGTGCATTAAATCATTCATTAAAACTGCATACGCATAGAGCTAATTTTGCATGTGTCGAGATGAATATAGAACTAAAGAAAGTGGTTGAACTATTTGAAGCTAATTATGCTACAGGCAGCTTTTGGGTTGTACCCACCCTGAAGATGGCACTTTTTGTCTGGTTTCATAGGGCTGTGTGGAATAAGGATGCATGATTATGTTTTCTGGCAGAGGACTGAATTTGATCAGAAGTTTTCGATCCATTCTGCCTCTATTTTTATTTGGAATATATGTACAGAACTCTGGTCTCCATTTCATTTGTTCTTGGAAGCGGGATACTCCAGATGACAGTCCTAGGCATGCTCAGTGGTCTAATAACTATCTGTCCTCTTCTGTGTAGCAGTAGTAATAAATTTTATTTTTTATATACCCCACTCATCATCTCACTGGGTTTCATCACTATGCAGAGCAGGTGTGTTGTATTACCATTGTGTTAATTATATGGAAGTGGCAATATTTGCTGATGCTGGTGCCTTTAGGCATCCATTTGTACCAAGCCATCTAGGGGGGAAATTGTATGCAGTCTGGTGTGAAGTAGTGATCTGCTATTAGATATTACAATCAGATTTCTTTTGCTACATCAATTGGCCATTTCCCAAAGCTACCTACAAAACTTCTGTACTACTATTTTGCTCCTTAGATATTTCTAAAGAAGTTTCTTTAACTTCAAAGTTTTTAATACACAATTTAATGCACAATAATACACTTCAAAAATTTTAATACACAATTTATTTCCTATATCCTAGAGAACTATTCAGTTACAACATACAACAAGGTACTATTCTTACAGCAGCTGTAGTCATATCCTTTGGGAAATGTATTTTACTATTCTTGCTGAGGAAAATGTCATGAGTGCGTTACCAAGGCTCCCAAAATTAGGGGAATGGGTATTAGGAAACTCCCAAAATGAAAGGCATCTGAGGCAGAAAATGATTGTTTTAATAATAGAAGGCTCTTGAGAGATTCCATGTCTAATTACTGGATTGAAAGGTGCAAAAAAGGAAACAAAAACTGCAGTCCAGGAAGAAAATCCTATTGAACTAAGTGTGACTTCTGGGTATAGATATTAGGCCCCTTTTGAAAGCACTCTATAGCCACATCTTCCTTTCTCTAACTTAAATATTATTTAGATGAGGATCTTTCACTTGTGGAAGAAATAATCAAGTTACAGCAGTCAGATCTTCTACCCTAAAACATCAGCACCACTTTCTTGTTTATTTTGAAAAATCAGAATAATTAGTTGTCCTTTCGGATAATTAGAATGTCCTTTCGGTAGGTAATGAAAAGCTGCCCTCACATCCTTAAGATCAAAGTGCATAATTTCCGGGTGGGTTTGTGCCATTTCCCCACCCACACCTCAAACAGCAATGGCACTTTTTCAAGGTATGGAAATGGAAGAGTAAGAAAAGGTCCAGCAGCTGATGTAACTGTACCTTGAAGGTATAGGGGTCCTGCCAGTAAATAAGTATAAATAAATCATAACCTTGGCAACCTAGAGCTTAAACACTGACAGTTTTTAGACAGGGCAGGCCCATGGGCGTAGCCAGGATTTATTTTAGGGGGGCAGACTCGGGGGGGGGCAGAACCGAATTATCTTAAATGCAATTGGTCAGCAAGTTAAGTATTTTTGTTATTTACTTGATGGGGGGGCAGTTGCCCATCTGCACCCCCTCCGACTACACCCATGAGCAGGCCCGCCCATGGGGCAAGATGAGTGAAGAGATTTGAGCAGCAGGATCCATGGGGGCTGCAGAACCCAATGCAGAACTTTATGCCCACCCCGCTAGTCCCTGATGTAGATCTTCACTCGCCCCTTCTTCCCTGGCAAGGTGTGGGTGTCATTTTGTGCTTCGCTTCAGGTGCCCCCAAATGCTTCCAGGTGGAGCATAACACTTATTTAAAAACAAACGAATGAAGATGTGAGCACAGTCCTGTGCATGCATACTGAGTCCTCCTGGTATGTAAATTCAATTAATAATAATAATAAAAATAAATAATAATAATAATACTTTGGCGGAAGCTCCATTTGACTCAATCCTATTTGGTGTGCCTACGACTGCTTCTTCAATTGCACAGGGCTAGATGTGCCCGGCAAATAGAAGGAGATGAAATGGAGGCAGTGAGAGATTTTACTTTCTTGGGCTCCATGATCACTGCAGATGGTGACAGCAGTCACAAAATTAAAAGACACCTGCTTCTTGGGAGAAAAGCAATGACAAACCTAGACAGCATCTTAAAAAGCAGAGACATCACCTTGCCAACAAAGGTCCGTATAGTAAAAGCTATGGTTGTCCCAGTAGTGATGTATGTAAGTGAGAGCTGGACCATAAAAAAGGCTGATCGCCAAAGAATTGATGCTTTTCAATTCTGGTGCTGGAGGAGACTCTTGAGAGCCCCATGGACTGCAAGGAGATCAAACCTCTCCATTCTTAAGGAAATCAGCCCTGAGTGCTCACTGGAAGGACTGATCGTGAAGCTGAGGCTCCAATACTTTGGCCACCTCATGAGAAGAGAAGACTCCCTGGAAAAGACCCTGATGTTGGGAAAGATTGAGGGCACAAGGAGAAGGGGGACGAGATGGTTGGACAGTGTTCTTGAAGCTACCAGCATGAGTTTGAGCAGACTGCGGGAGGCAGTGGAAGACAGAAGTGCCTGGCGTGCTCTGGTCCATGGGGTCATGAAGAGTCGGACACGACTAAACGACTAAACAACAACAACAAAGATGTACAGCGGGTAGCACTATCCATAGTTGACAGCCACCACCATATCAGCACCAAAGCTCAATACAGTAAAGGACTTCAGGATAGAGAAAGAAACTCTCTTTGCTTCCCATATTCCCAGACACCGCTCTCCCCCATTGAAATTGGCCCCGTGTGAGCCACTGCCGCGTCTTTCCTTCCCGCAAAAAGCCTGTCCCTCTGCGCTCTCTCTGTGGATTTAAATTCTTCTCCTCCCTCTCCAGAGTTCCACGTTCCTCATCTCCGCAGCGTCACGTGAGCCCGCTAAGGCTTCGGGGCGCTGTAGTTTTCGCCGCCGGCCTCGAGAACTACAACCGCCTCCCTCCGCCCCCACACGCGAGAGCAGTCGCCACTCGCGCATGCACGGTGCGGCGCTCGGCCGCCATTTTGGGAAGCGGAGGTTGGAGCCTTTTCCGGGGGTATGTTTTACCTCAGCCCCGCGAGCATGGCGGTGCCCGTCTGACCTCAGGGAGCCCGCTGGAAAAGCGAGCCGCGTCGTCCGTTTGAGGTTGGTGTTGCTACCTAAAAACGCGGCTTTGGAGAGGATAAGAGTCAAAAGCGCGGGTCGGGTGTCGGGTCCGCGTGAGCGGGGATGCGCCTGGGGTCCCTCGAAAGGATCCCTTGGGACTCTTGTCCTGCGCTTCCCGCTCGCTCTCTGGCGCCGGGTGGCGGGGTCGGGGCACGTTGTTCCCAGCCGGGCGGGTGGGGGGGATGCGTGACACGGGAAGAAGACGGAAGGCCAGACCCCGGGCTCGGTGAGGGTTGGCTAGTAAACACGCGGACATGCTGCGTGAAACGAGTGACATCCCATAACCTGCGCCTGGTGGGCGTCCCACAGAAAAGGGCACGATTAAAATAGCACGGTGACACAGTGTCTCATTATTAACCCACAGGGAGACTAAAAAATAATAAAAATTATAAGATGCCTGTTGGGAATTATGTTCTCAGATAAGCAAGGGGCTGGCTTTAGTTTAGCATATTTTACTGGCCTGTTCGTTTGGTGATTATAAATATGAAATTTAACATACTCCGATTGTATGTTACTAACGCACAAGGACAACATTATTTTATTTAGTAACCTGCAGCTAAACGGATGTGCTTACTAGGGTAGCAGGCAGGGCTGGATTTAGGTTTGATGACGCCCTAAACTACTGGAGGTAATGGGGCCCTTTATATGTCCAGCTGTCCTTTGTCAACAACAAATTGTCGCTGTTTTTTGTGTTGAATATATGCCATATGGTAATTTATGGATCTCATAGGATCTCTAAAGCCATTTGCCTACACAACACAAAACACTTGCTGTATGTAGGTTTTCTTTAATTTTTTTGGGATCCCCAAGAGAGTGGGGCCCTAAGCTATAGCTTGTTTAGTTTATACGTAAATCTGGCACTGGTTGCAGGCCCTTCCCCATGATTTCTGACTGATTTTAAAATGCAGCCCTTCACTTATGTCCCACTCTCTTTCTCAGGGAAGAAATGCGCAAAAATGGAGCTTTACAGAACAATCCTATATAAATAAGTTCCATTCTGTTTCATAGGACGGCCACAGTTCGGTAATAGAACATCTGCTATGTGTGCCGAAAACCCCAGGTTCATTCTCTGACATTCTCATGTAGGGCTGTGAATATCCCATGCTTAAAAACTTGGATTAGGTAAAGGTAAAGGTACCCTTGCCCATTCGGGCCAGTCTTGCCAGACTCTAGGGTTGTGCGCTCATCTCACTCTATAGGCCGGGAGCCAGCGCTGTCTGCAGACACTTCCGGGTCACGTGGCCAGCGTGACAAAAACTTGGATTACTGCTGCAAATAAATGTTAACAGGGTATAGGCAACATGATGTTTTCCCTATGTTTTTTTGAGATAACTCCCATTGTCCCTGACCTTTGGTTGTGCTGATTGGGGCTCATGGGTGTTGTAGTACAACAACATCTAGAGGACACCATATTGGTTACTGCTGGTGTAGCCCCTACTGTGCTAGATGGGTCAATGGTCTGGCTGAGGGCAAGGCAGCTTCCTATGTTCCTAATGGGGATTAGCACCATCTAAGCGTGCGTAGGATTGCAGCCTTAATTAGGAAATGAGTCAGGTGTAGGTGGATACTGGAGAAGAGTAACTGATAACATGCTGTAAACATATTGTTTTATTATTTTAAGATGCTTCATGATGAGTGTAAGCCAAGATACCTTGAAAGTCAAGATGCATCAGCAACAGAGCCCTGTTCTAAAAGGATGAAATCAACAGAAGAGCCTTATGGTAAATCCTATGATGGCTTGCAAAGACTTCATGAAGAAATACATGTTAAAAAAACCCATAGTGGGTTTATTCCTTTGTCCATTTCTGATGAAGAGGCACAAAATGAAAAAGAAACTGCAGCAGTAAAGGCATTCACGGGTAAAATACCAGTGTCATCAGAGCCTTCAAAGTCGGTAAACAATACTGAGATTACAAGAAACAAAAGTTTTTCTCCTCCTTCCAATACCAATATACGTAAAAACAGAGAAGACAATGACTTCATCAAAGAGCATAAGAATGAAGAGAAAGAATTATATAGCACAAGCAAAGCCTTTATTGGACCCATTTATAAAAGTAAAGCTGATTGCATACGTGATCAAAGGAAAAAGAGAGAAATCGTGCCTAAACAGGCTCTCCCTGGTGATGTGCCAAAAATAGAAGATGAATTGTCCCAATTCTATAATGAAATTGATCAGCTTGAAAGTGAAAGTGATGAAAATCGTTTTGATGGTCACTTACAGGGGAGAGAAACAAATTCACTTGGGGAATATAATACATGGAATCCAATGGCTTGTGTAAATTCTCAAGAATGGTCCTGTAGAACATCACCTGGTGGTGATCAGTGTTTTTATAATAATGCACCAAGTGATCGTAGAATAGGCAGTGAACAGTATCCATACAATGACCCATCGGGTCACAGGAGTGACAACAGACGGTGTTGTAACAATGAAAGAGATGTATGGGAAATGAGACAATTATGTAACAAACAGGATAGTTCTAGATTCTGGAATGATTCTGTGTCTCAGTTAAGGCCTAGTTGGCAAAACACGCATCCTTTTATAATACCTTATGGCCCACCACCTCCTCAATTCACTCCTCGTTTTAATTTTCAGGAACCTAATTCCTCATCACTTCGTTCAGATACTTTCCATCCCCCAAATGTGGGACCATTCAAAAATAGCCATATTAACATGAGTAGTGCAACATCTGATGAAAATAATGCCTATCATTTTAGTAATCATAATATACAGCCCACCAGAAATGGATATAACATGCCTGATGGACACATGGATAATGGTTTCTGTGAAACTCGACCATGTTGGAAAGAAATTAAAACTTATCCAGATGAAGGATCAAGCAACGTTTCTCAGCAGTTTCCAGAGGGCAAGTTATATGAGTCACAAAAGCTGCTTCTGATTTTAAGAGGTCTTCCAGGCTCAGGGAAGACAACATTATCTCGGTAAGAGAATGACAACTTAATTTAAAGAAAGAAATCTGTTTCGTTTGATTTATTGTTTGTTGATGTTTCAAACATCATGGTCATTTCAACCACCAAAAAAAATAATTAATATATATATAAATACAACATTAAAACAATATCAACCTATCTGTCTATTTGTCTATATAAAAAAGAAAGCTGAATATTTTATGTTGTAGACTCTTGTTCCATTAAAACATTTTTATTTTTTGAGAGCAATTCAAATCACCCAAGACCTTTCACTGGTGAGACAGTAATCGTTAAATGGCATATGTGTTAGTAATAAATTTTGCTTTTTCAGTAACACATTTGTTGACCATTGTTTAAAAGTTTAAAGCATAATATTGTTTCTATTTTGTAACTGAAGTTTTGAGTTGAATAATTCCATGATTGCATATTGTTCCTTTTAGTTTGTATTTTATTGTATTTTTTGTATACTGTACTGCCTTGAGAACTTCAGTTGAAGGGTGATCATTGTTGTTGTTATTATTTATTAAATTTGTAAGCTGCCCTTCGTCTGTACATCTGAGGGTGGTACACAGATTAAATATACAAGATAAAAACACAAAATACATAATAAAAGCAAGAACAAAACAAGCCAATAACCCATCGTTTGATATTATTATAACAGTTATGACAATGATAAATAATGGGTTGTCTCTAAAGTTGTGCTATGTGAATGTTCTGTCAGTGCAATGATTTCTGCTTGAACAATTCAACATTCTTCCTTGCTCCTCCCCATTCACATGCCCTAAACTTGTTGTAACGGGTCCCCAAACTCTCTGGAACCAATTTGGGGAAGTCATGGATATAGGAAGGTGGGAAAATTCCATTGCTTAAGCATAAATCCTTGCAGAACGAGTGCACCGAATACCATCCATTATTATTTTTATTTAATCCTGAAAACTCCCAGTGATTGAAGCTGATTTTGAATGGTGCTGGTATTTTTTTAAAAAACAAAAATATTTGAATGTCTCCTCTTACTTTCTATTGAGGATCACAAGATAGGGGTTAGGATCTTAGGAGTCCTGACTTTGAATTTCAGCTCAGCTATGGTTGATTTGGTCTGAAAGTTCTTATCCAGAGTTTCCCCCACGTATGATAGCAATAATGGTAGTTTGGTGTAAGGATTAATGCATGTAGGGCTATAAAGAGTACTTGTTTGTTTCCATGCATTTTAAGTTTAAAAACAAAACATTAAAAGTAGAAACTAGGTACAACAAAATAATTTTGTGGCACCTTAATGGCAGGCATTTACTATGGCTTTTGTGAACTATGGTTGGGAGATGATCTATTGAGAGTTTCTTGTGGCTGAATTTAAAACTGCTCCTAGTCATGGAGCATTCTAGGTAATGAGGTTCTAACTTGTGCAGATTGGCTGACCCTTCAGTGTTTTATGTTCTATGAAGCAAGTCTGGATGACCCCACAGTTGGTCCATCAGGAGTAGAAATTCACATCTTGTATCCTCTGGGATATTTTTTCTACAGTCTTTGTGGACTGAAAGGAAAATGAAGGAAGCCAGGAATATTTTTTGCCAATATTCTATGGCCAGTTTTAGCAAGTGAGCTGATGTAGAAGTTTTCACTAGAGAAGTTTTGTGCTCTGGGCTTCAGGGAAGGTGTGAAATGTAGTGAGATAAATATGAGGTTTATAAATAGTTGGCTTTGCAATGGAAACCAAAAGTACCTCCAAAATAAATGAATAAAGTGTAATATGTTTTGCTTTCCAAAAACAAGATTTGGCTATCTTGTAATAGTGTTGCCTTTTCCTTTAACAGTATTCTGCTTGGTCAGAGTCGTGATGGCATAATATTCAGCACTGATGAATACTTTCGGCAGAACAATGGATGTTGGTCATATAATGTTGGTCAACTAGGTGCTGCTCATGACTGGAACCAGAAGAGAGGTGTGAATATATTAATCATGTATAATTTTGTTAATGATATACTTAAAAGTATGGATTTATTGATACAAGGGTTTGTGGTAGAAGATCCACCAACATGTGCAGTTGGTAGCCTATTCCAATATACAGAATGGATACATCTCTTTTCCCAAGACTGGACAAATGAGCCTGTGGTTGTCAGATGCAATAAAGGAAAGAACTCCTCCGCCCTTGATAGTTCTGGGGCATGTAAAAGTTTAAACAGGTTTTCTTATGTTCCTACAGTAGTAGGAAAAGTTACATTTTCTGAAATTCTTTTTACGCAGTTATGAAATGCACATGAGCTCTACTGCGCCCCAAACACAACAGTATCACTGTCACACTATTCTTGTGTACAGGAGCTGGCTTGTCTTCTCTTTGTAGATGCAACCATTTTGACTTGCAAAGGCCACTTTGTCAATTTCTCACAGAAGTCTCTTTATTTAGAATTACTTGACTAATGAACTAATCAGTTTTGGTCAATTGTGAACCTTGGTGGGAAAGAACAGATAAGGCAGCTATTGGTATTATATAGGAAAACTTTGCCCCTGACCTGAAGTTGATTCTAATGAGATCCACTGAAGAGGAGTTTGTTGTATCGTTGGCAATTTTATAGAAGACTTTCTTTTTCTAACCTTGTTAATTGAAGCAAGTGATATTTATAATTGCTGTTTGTATAATTTATTATGATTTTATTGCAGCAAGACAAGCAATGGATCAAGGAAGATCCCCAATTATAATAGACAACACTAATACACAAGCCTGGGAAATGAAACCTTATGTAGAAGCGGTAAATAAAGCAGCATATTTCTTATGGAAACTCACTTCCTTCTCAGTGAGAAAACTAAATGAATTAATCAGTCTGATTTTATTTTTGACATAATCTACATTTTGTATTATCTTCAGCTTATTATAATTTATGTATGTTTCTGTAAATCCTAAGCCTTTTTTTTTGGCAAAATACTGTTTTTCAGTCTGCTGAACTTGCAGCCCAATCCTATGCATCTTAGTCAGAAGTAAATTCCACATATTTAAATGGACTTACGCCCTGATGTGTATAAAATAGCAGCCTTTATCAGAAAAGCTAGTTTCTTATACTTTATTTTGGAAGTTACTACTCTGTCACTATTCCTTTTATAACCATAATTCTTTATCTTTGTTTAGGCTCTAGAAAAGGGCTACCGAATAGAATTCCATGAACCAGACACATGGTGGAAGTTTGACCCAGAAGAATTAGAAAAGTGAGGTCTATGTTTTGGTTTTATTTAAAAATACACGAAAGCTTTAAAGTTTATTATTTTGGTTATGTAACCAGTGAGTCAGCTTTCGAACAATGGCATAAATCAACTTGTAAGGCTTCTCCCTACTTCTTCAGCATTAACCCTGCCACTAACTGTCCTTTTGACAACCATTGTATGCGCTTGTCTCACTGAGGATTGTGTTCTGCACACCTTTCAGTTTCACCCTCCCCTTTTCTATTCATAAAGCTTTGTAGAAATGAATGGTAATAATACCATATTTTTCGCCCCATAGGGCGCACCGGCTTTCCTGCCTCCCACTTTTTCACAGCCCCTGAAAAGTCACTCCTGAAGGGTGTGGGATATGACATGGGTGAATGCTGTGAATGGCGGGCTGCAATTGATTTAAATTGGGGACTTGCCCTTTTGTGAACAGAAGTGCCTTCTGCATATTCCATCACTCCACTGGATCTAAGCCAGTATTTATAATTATTTCAAGAAAGCAGTAAATGGAGTTACTGGGTGCACCACCTAAAAATATAACCTAGATTAAAATATTGTCAGACTTTTTAAAGTGTTTTCTCATTCAAACTTAATTTCAGATCTTCAAGAAACTAGATTGTTGAACATGCATATAATTTCCTTAGGATCATGATGATGCTCATTTAAGTGACAGGGCTGGTGGTAGTAGGTTTTGGTTTTGCTCTTTAGTGAAAAATGACCACTGGGAAACTGTAACTTTGCAAAAAGGAATAGCAAAGGAGAGCAGCAGCAGCCTAATCCTTTCTGCCAAAAATTGCTGTTTGCCAGCTGTCTTTCTGCCCCTGAGCAAAAACATATAGGAACCTGCTTGACCCTGGACAAGCTTCTAGAATAAAGACAATTTGAAAGCATTCTGAGAGATTCTATAAATTGATCAGACTTGAACTTCATTTCTTGTTTCTGTAGGAGGAATGAACATGGGGTCAACCGTGAGAAGATTGTTCAAATGTTGGAAAGATACGAATATCAAATATCAATACCCATTGTCATGAATTCGGTCCTGCCTTTTCACAAAACTTCACAGTGGCCACCTCCACAAAGAAGACAGAGGTGGGGAGCCTCTTCAGACTCTTGGAATACTTTCAGTGTATCAAATAGCCAATAACTCAGGGTATACTTGCTAAGGCTAATTCTCTTTTCAGAAAGCAAGCTATAATAAAACACAGCGTTAATAAATTGAAATTTTAAAGCCAGCTTAACTCCTAGTGTCGGATTGTTTCCAAACTATTCTGCTACTTTCTTTTGAGGGTTAAATAATCTTAATGCAGATAATTATCCCTTGGGGAATGTTTATAAATAATGTAAATACATGTTTAATATTAAAATTGAATGTTAAATATTTTTAAAATATATATTTGTACTAATCTTGGTTTTGATTAAGCCCTGTGACAATGTGGATACACCAGGTGGTTTATCATTGGATTTTGACACAAGAGTTTTTGCATTGTAAACTGCTGAGCAGTTTCTTTAAGAATTCTGAATAGAATATAATGAATTTTTAATAAATGCAGGTAACCAGAAGAATAACTCAGTGTATATATATAGGTGTTGCATTTGAACCTTTTTTTTACTGCTTTCAATCGCAGTCCAGTTCTAACAACTTTATACCAGTTATTTCAGTTAAGTTTATTAATCACATGTTGACATCAAGCTGAAGCTCACTTTTCCATTGCCATTTATTCTTTGAGGTTGTTTGTTGTTCAGTCAGTTAGTTATGACAGTAGTAGTCTAGACCCTGCCCTGCAATTAAAACCTGTGACTTCAAAACATCAGCATACAGTTTAAATGGAATTCTGATAAGTTCAGTTCTTGAGATTTTAATTTGAATATTACATTGTCTTTTTCTAAGTTCACACTATTGTGGTATGTGAAAGTTTGCTTTTTTTGTTTGGTTATGCGGCTTTGTCATGAAAGAAGCAATAAATGAAATACACTGAAAAAGCTGGAACTGTATACATATATGTGGACATTGGAACCAGTTACTTAAAACCACATTACATGAACTATGATATAGGCAGTAGCCAATTCATCAGAAGTTTGAGGCTGAGCTGGCATGAGGCTTAATTATTGTTCTAATTTTGGTTTTTTACCATGTAGTGAAAATTTACTGAATGTTTGCCTCTTTTCTTGTCACCCAATTGCTGTGCTCTCTTGTACTATTGTTTCAGCAATCCATTGTCAGTGTAATACAATTAGTGTCTTGAGTCTAGCTTTATGGTTTAAGTTGAATGAAAATATTAAAATACCAGTGTGGTCCATTAGGGCTCTCCTGTTGTGGGTTGAGAGGTAACTCTTGGGAATATCAGGTAGTGACTTTGTCTTAAAGCAACCTTATTTGTCCTGTTCTACATGGAAAATAAATCTAACATAAAAGACGCACTTTCCATCTCTTGATAAAGAAATATGTTTGCATGACACACAGTTGAAAAATCTTGACTTTACATTCAGAACATTTTTGTGTTTGCTCTGGAGACATGCTTTTGTCAAACTTGTTGGTATCTATAAATCTCTAAACAAAATAAAAATGGCTTATATCTGCTTTATAAATATGTATTCTTAGGAGGCCATTGCCATCTTATTTCAGTATTGCTACTCAAAAGTGCCTGCTTTGGCCCTTTGGCAACTATTTCAGCTCTGCATTGTTTCCATCTGAGAAAGCACAGTGTAGTTATCTGTTAGTTGCACATATGCTTTTCATGGCTTTAAAGGGCAGTAGTTGTTGGGGAGGCAGAGATAGTTTGCTACTCACCTGCTTATTTAGAGACAAATATTGCTCACCCCAGGTGAGCAGAGAGACTGCAAATTACTGCTACTATATGCAGATCACTTAATTGTCAAAGACAATTATGAAACCTGGTTTTGAGTTTTACTAATAAGGGGCTGTTAATATGAGACCTTTGTGGAGCAAGACAAACTTTAGGCTTCTGTGAAGGAAAATGCTAATTGCTCATATGTATGTAAATGAAAATCTGATGGCTGCACCAGTCACTGTAGAAATCTCAACTTCTTGGCATTAGCTAGGAAAGGATTTTAAAATATGTCAATCACATTTGCAACTTTTGCATTAAGCTAGCTTACACAATTAAACAATATAATGCTTTTTACCACATTTCTGTAGAAGCCACTGAATCACTAATACAAAAATAGCCTCATTTAAATAGCTAGGATTATAAGCTGTGGGCTGAGTGTGTAAATAATTGGTACCCAGGACGTTCAAGTTAAAAATGTTCCTACAGTTTGCCTCAAGTACATTTCTCTCCCTCTTTTATTGCTCTTTAACATGGAGATTCAACATTCGTGCTACTGCATTGTGGTCAAACAGTCCTTAAAAAGGCAGGATATATTTAAGGATATACTGATAATTGGCACTTTGGTAAATACTGTGATTTAGTAACCATATATATGGAAGACCAGCAACTTAGTATATCGTGAACTACTAATGGAAGCTCCATTGGAAATGCATGGCTGCTGCAGAAGAGCACAAGAATGACCAACATAACCAATAAAGTACATGCATATTACACGTGCCTCATTTGAAGAACGCAACAAGAGTTGCAAAACAAGTCAACTTTGGGGAAAGAGGCTGAAGACGCCATAGAATAGATTGGTTGTATGTTTTCTATCATTTTGCTCTTGTGTTCAGAGCCCTGCTCATTTGCATGGGGCATACTCATGTAGTTTCTGCTACATTGCACCAAGTTTGCAAAAATATCATAGTAAGTGTGTGTGTCAGCCCTGGAATGGTGATCAGATATAACCAACATACTTTTGCTACTGCGAGGGGAAACTTACATAGTTCCTATAGCTTTAAAGGTTAGTTAACAAAGAGATGATTTCTGTGGATGAAAACCAGACTTGCTCCACCTGTCTACCAGTTTTTAAGATCCTGCCTTGAAGCAAACCCTCTAAAAAACTGCCACCAGAGATTTTCAGGGAGCCTATGGAGTGTTTCATCCTTAATGGGATTTTCTTTTTCTTGTGCTTAAGCGGAGGTTCTGTGTCACATACACAAGGGTTTTAGATACTGGTTTATGCTTTGCAGAAATATCTTAAAACAGTACTTTTTAAAAGTTGAAATTATTCAAATGCTAACTTGTACTGTTTAACAAAGTACTTAGTTACTAAATCTGGAAAAGTAGAAGCAAGATAGTAGCCATGATCTAGGGATGTTGGCACAGAATGTATTCTTTGTCGCTCCTACCACACTGAAAATTTCTGCAGGCATCAGATGTGGATATTCACAGCCATGGCAAGAGACTGATTGAAAGGCTCATTCTCACATAGCCTGACCAGAGTTGATGTGTGTGGTAAATGAACCTGTTACGTCATCTGGTAGATCGTTTTATTTGAGTTTTAATTTTTGGCTTTGTGTAGCAAGCAATTACCTGCAAGTGAAGAGGGTATATCTCTGGATCTACCCTTATTTGCCCCACACACTTAAAACCTGAGTAGGGTTGCAAATGAGGTTACATGGATATGCATATGTAGGAACTCTATGAGGTAGGTAGGATGTTCAGTTAAAGGTAATTTCTTGAACCTTAGTTATAAGAGTCAAGTGTGCTAATATAAGCCTTTTATCTTTTCTAATTATTTCTTAATAGCCTTTGTATCTGATAAGGTTTGCTGTATAGGTGTGTAAACAGCAACAAATTACCTTTGTTCGGTTTGATTATTCAAGGTTTTTGCTAGCACAGCTTTCTGTTTCATTTTTTTAAAAAGATAAAAGGGCAGGAGAGGATCAAAAGCTTGCTGTATAAGTCAGACTCGTCAGGAATAAAGTCTTTAAAATATTTAATGTTGTTTTTGTTCAGTGACTTGCGTGTGTTCCGCTTTTTAATGTGTATTTGTGAAATGTGCATGTAAATACTTTTTAATAGAAATTTTATTAAATCTAAAAAATTGAATGATATTTTGCTGCTTAATTTGTTTGCAGATGTTGCATTTTGAATGTTTTCCAGTAGTAGAGGTTGCTATGAGTATCCAGTCTGGTAACTTTAATACGTTAAATATATATATATATTTAACAATGTTCATTTTGTCACTTGATTGTTGTGTCAGTATTTTGAGTACAGTCATACCTCATGTTACGTCCGCTTCATGTTACGTTCTTTCAGGTTACGTCCCGCGGAGACCCAGAAGTACCGGAAAGGGTTACTTCTGGGTTTTGCCACTTGCGCATGCGCAGAAGCGCAAAATGATGTCACGTGCATGCGCAGAAGTGACAAATCGCAACTTGCGTGTGTGCAGATGCGCCACTGCAGGTTGTGCTCTTTTCATGTTGCGAACGGGCCTCCGGAACGGATCCCGTTCGCAACCAGAGGAACCACTGTATCTACAACAGGGATTGTAAAAATATCTCACTTTCAGTAACTGGCAAGGTGTCTTCCCCCATTGGTGAGTGGGATGTGTAGATGTAGCTCCACCCATTCACCAGTGTGATGCAGTTACATCATGTAAGTGTGGGTGGATTGTCCTGCCAAAAGTTGGCATGATTTATCAACAATCAGCCTGCATTTCCTCCTTATAGCAGGCAAGGAGCTACTTTGTTCCTAGTCATAAACATTGAGAAACCTTGTGTTCATAGTTCCTGCATGTTGCTGCCATAAATGGGGGGGCGGGGCGGGGAGCAAGAAATAATTTGTGTTAACAAAGAATTAGTGTTTTGGGAGGAGAACTAACATTTCCAAGATGGGCTTCTTGAAAGTGTAATGGTAATGAGAGAGAATCAAGTACCTGATCTAGTGAATGAAAATGAATCTGCTCTGCACAATATCTTCCAATACTCACAATGTGTGAAGAGGGTGGGCTGTGGGTATAAAAGTGGTTGGTGGTGAACTAACTGCTTGGTAAGGAAGTAGTAGGGTTTTAAAAAATTCTACCATGAGAAAGAATACATATTTTCCATTTGATTTAGATCGATTTAGGATGCAGCCCTATGGTCTGTGTCTCTGGGGCAGCAGGACATTGTTTTCCTCCCTCTCCGTTGACAAGGATGTCTGCTCCCAGAGGCCTCTTTGTCGCAGCTGTGGAAGGGGCTGTTGGTACTCTGGTAGCCATAGGAGGCAGATTGAGAGTCGCTTTAGATGAGGACGCAAAGCTCCCCTGTTCCCATGACAAAGCAGGGGGTGAGGGTGGGTGGGTGGAGCTTGTATGCTTATTTTCCTTACAGTCACTACCCCCTCCCCTCCCCCATCTTACTTCTGGGCCAGTATGTGAATAGGAGGGCTTTGTATTTGTAGCCCTTCCACCAAATATTCTCCCCCAGCTCCCACAGAATTGCTTTGCCCGGTAACATCAAAAACGTGGCTAATGCAGCTAACAATAGAAATCAGTCAAAGCAAGACATTAAAATGTCAAAACAAAACCAAGTAGGCAAAACCAAGTAGCCACCCAGAGTGGCTGGGGAAACTCAGCCAGATGGGCAGGGTATAAATAATAAATTATTATTATTATTATTATTAAAGAGATGAAATACCAAATAATGCTAATCAGATAAATTAAAGTCCTGCCAGCATAAATATAACTTAAGGAGGTCATGTTAAATTAACCAAGTAGATTGCCCCCTTTGTGTTTCTGCCAATCATACTTGGGGAAAGGTGGGACATGTAAAATGCCTACTTGGTTGATCTTAGATAGCAATAAGGTTTACATGGCAGTCCTCTTGAAATCCTAGTCCCAAACAATTTAGGGCTTCAAAGATGATAACCAGTATCTTGAACTCAGCCTGGAAGTGGATCAGTGGTGAGTACAGCTGGGGGCAGCGGTGGCAAAGCAGTTGTATGCTCTAGAAAACTAGCCCCAGCTAGAACTTTTGTAGTAGTATTTGTACCAGCTGTACTTTCCAAATGCTTCTCAAGAGCAATCACTATGAAGAGTGTGCTGTCAGTAGTCCAAATAATTAACTAAGGCATGTGCAACCAAAACCTGAGCTCCTCTAAGCACGGGTGTGGTTTGTGCAGCAGCTTAAGATTTTGAAAGGCTTACGATTCTGTTTAAGATTAGATCAAGGATTATTCCTAAACCATGAGCCTAATTTGTGGGGAGGAATGTAGTTCCATCCAATATAGGCAACAATCTTGTTCCCTGTTCTTAGCGATCAGGAGAATCTCTGGGATGAGTCTCATTTTATTGGCCCATATTAAGTCCTTCAGTGATACGGCCCTGGTTCAAAATTCTTATCACCTCCTTGGACTCAGCTGGAAAGAAGAGAATATTGGTGTCATTAGTGTACTGATGGCATCAGATCCAAGAGATTTAATATTTCCTTTACACACTTTCAAGCTTTGTCTTTCAGACATTTTTTCAAATGCACACTAGGAATAGATAGCAAGCCAACAGCTTGCCACTCTTCCCCCAACTGCATCTCTGTTTTTATGCAGCCATACTAAGTAACAATGCTACCCGTGAATGCTGAATTCAATACATAGTCAGAATAGGCTTACTACAATTTTGATGGTTTACCAACACAATCTTACATTTGCCAAGCACTACTTTCAAATACCGTAATTCCTCTTATTTTCACATCCGTGAAACAGTGGCTTAAGCACCAGAATATGTTTTGAAAACCTACAGTCCAGGTCTATGTCATTCTAATTGAATTAGTGGGGCTTAAGAGTACTTAACCTTGACTGGATCATGCCCTTGTTGACTGATCATGCCCTGCTTTTAAAAAAGAGTTTATTACTATTTTGTTTGGAAAGATACACTTGCATCTAGCTGCTCAATAAGAATGTTTGGGCACTTGCAATCATACAAAAATGACATGCCTAGGTCAACTCATGCAACATAACTGGTGGCAGAGAACTGGAAAAGTACAACCAGAGAAAAAGGGTTGTTTTAGAACTGATGTTCCTAATGGTATTTTTCTACATTCAAAAATTATATCCACCTGTAATCTGGTGGTACAGTCTTTTCTAGCACCTCATTATGCTGCATATGCAGACTCAGCCTTAATTTCCCTCATTTCACTGAACCAAAAGCAAAAATTAGGCTGCAGTATTAACCTCTACTAAGGAAATGCTATATCCTAAACGTACCCTAAATACATTTATTCTGGACAACCTCGTTTTTTCTTCAACTCAAATGCATCATGTTTTGGGGTTTTCATTTTAACTAGGAACTTTGTAACTTATGCTTTTATTAAGATTATTCTTAATAATTTGTTCATATTTAGTTCTTATTCTGTTTAGGGAGTCGGTTGTAAAGAAGAAGCACAGGTTGCACAAGAAGAAACAGAGGAGGAAGCAAAAGAGGAACAGAAGAATGAAGGGTGCTACCATGAAAGCTATGGGGAAAACGTTAGGTGGACATTTCACTCCAAGTGATGAAGAGTCATCACAGAGTGGCCTGGAAGATTCAGAAGACAATGGAAAATCAGAATATGTGATTGGGCACCAGAATGAGCTAAAAGAATGTGTTGAGAGTGACTCTGCCAATGATAACAGTCTAACTCATAGTGACTTGCAAGAAGGAAGTGTCATTGTTTCTGATATGGTAGATCCAGTGTTGGACAATTCATTAAAAAGGAAAGCTTTTGCAAGAGACTGTAGTCTACGTCTAATGCATTTGCCATCTGCTCCTAATGAAAACAGAACTGAACAATCATTCAGTGATCATTTGCCAAATGAAATTAAAAATGGAAACTTTGTAGAAGGCAAGAGCAACGACTTGGAGTGTGAAAAGCACAGTTCTCTGAAGCTGGACCACGTTGCTGAAAATAGTACAAAAATACTGACAAATAGAGAAGACAAAGACAAAGCTGCATCTACGGAAGTCACACTTGAATCTGGCCCAGAAAGGAAACTGCTCAGCGATGAGGAAAAATTAGGCGCTCCTCATCTTCCTGGGCTATCAAAAAAGAATGAGGGAAATACCTGGACTTTCTTTTCTATTGACTTGGCTGACAAACACCCCCAAACCATCTTGGACAAAAGTGATTCCTGTTTGACTTGGCCTGATGGTACATCTAAGATCATGTATGAGCAAAGGCCAAAGAGGGAGAGGAGGCCCAAGCAAGTATTTTCAGGAATGACAGGAGAATTGATTGAATATCAACCTAATAAAGAATTGGTGAAAGGAGAAGTGTTACATGGAAATAACACTATAACAGATGGTGCTCAAACACACCAGCTAACAGAGAACACCCATAGAATGCCATGCACTGGGACAGGTGAATTCATGACAGAACCTGGAACTAAAACCAGTGATCCAAACAATGTAAGCCTTTTAGCTACACCAAGGAAAAATGGAAGATGTAAAAGGATCTACAAGTTGGCCCCTAGCTTTGGTGTACCCAGACAGATTCCAGTTAGAAAGGACAAGCAAGTACTAAAGGATATTGTTGTACTGGTGGAACAAGAAGAGACTTCAAATGAAGAGGCTAGAGAAAAGAACAAGCAAAGCCTTGGCTGCTATAATTGTCCAGTACCTTCTAGTTATGATTTAGTAATAGAATTGTCTCCTCATCTTGATGTAGAACCTCTCTTATGTAAATATTCCAGCCAATTTGCACAGAAATCTATGGACTTTTCAACAAAAGTAGTCGCTCCTCCAATTCAGATATGTACTTATGTGTCTTGTAGAGCTTCCTTACCTAGTGAACAGCAAGTTGTTGCTTTTGATCAAGCTGTGGATGCTAACACAAAGAGGGAGAACATATCTTCAGATGTTTCAACTACTCAGCCAGATATTTTGTGTTCAGTTCAAGAAACAGACTCTTCTGCTGAAAACTCTGAAAAGATACAAGAAGTTAATGAAACTGAGCAGCCAGAGTATTCCCCAATCAAATATGAACAATACCCTTTGAAAACGAAAGCCAGTGTTCTGGGGCTTCCTTTATCCCTAGGATTTGCACTTCAACTAGTAGAACATTTTGGTTCTCCAGGAATTCCACTGGGTAACTACAATTTTTTTTGGAAAAAGAGAAAAAAAAACAAGTAATACAATTTGGCAAGTTAGGTACTTATTGCTTAGCAAAGTTGCTTAGTGAGCCAGCCACTGCTGTGTGTGTGTGTGTGTGTGTGTGTGTGTGTGTGTGTGTGTATAGTTAAGTCCAAAGTATTACAGTGGTACCTTGGGTTAAGTACTTAATTCATTCCGGAGGTCCGTTCTTAACCTGAAGCACCACTTTAGCTAAGGGGGCCTCCCGCTGCCACTGGAGCATGATTTCTGTTCTCCTCCTGAAGCAAAGTTCTTAACCTGAGGTACTATTTATGGGTTAGCGGGGTCTGTAACCTGAAGCATATGTAACCTGTAGCGTATGTAACCCGAGGTACCACTGTATTGCTTTGGACTTAACTTTTCCTAATAGAGACTAAATGCTCTTGGGTAATGGTTAGTGTTTAACATCCAATAAATTTAAAATTCCTCTGGCTATTTTAGAATGAAAATAAAAAATCACTATACATTCACAAAATATTGATTTTAACCCTCCAGTAAGTGTTCTTAATCTTTGGTTTAACCATTGCCAGCTTGGCATTCATATTATTTATACTTCAGCCTTATGTGTGGTCTCCTATCCATGGGCATTTCAGTCTACACTTGCTTACCTTCAGCAATGACATAGCCTTCAGCGGTTTCTGGAACATTAACTGAGCCCACAAACTTGGCCTTTTCAAGCGTTACGTTATTCCTTTACAAGTCTTATATACACATTTGGTGACTTTCCCCAGTTTCCTTAATTAGGCTTGCGTTACAAGAGCAACATTTGTAATTGTAGAGGGAAATACTGCAGTGGGGAAAATTACACTGCTGTTCCATATTGTGTTCTTCTATAGCCTCAATCATGCCTAAAATCAAGATAAGTGCTGATTTATTTTAGCAGGCCTGCTCTGCCTACTTGTTTTCATAGATGAATGTGGTTACAGATTACCTGGGCCCTTCACTTTCTGCATACTCTTGGTCCCCATAATTCTGCTTACAAAGTCCATCTTTCAGTCTCAACACAGTATGGAGGTTCAAATATTCCCAGTCTCTTTGTAGATTCTAAAGCATTCACTACTGCTTGACACAACAAATTCGATGCCCAGCTACTGTTTTCAGCATTTTCTTCCCAGCTTGCTTCGGAACATGTAACAAGTCTACATGCACATACCCACAGAAGAAAATTAAGCACTACCTGTCATTGACAAATCTATCCTTCATAAATTTGTCTTAAGATTTTTTAAAGCCATCTAAACCACCAGCCATGGCCACATCTTGTGGTTGTGCAATATGTTAAGTATGTGTTATTATAAAGAAGGAATGAGCTGAGGCATTGTCTGCAGGATGTCCCGGTTGTAATGCCCTGGCACCCCTTACCCAAAATCTGGCTCTAGCAGTAGATGCTGGGAAGGACCTCTGCCTCATGGAAAACTGATGCTAACTGAAAAAAATTGGGCAGGATGGACCAGGAGTCTGCATCAGTATGAAGCTGCTCCATATGGGCAATGAAAAAAGTGGATTTTTTGCCCACATAAATTCTGTTTTATACACTACTTCATTCTCTATACTGCCACACCGACCTTTTTTTATTGGCCAGTACAGTGTGTTTACATCTATACAGACACTCCCAACACTTTTTGTTATCTATGTAGCCTTGTAGGTTCAAATTATTTACGGCAACATCAAGTGATAACTGCATGGGTGCATGAACAGTAGTTGATCTAGCCCCACATACTGATTTCTTGGATCTCCCAATACAATAATTATTTTTATCGGAATTTGTGCATACTCTTTGTTGCTAGTTCCCAAATATTTTAACGGCACAAGAAGTCAAGATATCAGTGCATGTGTGAGTCAGCTATGGGATATCTGTATTTTGCATGCTCAGGTTGTGACACTAGTAACAACTAAAATTACTAGCATGCTTCTCGGGTTATAGTTACTCTTCGTTATTTGCAGTATGTAGGTCAAATAACCACTTTGTGCAAAATCTTGTTTCGTAGACACTTTATTACCAGATGATTATGTAGTTCCCCTTGATTGGGCAACATCAAAGGAGATCTATTTACTGTGGAAGACATCTGTGGAGGTATGAATGTTAGTTCTCCAGCTACCTTGCCATGCGGATTATGTTAATAACTTACATCATGATAATTGCTCCACAGCCATTGGACAAAACAACATAAGCAGTGAAGGAACATGCACTGCTTGTTCATTCTGTCAGGAACAGCTCTATCTTGATGGGCTGTTACCCTGTAGAAAAAAGAAATTTTTATGTTTTCTTGTGGCAGAAAGAAATAGAAGACTCGCTTTTTTAAAGACTCGCTTTTTTTAATATAAAAAACCCTTTAATTCTATTTTAGAAGAAGCAGAAAACTATCATATCAAAAGAAGACAGTTCCATACCCGGTGAGTATAGTCTTTTGCTTAATAGAAGGAGAGGAGGAGGGAGGAAGAGTTCATACAATTCCCAAATTATTACCAGTTGCAAAATATTTTCTGTGTACTTTTGGAATGTTGTGCTCAGATGTTACTACATTTTTGCATCTACAGATCTGATTGAAGCTCAATGAGTTGTTGTTCCTTTTAGCTACTATCTGATATAGAGTATAAAGTGGAAAGGTCTTTTTGTTCTTCTGATCTTGGAAAACGTCATTGATTCTCACCTCCTTGATGCCAATTTATTTTCAGGCAGCCAATAAATGATCTGTTGAAAGGTGTTAGTAGCAATATCTGCACTGATCCCGGAGACTCCAATGTCAAAACAGTGCTGTTCTTCTAGTGCATAATCAAGCTATAGAATTAATTGCCACAAAATGTGGTGATAGCCACCAACCTGGATGACTCTTGAAAGTACAGATGGATTCATAGGGACAAATCATGCCTCTGAATGTCATTTGCTGGGGAACAGTAGCAGTAAATAGTATTATCCTGTGCCCTGCTTGTGGGCTTCTCAGAGGTGTCTGGCTGACAGGGCCCTGCTGTAGGTGTATCCTCATTCTGAACTGCAGAAGATTGGCACAAGGCAGAAGGCCTTCATGGCAGTGCCCCCACCCCACCCCAGTTGCAGAATTCCCCTAAATACCTGCCTGGTGCCCACATTAATGTATTTTTAGTGCCGGGTAAGACCTCTGTATTCTCCCAGGTTTTAAATATTTTTAGTGCGATTATAATATCACTAACAGTTGTTATCAATATTAATTAGCTGACTCTGCTGCTGCTGTTGTAGACCCCTGAAAAAAGCAGGATTGAAGTCTCTGCTTGTATCCCCGCCCCCCTTGTGGGTCAACTTTGACCCACAATCCATCAGATGATTGACAGGTGGGTCAGCACACCCACTTGTCAAAGTTGGGCTATGGGGGAGATTTGGTCCAGTAGAGCAGAAAGTTCCTTACCCCTGTGTTATGATGATTGGTGTGTTTCACTCTGTGGAGTACTTGACTCTCTAACTAATCCCAACCTCAGAGGCTTTGAAGTCATTTATCTTTGGGTAAAAATAAAATAAAGGGACCTAGAGTTGGCCTGGAAAGTTGGATGAGGATATCTGTTGTAGAGATAGAAAGGGAAATAATACAGCAGTATGTAGCCAGACAGGATTGCATACAGCAACAGGTTGATGGTGGGAGCTGGGAACCAGCCACACTTCCTGGTTCCTCTTGGAAGACACTGATCAACAGGTATAGATAAATCCATGTAAGATTCAATTTCAGGCTGCTTATGTCGCTTTCTTTGTAGCTGGTGAAACTGCCCAAGAAGGTTCAAATAAAGATGATCAAGACAGAAAAGCATCTCCCGAAGCTAATCCATAAATGCACTTGGAAGAAGACCCTTACTTTGTCAAATAATCCAAGCAACGATGGTGGCGTGTTCTGAACTTTTGTCTAAAAATTAAATATCAGCATAATGTGCAGAAAGGTACAACATGGAATTTATTTATACACATACATATGCATGAGAAGATCTATTTCCAACCTGTGTTTCAATTTTCTGGTTAACTATAGGCATCTATCTTTTCTGTAAACGAATATCCATAGACTGGGCTCCATAGGATGGTGATATAGCTCCTGCTATATTATTATCTCAGCTGCTGAGAGCAAATGTTTAGATTGGGATACGATATCATATCAGAGTGGCAAATAGTAAAAGGAACTATTTGCTTTACTTAAATAAGGCAGATTTGAGAAGCTTTAAATATTGATGCTATTAATTTTTTTCTCAGATGTTGGATTCCATCTGATAGCAGCCCTACACATTACAACAAATTATGAAAGGGAAAAGTGCAAGGCTCGAGATCATATGACCTCGAGAGCAAGATCCCATGTCCTTTTCTCCTTTGGATATTGAGTGTACAAGTGCTGTGTGTGCGTACTGCACATAAACAAATCAATCTTAATATTTTAATATGGAGGTATTATTGGCAGTAATAGAACATTTTTGCAAAGTCATGCTTAAGATGTTTACCTCCTCTTCAGATAATATTCCACAGTCTGGGTGAAAAATTTCTGGCATCTGACCACCCAGTTGGGAAGGCATGTAGCCTTAGGTTTATTTTTGACTCATTTTTTAAATCCTATGTTCCTCATATTTTAATCCATAGCATAATTGTGTCATTTCTGCCTGTATCAATTGCAAAAATATAGCCCTTTCTATCTGTTACCTCTATCTGTTAAACTCTGGTCCATGTCCCGGTCATTTCTTACACTTTCCCAATCCCTTCCTCACTGGTTTTCCATTGTCTTAACTTGGTCCCTTTGCATCTATTCAGCTTTCTGAGTGCCAAAATAATTCACCATTCTCACTGTCCTAATCATAAGGTGCCTCTCCTTAGATCAGTGGTCAGCAACCTTTTTCAGCCGTGGGCTGGTCCACCATCTCTCAGACCATGTGGTGGGCCAGACTATATTTTGAAGGGGAAAAAAATGAACGAATTCCTATGCTCCACAAATTACCCAGAGATGCATTTTAAATAAAAGGACACATTCTACTCATGTAAAAACACGATGATTCCCGGACTGTCTGTGGGCTGGATTGAGAAGGCAATTGGGCTGCATCCGGCCCCCAGGCCTTGGGTTGCCTACCCCTGCCTTAGATCAACACTGGTTTCCTGTCTACTAATGAATACAGCACAAGTTCCTTGTTAACTTGAAAGCACTCCAAAGCCAATTCCTCTTAGCTCTCCATCCTTATATCTTGACACATCCCTGGTCATGACCTTTACTCCTCCACTTTCACTACTCTCACCTATCAGAAGATTTCCTGCTCCCTAAAAAGACATCGCCCCTTCCTTTTCCTTTTGCACTTTTCTATAAAGCCTTTGCACAATCCCACTATATCTCAGCTTGTTACAGAGCCTAAAAATTGCATCCATTTTCTCCACTTTCTCCATTTCCTTTGTTGAATTTTTTGGGCAGCAACCATTTAAAATCTTTAAAGCACTATGTACACAGATGGCACTACATTAATAATAATATAGTAATAATCAGTGTGAAAAATACATATTTTCTGTGTTGAGAAGTGATGTTTGCCAGTTGGCGAACTGAATATATTTATATATTCCTCTTCCAGCCAAAATAATACTTCAAAAAACCCTGCTCCCCACGAAAACACAGAGTGCCCGATCTGAGTTAATTACAAACATTATCGTGTGTGTGTGCATATTTCATATTCTGACTGAAGATGGCAATTGTCAAACTTTAAATCAGCACCAGTAGGCTTGGGATTTTGGTTTGATACTTCACTAGATTTTTTAAAAATTTTGTATTACAGAGTTTGCTCAGTTTTGGCTTTGTCACGGATGGACTCAAGTTAAGTCACCTATAATTAATGGCAACAACGGCAGTGAGGAGAAATTCAAATTCTAAAGGTTGTTGAAAACATGGCCTACAGTCACACTGCTGCTTTCTTTCCATGTAGCGTTTGAATTTTGTTTTGAAATAAAACGAAGCTTTGAAGAATGTTTTGTCATTGTCACTATGAGAAAGCAACTTGAAACCTGTGTTGTTTCATCTGTTTGCCTCCTGTACATGTGGCATGAAGAAACTAAGAAAAAAGTGGTCAGTTGTGAGTAGGGAGACTGCTAAATTAAGACTATAACAAGGACTGGGACAGTGCAAGAAACTGTACTGCCTGTATCACCCCTGTCTACTATCCTCCTTTCCACCACTTACTTCCTTTTCCATGGTGCTGGGTCTCCCCCACTCTAGAAAGGCCAACTGGGTACTTCCTCAGCACAAAGCATTCAGGTGAGGTGGCTGGGACAGCACCTGCACAGCTACTGTGGTTTGCCGCGACACTTAAGACACACTCTTTAATATATACAGCACTCCACCCCCTTGTGATTCCTAGCACCTGGCATTCAGAGGCATACTGCCTTAAATATTGGAGGTGATAATTCACTGAAGATTTGGATAATTAAAGTAAATTCAAGCATGAGGGCCATTCCCAACAGTAGTCAAGATAATACAATCATTCTAGCATTACTTGAGAGTTGCTAATAGTTGTCAGATGCTTCAGCACTACCCATTTATTTAGCTGAAACAAAACATGTCTCTCCCATATTCGTCTCCACAACCACATAAGGTGCTGCAACCTTCCAACAGTTTGACTTCACACTTCTCCATTGTCTCCCGAGATGGACAGATGCCAACAACCAACAGCTTCTTTAAACCAGGTGTGTGGAATCTGTGGCCCTTTAGATGTTGTTGAACTACCAAGTCTCCTCAGCCCTAGTAAGTATGGCCAATCATCGGGGTTGATTGCAATCCAGCAACAACACAAGAGCCAAATGTTAGCCTCTCCTGCTTTAAACAAAAGGGAGTGAAATATATGTGAATATGTTGTATAGGTTAGCCACCAGGACTCAGGAGTTTCTTTTTGGCTCTTGTTTAAGAGAGTAAAGCTTTTGTCCAGTTTCCTCTTTGGTGTGCTCGTAAACCTCCCCTGAAAATAAATAGGAGTATAAATGGGAGCACTTTTGTTCTATTTTCTTATGAAGACTTGACTTCATGCCTTTCATGCTTTTAGCACTATCTAGTTTTCGTGTGGGCACTGAGCATATGGGATGTGGCTTCTGAGCACTCCTGACTAGGCCCACTCCCTAGATGCAGGTGTGTATGACATGCATTTTAAAGAGCCCATATGCACGCTCTCCCTTATCCATTAGGCCAGGTGTGGAGAACTTTGGCCCACTAGATGTGGCTTAACTACAACTCCCATCAGCCCCTGCCAGCACAGCCCACGGCTAGGGATAAAGGGGGCTGTAGTTCATCAACTTCTGGAGGGCCAAAGGTTCCCCACGCCTGGATTTCGGCCTGGCTCTAAAGCGAGCCTTTTTGGTCCTCTGTGCAGAAGCAACTGCTGTTTAATCTTTTCATGACTTGGGCTGCAGTCCTACACCTGCGTGCTTGAAAGCGAGCACTATTGCACGAAATGGTTGCTTGCGAGTAGAGCTGCAAATGTTGCGGCTCTTCTGGCCGCAAGTGCTCATGGTTTTGAGTTTCGAAACATGGGTATTTTAGTCGCAATCGCAGCTTCCTTCCTCGTCACGCGAGGGCACTTGTTATTGGGACAAAACACTCCTCCGGGTGAATGCGAGGCGCCTGCAAACAGCGCAGCAAAGAGAGCCGCTGCATCTCGCACGTGCGGGCAACGAACGCTTCTCGCTGCAGGAAAACATTTCCTATCTCTGCAGAGGAGGGCAAGCGCTGCCAGGGGACCTCAAACCCCCGCTCCAAAAAAACACAAAACAAACAAAACAAAGCGCGGTGCATTTTTGTCCTCGCCTCCTCGCCAACGCCATAACACAAAGAAGCACGCCTTGAGGTGAAGATAGAAGAAGAAAGGGGGGAGGGGCAGGAAAGCAGAGGCGATGGCCTTGAGGAGGCCTTTATAGCCTTGCAGGAGAAACCGGAGTCACGCCGTTTGCCACAGGCCCGCGCGCGAGGGCCCTGCTTCCCGCTTTGGGGAATTGAACCTTGACTCGGCAGCTGCTCCCTCGTGGAGGCGAGGCCTGTGAGCGGGACTCGGCTGCTTCAGGCGCCAAGGAGGGGAGCGAGCCCGCGCGCCGCTCTGCCCCTTTGCCCCTGGAAGCGCCCGCCTTAGCGGGGCGGAGAGAGCGGACTCCGCCCGCGCCCGTCACGAGGAGCCATGTAAACAGTGTCGGTTCGCAGGCTTCCCGAGGAGGCGGCGGCTGTTGCCTTTCCTCCGCTATGGAGGATAGCCTGGCCCGCGCCTTCGGAGGCCTGAGCCTCCGCCAGCCCCCCGCGCAAGGCAAGGGCCCCCCTCGCAGGAGGCGCCGCTTCAGCAAAAGCCTCTACTTGCTGCGAGGCCTGCCCGGCTCCGGGAAAAGTACTCTGGCCAGGTAAAAAAAAACACCCTTCTCTTTTCGAAGGAGAGAGGACTCCTTCAGCTCTCGAGTCGTAAAACGACGGAGACGGAGTCTTGAGCGGGAAAACCGCGCTTTCTCACCTCGAAGCTTTGTGAGGGAGGGTAGACAGGTTGCTCAGCAGGCGCTCTGGACATGCTCCGCGGCTTTTGATTGGCGCGGGAACCTGCGACCCTCCAGATGTGTTGAGGATTCTGTGAAAAGCGGGCAAAGCTGGTGGAAGTTGGCATGCAGAAGCGACTGGAGGGCCTGGGGTCCCCGACCCCCCGACCCCACCACCTCTGGTTTTCTTGGCATTCAAGAAGGGTTCTGGGATAAAGAAGCCCTGGGTTCAGCAAAGCGATGCGTGCTCCATGTTGATGGAAAGAGGGGTGGGGTCAACTTTATTTTTTTCTAGTAGGATGGCTCCTGTGGTCGACATTAGATAGGCGTATTTCCTTGTCACTGTACCACCATGCATAGCTGTCAACTTTCAGATTTGAAAATAAGGGGTAAATAAGGGATCAGCAGCCTCACCTGTCCTGGGGACAGTCTACGGGATATCTAACAATCCGGGATAGCAGCGGGAAACGGCGTTGAAATAAGGGAATTTCCCGCAAAAAAAAAGGGAAGGTTGACAGCTATGCCACCATGCTGGGAAAAAGCTTTGTCTCTGGGGGTTCTGATTGCTGCTGCACGATTGTTCAAGGTACAGGAGCATGTCTGAAACAAGTTGGGGCTGTTCATGGTAGGTCAAGACAGAGCTCCAAGATAGCTCAAGGAAACAAGAAGAGAATTGGTGGGGTGGTGGCTGCTACTGCTCCTTCACAGCTGTCGCTGCCTCTCTTTTTCTGAGCTGCAGTTTTGTTTTCTTAATTGGTTATCAGTCCCTACCACCAGTGTAACCTTGAGTGATAAGAGCAATTGCCAGTAATTAAATATATTTTCTTTTTGTAAACATATATTTGGTATATTTCCCTGTTTCGACATGAATATTTACCGACGGGAATTTCCCAATCCTCATAGGGCCTTGGTTCAGCTTGATTCTGAGAAAATCAAACAAGATACTTTGGAAGGCAGTCAACATTGCACTGAAAGCACACACACAAAAATATCGCTTTGATTTTAATGACTCTGGATTTTGCCCTCGGTTACCATTTTCCTATGGTTAACGGAAGTGGAAAGAACTGTTTTGATCACTTTAAGGAAAACAGCTAACGCCTTTGTTTTCTTTGTGATGTCCCACATTTTTAATACAGAATTTGAGTGGAGTCAACATCAGAAACCTATAATCAGTATGCAGTACTGTAATATATTTCCTGATGGCTTAAACTAATATAAACATTTTCCAGCACAGGTAGCTTTCACCAAGGTTCCCTGATTTGTGGCACACCAGTTGCCTCCCCCAACCAAGTATTGTGACCTCCCAAGCCAGCAGCAAAAGCAGGAAGCAAATTTATTGAACTCTTAGGAGGGCCTGTTCTACATCACTTTTGGGCTATATGTGGCTTGGTGGGTCACAAACCTCATACTGGATGAAATGAAACAAGACACCAAAGACTAACAGCAGGTTTTGCAACTTTTGTAACTTGCACGTCACTAAAGGTAAAGTGAGTTGAACTGGAGTATAATGGTGAGATTCACATTACTCTTCGTTTCCAAGCACAGGTGTTATGTTGTCTTCGAAGAGCATATAGTTACTATCAAAGGCACAGCTCTTGATTTTCTGCATGAAACTGCTTGGAAATGGCTTGTTTTTAATTTCATTGGCTTTCAAAATGTGCTTCTGGCAAGCCAGTCATGGAAACATTGGCTCTGGTTTCACATCTCACTGATTTTAGGAAGTGCAAAAAAATCTCACTCTATTAGTATGACATGGTTCTGGTTCAACAGACCTGAAGAGTTCATACTGAAGGCATGCTGACTGAAAAGTGAAGGGTGAAGGAAGAGTTAAGCACTTTCCCCTTGCCTCACTCACCCCTTGGATATTTAGTCTTCTTGTCACATCTCCAGGATAAAGGAAGCACAATTTATAGCAAGTGTGAAGAGAAGCATCTGGTCAATGAGGACAGTATTTTTAAAAATGCACCTGAGAGTTGCACAAAGTCCACAGTAGTATGCATTTTATAAGCAAAGCATATATATTAAACAGTTGGGAGCATAGAGATAAATGTGACCTGACAGTTCATTTCAGCTTGCTGGCCTCTCTCTTTACTTTTTTGATAAATTGAGGCCTGCCTCTGCCATTGCTCAACAAGATAAGGAATTGAGAAATGAAAGTTTGCAGTTAGACTCTTTTTTTCTAGATCGCTTTTGGCTTAACTTGCTTTGTGAAAGGATTCTTTTATTGTGCTGAGATATTGCAGATGATACCTTGACATTCCACCTCCAGACATCAAGGCTCCATTGCTGCAGCTTCACCTTTTTCAACAAATCTTTCCCATGAGAAGTCTGACATATTCTGTTGTCCTTTACTGTCAAGAGGAAACTTTATGCTAGGGATGGATGGATGCCATTTGTTGATAGTATCTTATAAGAGTATAGACAAGTTGAGTCTGGATTGAACAGATGCTGCTTCATCCATATCTAAGTGAGGCTAAGTCCAACTGCTATAAACTGGTTAAGTGGTTGGGTTCTTATCATTCACTGTCCTTTAAAAATATTGTTGTGAATGTAATACATAGATGTGGGCTGGGGAACCTATGTCCCTCTACTGTTGAACTACAACTCCCACCGTTCCTGACCAGTGGCTGTGGCTAATGGGCATTGGAGTTCAACAACAGCTGGAGGGCTAGTGTTTCCTTATTGATGATATAGAGCTTCCCTACCAGTCACACCCACCTGCACTGGATTTTGCATAGTTTGCTATAAAAGGCAGACTCGACTGCTATCCTGCCCTGAAAGGCTGTGGTCTGCATCCACTGCGCCTAGACGATTGCTCCTTTGCTGTTATAATAGCTCCTCCTCCCCAGGGCAGTATTGGATTAGGAGCAGGAAGACTGAGATTCAAATCCCCATTGAGCCACAAAGCCTTGGGTCAGCCACTATCTCTTAGCCTAACTTACCTCTCACAGGATGGTTGTGATGATAAATTGGGTTTTACGGTGGGGAGGAGAGAAACACGTATGTTACTTTACAGTCTGAAAAAACTTGGGACCAGGATACATTACAGATCAACCCCCTTGATATAGACCACACCAACCTTTAAGATCTTTCAATGGGGCCTTGCCTCTAAGCATATTGCCACTTGGTGACAACATGGAAGCTGGCACTTTCCATGGTAGCAGCAGCTCCCTGGAATGCCCTGGAAATTTCACTGAACGTTGTGTTTTTATTTTTATGCAAACTGCTTAAAGGTGGTTTTTATTTTATTGTATTAAGTGGTATTAATAAATATTTTCTCCTGCAGTAAATGGGGGGGGGGGCGCGGTTTAATTTGCTGGTAATTCAACCCTTGCTCGAATGGTGCTTTATTTTCATTTGACGATTCCTCTAAAAGTGCACGGGGAACATTTGGGCCCCAATTAAATTGAAGGGTGGTGTTGGTTAGAAAATGAAAAACTTCATTTCTAATAGTTTTACTAATCCGTATGAAGTTTTGACCTTTCCTTACAATTGTTTGGTCTCAACAGGCAACTGAAACGTGAATTTCCCAGTGCAGTTGTTCTGAGCACTGATGACTACTTCTCTGCAGAGGATGGCACATATGTGTTTGATCCTGATGCTCTAGAAGATGCACATAGATGGAACCAAAAGAGAGGCAAGTACAGCCCTTCCAATAAGAATAAGAATAAGAATTTCTTATTTATACCCCGCCCATCTGGCTGGGTTTCCCCAGCCACTCTGGGTGGCTTCCAACAAAATATTAAAATACAATAGTCTATTAAACATTAAAAGCTTCCCTAAACAGGGCTGCCTTCAGATGTCTTCTAAAAGTCTGGTAGTTGTTTTTCTCTTTGACATCTAGTGGGAGGGTGTTCCACAGGGTGGGTGCCATTACCGAGAAGGCCCTCTGCCTAGTTCCCTGTAACTTCCTAGTTTTGTGTGTTAGGTTTTGCTTCCTATCTACACCTTGTACTCTTCAGCAGTTTTCTTCTACAAAAAGTTACAGCAGAAGAGAGCCTTGCTGTAAGAGAATCTTATTTGTCACACCGGCGCTATTCATTTTGATCAAAATGGCTTCCAGAGTTGATCAAAACATCAATTACTAGTAGTAAGAAGTGAATGATTCTATGGAGAAAACAATGAGATGCTATTTAGGGGCTAATGTTTGAGTCTCTAGTATGGACATGTGGAAAAAATGCATTATAAAAATTCCTAGCAAAGGAATGAATTGTACAATATATGCTCTATAATCAGTTGGCATTGCTTCCGCTGTCAGATATCTAAAGGCAGATTTGTATGCCCTGATAATAAACTTTTAATACTAAAAATATAAGCATGACCACTGCCATTAAATAACAAGAATAACAATAACAACAATAATAACTTGTTTTCACATTTTATTTCTAACTTTGTTGTATCTTTCTCTTGGGTTTGAACAGATTGGTTAAGGTTGTGTCAGTCATAGTTTCAGCGGTTCTGATGTTAAATGAAAACATGGATAACTGAAGATTTTCTGGATTAATTGCAGCACTCCAAGAAGGCAGGAGGGAAGCAAGCACGGCGCATGCCCTCACAAGGCTTCTGTATATCTTGTCCCAATAAGCTGAAATAGGTACATTGAAACTGGGCCGTTGTGTGGATTTGCTCACAGCTCCCATGTAAAGATAACTCCGTGAAGGAGAATTTTGTTTTCAAAAGTTTTGTGTGAGAGTCCACATTTCCATTGTACCTCTGATTTTGAATTTTGTATATGACTGAGCCCATGTTTTCCATAACGGCTAGTGCAGTGTCTCCTCTGGAGGGCACCAGATTTATTATGGAGCCTAGCTATTCGACCACCTCTCAGAGGCCAGGTCTGCTGAAGGCACAAATCTTTCCCAGCTTTTACAGCAGCCTGAATTCTTTTATCCAAGACCAGTGTTTCCTTCCCTTTATATCCCTTTCTTGCAGTGTCTAGTATATTCCTGCCTGACATTAATATGGGTGGAAATCAACAGACTGAAACTAAAGCACATTATGGACTATATCCTGTGTCTTCAGAAACACTTCCTCATTACATTCAGCACATCAGTACTTGTTTGTGACACAGTGAATCCCCAAAGGCTCGATTCAGAACATCTGTGTAGGTAACAGGATGATTTCACTGATTGTCTGGTCTTTTAAAACATTTACATTGTTATGTTACAGCACGTAAAGCCATGAAGAATGGGAAATCCCCAGTTATTATTGATAATACCAACGTCCACGCTTGGGAAATGAAGCCATATGTGATAATGGTAGGGGAAACTGACCTGTTGTCATTCTTAATATTTAGCCATGGGTTCCAAAAATGAGCAGATAATCCTGCTATTTGCTATCAAGAAAGGCGGGAAAATGGCAAGAACTTCTAATGTGCTTAACATTTTTTTCAAACATTACTTTTCTTTCACAGATTTTGCCCAAGCCCTGGAACATTTTTTTGTGCCACAACTGGATTTATTTCTACCCCCTCTTGCTCCCTTCTTCTTTGGGTTCCGTCTAGTCCAGGCATGTCCAAAATCTGTTTCCGGGGAGGGGGGGTCTAATCTGGCCCACTGGTCGGTTTAATCCGGCCCCTGTGGCAGTCTATCTCCTGGGTTAAAATCCTAAAAAAACTTGACAACTTCAATCCTAAAAAAAGGTCAGCTACTTCGGTCGGCCCTCACGCATGTTCACTTCATCAAATCTGGCCCTCTTTGAAAAACGTTTGGGCACCCCTGGTAGTCATTGTGTTTTCCTTTCAAGGTTAGGTCACTTAACATTATCTGACTCTTAGAAACCACTAATGGTCCTAATCTTTTGCACAATACGTGGCTGGATGTGCCAGTAAAATGCTGATCTTCCATATGGTCTGGTTTTTAAGCCTCAATGAGCATAGACCATGCAGTCTGTGTGATCAGCTTTCTGATCTTGCATATGAAACTACCTTTTGCAGAACCAAACCACTGGCTAATCATATTATTGGTTCTGACTGGTGAAAGCTTTCCAAGATACAGCCAGTCGCCCAAGAACCATTTAACTAGACATGCCAGGGATCTTCTGTAGGCAAAGCATGTTCTGTGCCGAGGGGCTATGGGACAGCATCCTTCAAGTCAGAAAGAGTGTCACTTTCTTTATATTATATGATTCTTCTTTTCTGAATTGAGCATGCTCTGTAACTCTTAGGTTGCAGGGGGGACATGAGTACCTTTCCTCCAGATTGCATTGTTGCTGCTGGGATCCTAGTTCTCAAACTGCAGTTAGTGTACGCTTGCCTCCAGCTAACATCTGGAGATGGTTTGGTGACTGTGCTGGGAACCTGGTAGGATAGTGTCTATCACTCATAATGAGATGTGCTTTCTGCCCCTGCTTCTGTATAACTTTTGGTATATTTTTGCTGTAGTTCAAAATCACTTGAAAAAAATCACCTTGGAATCTGACTCTAGAATTAGGTCAGTCTGCTAATTTCCCTTTCTTTGTGTGTGGTTAATATAACTTGGACAGCTTCTAAATTATTAATGAAGCAACTATTTCAACATCCGTAGCTCATCACCTGTGTTAAGAGCACATAATTTGCTGTACTATTGCATGGCTTTGCTGTTTTTCTTGAGAAGGAATGTTTGTCAGAAGTGGGCAATATGTGATAGTGTTGTAAATTGTTGCAATCTTCTTTTCTAACTTACCTTGGCAACCTTTATGTTTAGAGATCTTGTGGAATTAAAAGAGGTAAATTATTTTGAACTGCGGGGCAGCACAAAATTTTGAGATTTACTGACTTGACAGATAAATGGTATTAATAGTGTGGCCATGTTGCACTGAACCACAGTCTCACTAGAGTTTAAGGCTAATGATATATGCTTTATTATACTTTTTTATTTTTATACTTTGTTATGTTGTGCATATGTCAGTCATGAAAGGTAGCTTTATATTGTGACTTGATTACAAATTCAGTACTCTTTCACATCAGGCACTTGAACACAGCTATGAAGTTCTTTTTCGAGAGCCAGATACACACTGGAAATTCAATGTTCGGGAACTAACCAGGTATAGTTTTTTGGCTTATGTTTTTAGCTGTTATGAGAATACAAGTGATACCTGCAACAAAACATTGCACTATAGCATAACCTCTAACAGGAGCTCACCTGTTCAGAATGCCAGCTAGCCATGCCCTCTTGCAGAATCTTCCATTCTATCCCCAGATCTGTTCTGCTTTTTCATCTGATGCACAACCTTTCATTGCTGTGCACCATTGGTCAGTCCTTACTGGTCTGTTTTTTTGCCTCCTTGGATTTTTTTTAAAGTACTTCTGCAAAACTTTGGGGTCTGTGGAGCATGCAGATACCTCTGAAGGTGAAGTGATTTCTCCCTTTTGAGGGTCTGTGGCTGGAAAGTCAGTTGCCATGGAGAGAGTTAAGTCAAGAAAGACTTTATTTTATGATCGCAAAAGGTGGGAGTACTGTTGTAACCATATTTATAGTCTTCTCAAAGATAGGAAGAATTCAAAACAACCAACCACGACATTGCATAGGGTATATAACCTTTTATGGCATATTACATACACTAACCACCTTTTGGACATGCGTACTGTAGTGCAGTCAGGCAGTCTTCAGCATGTTCCCTGCATGATCAACGAGTGGATAGTTGCTCATATATCATTTCTTATCTAGCATTTCCCCAGCAATAACTCAATCTCCCCTTTATTTATTCTTTCCCTTGTAAAGCTAGATATTTTTACACAGCCAGCTCATCCTGTAACACGAACCACTTCCTTTTCTTGTCATTCTCTTCCTTTATTGACAATCTGCAATTCAAGCAAACAGGGCAATTCTCAATGAGGGATTTTATTTTTTCCTTTATTAATAAAAATTTCCCTTTAGCCCCCGCTTGTATGTCTGTGGCCCCATTTTGGCTTTCCTTTTGTCAGGACTAATCACCTGTGATAGCTAGTAGATGGATGAGTGGGACCTGCAACAGCGTGTTACAGTGTGGGGTACCGCTATAATCGGTACTGCGCTCCTCATTTTCTCTTTGCTATTAGAGGGAATAGTTCCCCTTAACCTCTTAGGTCTCATATCCACAGTGCTGTTCCAAACCATGAACACACATTAATGGATTAATTTGTGAACTAGGTTGTCATGAAAATGGAAGGAGCAGTAAACATGATTGCTGGTATTCACATGCTGTTTGGATATGTAGCTAACTAAATATACTTACCTATATGTTTACATTTATTCCATAGGCGGAATGGCCATGGTGTTCCACGAGAAACAATACAGAGGATGAAGGAGCAATATGAGCATGATGTTACCTTTCATGATGTGCTTCATTCAGAAGAACCAGCCAGACATTTCAGTAGATCCTATGGCGTTTACGATACTGGTTATTCCCATGTGAACTCAACATTCCCCAACAGAAGAGCTAACAGCAACCCCAGAAATGAAAGATCATTTAGTAGGAGAAATGATTTCTACCGGGTATTTTAGAGTTTTTAATCAAGTTGTATAAAATTTTGTTTTATACCTTCAGGAATTCTGTACTTAAAATATTTGTATTTTTCTATTGACCTAGATTTAGTTCTTAATTCTCCATATATTCTTTTGGAGGTTAAAAACCCTGTTTTACTATTCTTCTGATGCAGATTATATTTCTTCACTCATGTTTACACCTGGCTATATATATATATATATATGTATGTGTGTGTGTGTGTGTGTGTGTGTGTGTTGTACACACACACACACACACACACAGTTTTGACAGGATGACTCACACTTAGGAGTGTAAACATAATGAAGAACCCACAGTAATTTTTAGCGGCAACATAGAAAAGGATCTCCATGTCATTGTGCTCATATACTATGGGGGACAAGGAACTGGCATCCCTGTGCAGATCGCGCTAATAGTGGTGCTATACAATTTTGGTCCTGGTAAGGATGCACACAAATGATATTTCATATCATTAGTGTGCCATAGCTAATCATAGTATAGTGCAACAGTTATAACTCTAATTCCCCTGACTTCTATCAATTGTTCAGTATACAAGGTTGTGGGAATGTAAACAGATTTCCTTCCATAAATATTGACACAATAATTAATTTTACAGTATAAAAAATTAAAATGTTAATTTTAAAACCTAGGTACAGAAGAAACTAAGTTATAGATCTGTATTTCATAGGACCACCTTCTTTTCTACGTTCCATATTAATGTAGCTTCATTTTTATGACATTTACCTTCTTTGACACAGCTGCTTCTCTACTTTGCAGTTTACCTCCTTTTTTACATCATGTAGATTTCCTTTCTTGCTGAAACCAATGAGGAGCTTTATTTAGACCCCCATTTGTTGTCATTGCTCACCCTATTTTTTATTATTATGATTCCTGAAACACACACCAAATAGTTTGCAACCGTAGGAACAATTCAGGGAAGAGGCATAATCTTGACAACAGTTTAGTTTTTCTCTGTTCCACAGTAAGAGTTGGGTAGTCCTCAATTTCCTGTTTGGTAGTAGCATATGCCAAAGGTGGGTAGACCAAGGAAACCTGCCTAAATTCAGTGGAACATTAGAACTAGAGATTAATTGGCACCCTTGTGACTGTTGTTAACACTCAGTCCCAAGTGTTATTTGTGCCTTTTTGCAGCCTGCTAGTTTAATTTCTCTAGTCTCTGCGCTTTTTCTCTTCATCTAATTGTTTCCACAGATCAGATACTACTCGGTATATTTGCTTAATCATTCCGTCTAAAAGCTCTTCAAGGGTAGGTACTTACTGAAACTACAGTGGTACCTTGGGTTAAGTGCTTAATTCGTTCCAGAGGTCCGTTCTTAACCTGAAACTGTTCTTAACCTGAAGCACCACTTTAGCTAATGGGGCCTCCCGCTGCTGCCGTGCCGCCGGAGCACGATTTCTGTTCTCATCCTGAAGCAAAGTTCTTAACCTGAAGCACTATTTCTGAGTCTGTAAGCTGAAGCGTATGTAACCCGAGGTACCACAGTAGTAAAGAGTGATGTAAAAGTAAGATAGTAGAGTTACAAGCAAGATAACTATCCAATAACTATGTTAACATCAAATGCTTTAAAATTGATTGCTGGCTTTAAAAAACAAAACAAAACTAATCTACTTGCATTCCTACAGCCTGATTCAGGTGTTTGTCCTCTCCAATCTAAACAAACATGGGTATGTATGTGCCTCCAAGCCCTGCATCCTCTGGACCATATCTTGAGTCCTCCACAAGTTTGAGGGTGAAGGTATGAAGTGGGGGCCATTCTCCTCCCTTTGCACAATTGGTTCTAAAATTGCACAAGTAATGGAAACTCTGTTCTTCAGACCTTTGCCTTCAAACTCACTGAGGCCTGTTAACACAATAAAGGTGACATAGTGGAAGGATGTTTTTTGTCAGAGTAGCCTTACTGCCCACATAGGCTTCTTTACACAAGAGGAGACAAAACACCGAAATAGGGCTATAACAAACATAAGGTTTGTATGTTTTGGATATGTTTGGCCTTGAACCATTGTGATTGCTATGCAAAAATAAACAAGGGAATCAAATTATATTGACTGCATGTTTTGAACTGTACACTGGAGTTCTAAAAATATACAGTGCCTTCATTAAAGTTAGTTATTGCTGAACTAGTTCCATAACTTTGAATGTGCTTCTGCGCAACATGACAGGATTTTAAAAATTTACAGCCATTCTTACTGGATTCTTCATAATCTATTCGGTAGAGCATACATAATCACACTAAGCTTTATTCTGAATTGAAATGAGTAATACACAGACAAGCCTGTACAAAACACTTATAACATTTACAAAGATTGCTTAAATATTTAAATGTACAGGGACATTTATAAGTACTTTCCTTTGTCTTTGGAATTTCATCTGCACAGCTAATGGAAGTATTTGTTCCATTTGTCTCCTTTGTAGCAGCCTCAGTATTCTCCTTACAGTCCTGCAATATATCTGTTTTACCAGAATATTGGAATTATTCCTTACTAAAAGGCTGACAGGAAGAGCCGTGGGTATGGAATACACAATTGTACCCACCAAATTAACCTGTATCTTCTGGAAAACTACTTACGAGGGCTTGTGTATTTATCATTGCAAGCTCCTCGTCAGCAACAAAATTATTTTCAAGAGGAGAACCAGTCTCACTAGACCCTCTCAGGGCAGATTTTTTATTATAACATGCTGTTCTTTTCAGTGACTTTTCAAGTTGAGTGCCGGAACTTCGGGGGGGCTGAAATGCCCTTTTCAGAGATGGAGAAATAAATATACAGTTGGTCTTCACTGGTGGTGGGGAAGGTACTCGACTAAGCAGGTCCATTGCTCTTCTTTTCTTACAGTTCCTAGGGGTTTCTTGTAGTTCCACTGTTGTTTTTGCTGACCCTAGAGATACCGGTGGCTTTGAATCTAGCTTCCCAAGTGACAAAGGACTCTGATGCCATAGTCCACTGCTAGGAGTTGCAATCTAATTAAAAGGGGGGGGGGGGAGAGAAAACTAAGCTTAAATTCTGTCAGTGACTACTGCCATTCAAAGACATCTGAACTAATCATTACTCCATCACCATCCTTGAGGTATTTGTACTTACTTGAGATGGTTAAATATGCTGGCTGATATTTAAGTTGATTATACTGGTAAATATAATCATCATAATAGATTAATAAAAACTTACGGAATGTTTATTTCCTGTATCAGATTTCTGAGAAATGGGATCCAAGCCACATTCTTGGGGCAAGTTAAATGTTTGTGGGTCATCTGTTTGTAGCAAATTCATCAGTTTGCATTGTGCATCTTTGCTATTCTGCAGGACAAAAATATATAGTTTTTACTTTTTTTAAAAAAAACTTTGCTATTGATTTTTAACATAATGAATATGGTATGCTGTAGATACTCAGGACTGCAATACTTCAAGAACCACCTCTCCCCATATAAACTGACACAGACCCTGAGATCATCATGCAAGGACTTCTTCATGTGCCTCTTCCAGGAGAGGTCCAGAAGCTGGCAACATGAGAACGGGCCTTTTCTGCAGTGCCTTCACATCTGTGGAATGCTCTCCCTAGGCCCGATTTGTGTGGCACCTTCATTAAACATCTTTGGGTCTCAGGCAAAAACGCTTCTCTTCAACTAGACCTTTGGCTGATCAACATACGATGTGCTTTCACATGTGTTTTGGGGGGTGTTTCTGGTTTTGTTCTCATGTTTATTCTATGAACTGCCCTTGAGATCTTCAGATGAAGGGCAATACACAAAATGAATGAACGAATGACATTTGATCACTTGGGAAAACTGACCCTATACATAGATCATATGTATAGTTACAGGCAATGCCTATGTCCAGTGCCAAAAATACTGGCATTCACATTTTGTTGTTTATATAAGCAGCAGATTGGACTGGAGACCAAATCATGCAGACCTCTTCTCCATGTACAGAATGAACACATGACTAGTGCATGAACAGGTCTTGCATCTTTGACCTGCAGCTTCGCGCATTTCACTACATGGGTGCTTTGGGGAAGCTGGACATCTTGTATGGACAAAAACCCTTATCAAAAAATATGTATGTTTTGGCGACTACTGCCCTAGAAATAGTGTAATGCCTTTCATGAAGTTGATAGCTTATTTGGAGGGTGCAGCTGGTATCCTACTTCTGGACAGAGGCTTGTGGTCAGGAACACATTAAAACAGTGTTCCAAGCTATTACCTGTGTTTCTATAGCAAATGTCCTTTAATTAGGGCAACTAGAGAAACAGCTTTCACAAAATACTGAATTGTCTTCCACTGGAGACTAGACAAGTCAAAACATTAAATGCTACTTTAGTATGTCTTTTGTTGCAACCAGCCTTTACCATGTGTATAAGGTAACATAATTCCCCCGCCCCATGCCTTCAGTGCCTTGGATAGGTGAGATCAACATACCTCTACAGTATTTCTCAGTTCATTAAAAAATCCTTGGAGATGACTTTCTTTTGGATTTGAGGAGAATGCAGAAAGGTCTCCAGCAAATAATGTCGGGATGTCTGATCTAAATTCAGGTCGCCACTGAAGGTTGATTGCAGAGATCAACATAGAAGGAATAATTATGTCATCAATAGCCAGCTGCTTAAGATCTGTATAGATCTGGACTGCTATGAAATGATGATTCTCATCTGACAGATACACCAGTGTAGAGAAACCTATGTTAGAAATGAAACAAAAAAAATTAACTTCACTTTTAAAATTAAAAATACTAACCTTTAAAAAAGTTTACATTTTAACCCTAACAAAACCCAAAAGGTAATTCTGGGGAACTTGAATATAATAGCTTATATACTTTGAGCGTTGTATTGGGAAAAGCCTGTAGCCTACTAGAATGAATGCATTAAGCAAGGTGTATCTGACCAGCGGCGTTTCAAGACACAGTACAAGAATCAGGTGAGCTAATTAAAATGCATTAAATAATTGGAAATTTAAAAACCGATTTAAAGCAATTTCTCCTAATGTAGTTCACAGAGGATTGCACAAAGTCTTCCCATTTGTGCAAGAACTTCTACTTGGGCAATGGAACTTCTTCTCCATCATCTCTCCTTGTGTGCCCCTGTGCTCCCCAAATCTGCTCCAGAGGGTTGGGGAGAAGTGGAAATCCTTGTGCAAACAGAACAGCCCTAATTCTTGAACATACTAACTGGTTCTTTTAACTTTTAAAACATTGTTTCCAACTAAACAGAACTTTTCATACTGCTTAGGAACATAATCAAAAGCCATTTGTTGTTCAGCTTACAAGTCTTTTATGCTACAGAATTAGATCCACATTGACCCAAGCAACTCAGTATAGAAATAACTGATTTCTGTTTGCCTTTCTTTGCTCATAAAGGTAAAGGGACCCCTGACCATTAGGTCCAGTCGTGACCGACTCTGGGGTTGCGGCGCTCATCTCGCTTTATTGGCCGAGGGAGCCAGCGTACAGTTTCCAGGTCATGTGGCCAGCATGACTAAGCCGCTTCTGGCGAACCAGAGCAGCGCATGGAAACGCCGTTTCCAAGGAGGTTAATTGAGATGATGAGTACCTAGAGTTTCTAGAAATTTCTCATAGTTGCTGGGCAGAGCAATGTTTACAGATTATAATTTAAAAATAAAAGCATAGTCATACATTTTCAGAATTTGAGAACCGAAAGAATAGCAGATTTCAAATAGTAACAGGCATAAAAATGAAAGTACAAGATCATCCAAGTGGGGTCACTAAATTATCCTGATGAAATCCAGGTTGCTGCTTTCTGGATCTTTGTACGTGTGTTGACTTGCCAATGCTTGGGTCTGATAGGAACTCCAGAATACAGAACCTATGGTATTGTATGTAATGCCTGACCTGAAAAGCCAGATATTTTTCTCTGGTTTCGGTTCATGATTTCATTTTGAGATTAGATGTTTTGGCTTTAACAAGTCATTTAGGTATGCTTATAAACAGGATTCTAAAGCCATACTATAATTGAAATGTAAACAGTAAATCTGATTTCAGTAAAATTCCAATTTTAAAAATTCTTTACAAACCCTAATAAGGATTCAGACTGGTAACTTAAATAGGATTCTTTTTAACTCATTATAAATCAGTGCACTAGTCTTAATATACCTGTTCCTTTTCTTAGAGAAACTATATATCCCACCAAATCCACTTCCGAACAGGTAGGATGGAAAGATGGTTCCAACAGCTTGCTGAATCTCAGGCACTCTCTTGGCCTGTAAACTTGTGACAGGGTTTCTTGAGACACCTAAAGAATTTTGAACAATGACATTATTATTCATTTATTACTTAATATTATTCATTAATACTTCCACAGCCACAGATAGAACCAACAATCCTCCAATTAACCCAGGAGGGAGAGGGGGATTGACAGTTAATGAAACACCAAGGGACTGTCCCCCCCGCTTGGGGTGCGGTTGGTTGGGTTTTATCTTCTAGGGATTCTTACCCTATTAGACCTCCACCTCTTTCACATACCATTTTGACCCAGGAGTCCTGGCCCAAGGATGACTTGTTATTGAGGGGATGTTACCCATCTATTGGGGAGGCTAGTATGGGATCTGGGATTTCCACAATTGAAGGGCTAGGGAGGAATGGCGATGGGGCTAGATATCTCTCTCGGCGAAGGGTTTCGAGATGCAGTGATCCTCAAACCCCTTCCAATCTACGCCCCATCCCAAGGGATGAGGGTAGGGAGAGCAAGGATTACACACCTCCGTCATTGGTGCTGTGCAATGCCAGGTCCATAGGCAACAAAACCGCCACCATGCGTGACTTTTTTGTCTCGCAGGGGATTGACCTGGCTTGCGTGACGGAGACCTGGGTACAGGAAGGCGAAGTAGTCTCCCTACATGAGATAATACCCCCAGGTTTCTCTGTCCTCCATCAATCGCGGACTGTGGGTCGGGGGGGAGGAGTAGCGTTGTTATTCCGGGAGGATTGCTCTTTCAGAGCTCTGCCATCACCGGTGATCTCCGGCATTGAATGTGTTGGTCTCGTGTGGGGCACCAAGGAGAGCTTGGCTGTCTGGCTGGTGTACCGACCACCCAGCACACCTGCAGCCACCCTGTCAGACCTGCTGGAGGTGGTGGCGGGCTGGGCCTTGGAGTTCTCAAACCTACTGGTTTTGGGAGACTTCAACATCCATGCCAATGCCGCTCCCTCACAGGCTCTGGACCTACTGACTTCCATGGCAACACTAGGGCTCTCCCAGTTTGTTTTGGGCCCCACTCATCAAGCAGGCCACACGCTGGATCTGATCTTTGGGGCTGGCATAGATGTGATCATGCTCCCCGCTGTGGAAGTGCCATGGTCTGATCACTACGTTCTGAAAGCCAAGATTGACTTCCCGCTCCTCCCCGGCTCGGGTGGCGAACCTATTTGGGCTCGTCCGCGAAAACTGATGGATCCTGATAGATTCCGACAAGCCTTGCGGAACCCTGCTCCTCCTGGCGACTCATTAGATGACCTTGTTGAGGACTGGAATAACCGGCTCTTGGCAGCTATTGATGAGATCGCGCCTAAGCGCCCTCTGCGACCCCGTCAAAACCGGGCCCCTTGGTTTACTGAGGAGCTCCGGAAAATGAAGCGGGATCTCAGACGGCTAGAGCGAGTATGGCGACGGACTCGTGACGGAGCCTCAAGAACATCTTATAGGACGCTTATGAAAGCCTATGAGATGGCTATGAAGGCTGCTAAGAAATCTTACTTTGCAGCTTCCATTGCATCCGCTAGCTCTAGCCCGGCACAACCTTTTAGAATAATTAGGTCAATAACGTCCTTAGGAAGACAACCGAATTTAAGCACAAATTCGACCCACAGCTGTGAGGCATTCGCAAGCTTTTTTGCGGAGAAAGTCCTGTTGCTCCGCCGTGACCTCCCTGCCAATTTAGATACAGTGACTGAACTGGAGGCCCCTCGACTGACTTCAGGTCCAGTGTTGGACCATTTCGATCGGATACTCCCTACTGATGTGGATAGATTCCTCCAAGTTGGTAAGCCCACCACCTGCCTCCTTGATCCGTGCCCGTCTTGGCTGATTAGGGAGTGTCCAGATGTTGCGCGGACCCCCCTGGTTGAAATTATCAATTTGTCCCTTGACACGGGGACATTCCCAGGGGAACTGAAGGAAGCAGTGGTGTGTCCACTCTTAAAGAAAACTTCATTAGATCCCTTAGACCTATCAAATTACCGCCCAGTTTCAAATCTTCCATACCTGGGTAAGGTAATTGAGAGAGCGGTTGCTGAACAGCTTGGTAGGTTTCTGGAGGAAACATTGGCATTAGATCCATTTCAGTCCGGTTTCCGTCCTGGTTTTGGGACGGAGACGGCTCTGGTTGCCCTAACAGATGATCTCCGTAGACAACTGGATTGAGGCGGGTCAGGACTGCTGATCCTTTTAGATTTGTCAGCAGCCTTTGACATGGTCGATCATGATCTTCTGGACCACCGCCTCGCAGACGTGGGGATACAGGGCATAGCCCATAACTGGTTGTGCTCTTTTATTTCTGATCGGGGACAGAGGGTGGCACTAGGGAGGGAAATGTCATCGCACCACTCCTTGGTGTGTGGAGTGCCGTAGGGCGCAATTCTCTCCCCGATGCTTTTTAACATCTTTATGCGCCCCCTTGCCCAGATTATCCGGAGCTTTGGGCTGGGCTGTCACCAATATGCTGATGACACTCAGCTCTATCTGCTGATGGATGGCCACACCGACTCAGCCCCGAACACACTGACCAGATGCTTGGAAGCTGTGGCTGGATGGTTTCGTGGGAGCCGATTGAAACTAAATCCTTCGAAGACAGAGGTCCTATGGCTAGGTCAGGATGGCATGGGGATGAGGGACCAACTCCCTTCTCTTGCAGGGGCCCAATTAGTGCCATTGCCTTCCGTTAAGAGTTTGGGTGTAATCCTTGACGCCTCCCTTTCCATGGAGGCGCAAGTTACAGCAACAGCCAAGGCGACATTTTTCCACCTTCGCCGCATCAAGCAGTTGGTCCCTTACCTTTCCCGCCCCAACCTGGCCACAGTGATCCATGCGACGGTCATCTCCAGGCTTGACTACTGTAATTCGCTCTACGCGGGGCTGCCCTTGAAGCTGTCCCAGAAACTCCAGCGGGTACAGAATGCTGCAGCAAGGCTCCTCACGGGGTCTCTGCCATGGGAGCATATTCACCCAGTGCTTTTCAAGCTGCACTGGCTCCCGGTGGAGTACAGGGTCAGATTTAAGGTGCTGCTTTTGACCTTTAAAGCCCTTCACGGCCTAGGACCCTCGTACCTACGGGACCGCCTCTCCTGGTATGCCCCACGGAGAGCCTCAATGTCCATAAATAACAACACCCTAGTGGTCCCAGGCCCTAAGGAAGTTAGATTGGCTTCAACCAGAGCCAGGGCCTTTTCAACTCTGGCTCTGGCCTGGTGGAACGCTCTGCCTCATGAGACCAGGGCCCTGCAGGATCTGATTTCTTTCCGCAGGGCCTGTAAGACAGAGTTGTTCCGCCTGGCCTTTGGCTTGGAGCCAATTTGATTCCCTCCCTCCCTCTCTTTCTTTTTCTTTTCCTTCTCCTCCTGCGATGAGGCTACATTTTAATATTTTAATGTTCCATTATTTTAATGTTGTATTTTATTTTTGTTTTTAAGTTGTAATCATTCATCTTGTTTTTATTATTGCTTGTAAGCCGCTCTGAGCCTGGCCTTGACTGGGGAGGGCGGGGTATAAATAAAAAATTATTATTATTATTATTATTATTATTAATGTTGCTTAAATTTTTAGGTTAATTCACAATGACAGGCCATAATACTTACTGGCAACTGCAGATACTGAGTTTTCTTGGTAGCTGTTAACTGTATATTGGCAGTCTCCAACTTCCCTTTGGATTGGGATGCAGATAATTGGCAGACTCTATACCGACCTCCTTCCCTTAGGAGGGTAAAAATGTCTGATGATGGGCGCCAGATATTCAATACTACTTCTAAAGATGTAAAATTAAACAATATGTTACCCTTCATCAGCAAGATGGACCACCCAAAGAAGACATGCAGGACCCATGCTGGGTCTTAGTAATCACAACATCCTTTTCTAAATGCTCACAGACCGACTGTTGAATTATCTGTTCTAGGACCTTCGCTGGTATTGATGTCAAGCTCACTGGTCAGTAGTTACCTGGATCTTCCTTTCCCCCCTTTTTGAAGATGGGGACAACATTTGCCCACCTCCAGTCTGTAGGGACCTCACCTGTTCTCCAAGAATTCTCAAAGAAAATAGACAAAGGCTCTGAAGTTACATCCACAAACTCCCTTAGTACCCTTGAATGCAGCTAATCAGGCCCTGGAGACTTGAATTCATTTAAAGTAGCTAGGTGTTCCCTTTCTACCTCTTTTCCTATCTTGGGCTGCAGCTCCCTCCTTACATCATTTAATCTGTTATCAACAGGTTGGGCATCACTTTCCTTTTGGGTGAAGCAGAGGCAAAGTAGGTGTTGAGTAGTTCTGCCTTTTTCTCTGTCACCCAATAGCATTTCTCCGTGTTCCCCATGCAGAGGACCTACCACTTGCTTGTTCTTCCTCTTACTTTGGACATAGCTGAAGAAATTTCTAACCTCTCTTGCAAGCCTGAGCTCATTCTGACTTTCCCACTGCAACTGTTGGCTACTTGGGTATACTCCTCCTTTGTGATTTCCCCTTTCTTCCATTTCTTATACATGCCCTTCTTAAATCTCAACTAATCTGGAAGCTGCTTATGCAGCCACGCTGGTTTCCTTAGATGCCTTCCATTTTTCTTTCTTGTTGGTATTGTCTGCATTTGGGCCTTCAAAATTTCTCCTTTTAGAAACTCCCATCCTTCTTGGAGTCCCTTCTCACTGAGTATTTCTGACCATGGGATCACTCCCAGGAGCTCCTTCAGCTTTTTGAAACTGGCCTTCTTAAAGTCTGAGTGCCTGTCCAACTACACTCAGTTTTCCCTTGCCCCTGTATCCTGAAACCCAGGAGAACATGATCACTTCCTCCCAAGTTTCTGAGCACTTCATCAATCATTTTCCTCCCTATTGGTGAGAACTAGGTCCAAAATAGATGACCCCCTTGTTGGTTCTTCCACCTTCTGGGAAATGAAATTGTCAGCGATGCAATGGAGGAATTTGTCAGACCTTACACTCGTGGCAGAGTTTGAGTCCCAACAGATATCGGGGAAGCTGAAGTCCCCCATGATTACTATTTCTCTCCTTTTTGAAAGTTTGGTAATTGGCTCTAGTAAGGCATCATTCAAGTCTTCATACAGTGAATTCAGATAATCATGCAGTGTGAATAATCTAATGTTTAAATCACGAGGATCTCTGGCCTTACTAACCTTTTCCTCTTTCTTCTTTTCTGTAATCCACAATTCGTAACTTGAGTACTGCGGTTACATCCCTTCTGCAGGAACTGTTTTCCTCCTCAGCAGAATCCACCGCCTTCCTGAATTCGGCTTCTATCTGTGCTTGCTTTTTATCATTTACCATCTGTCTGTGACTGTTCAAGGCCTTTAACTGCTCCTCACTGAAATAACTCTAAAATCACAACAATAATATGGCTTTGTCCATTAGCAAATACAGGATGTAAGTCTCGGTTCTATAAACAAAATTTATTGTTATTATTATACTGAAACGTATTTACAAATATGAAAAGGAAGTTTCCATCTCAGCCACTGAATTTCGACGAACTGCCCCTCACATTTAAAAGAAGCAAAACAAGTGATACTTGACCTTTTTGCTTTCTGGTGTAATATCAAAAGAGCAGTCAGTGCTTCCCCAACAACTAGAACTACACACACTACAAACCCACAGTTTGTTCTGTAAACTGGCTCTTATTTTCTTACTTTATAGTTCCGTCAAAATAATACCTTCATTTTATCTTACAAAGTGTTCTGTAAACATCTCAAGTTTCATTTCAGATTCTGCTCAGCTCCCTGCTCACACTCCTGTCCTTCCATCATGCAATCAAACTCCAGAACAGCATATGGGCAGAGATGTAATCTAAGCACTAACATTCATATCTATGCTATCTATACCCTATTTTCAAATATCCATTTCCACATGCACCCCAAATTATTTTACATTCAAGTTTACATTTACATAAACTGATCAGCTCTAGAACTCAGTCATAATTTAATGTGAAGAACTTCGTAAGTTGATATAAGAGTAGAAATAATGTTAAGTTATTTGAAACATTCTTACTTCCAGGTAAGCTGGATCAGCAGCGTTAAGAACTGCCTCGTAAAGTTCTGCCCCATCTTGCAGAGAGCGAATCTGTTGCCTGGTTAACGTGCGGGATCGCAGTACTCTTTTGCCGCCATCTAGTTTTTTAAAAGTTTGCATGAGTTTATAACCACCAGAAAACAATTATAAAGAATAATACTAAAGACTCCATTAAAGGTACTAAGATTGACTGGCATTTTATTTTGAAATGATCAATTACCACCCTGAATATTTAGCCCAGGTACCGTATTTTTCGCTCTATAAGACGCACCAGACCACAAGACGCACCTAGTTTTTGGAGGAGGAAAACAAGAAAAATAATATTCTGAATCTCAGAAGCCAGAACAGCAAGAGGGATCACTGTGCAGTGAAAGCCGCAATCCCTCTTGCTGTTCTGGCTCCTGGGATAGCTGTGCATCCTGCATTCGCTCCATAAGACGCACACACATTTCCCCTTACTTTTAAGGAGGGGAAAAGTGAGTCTTATAGAGCAAAAAATACGGTAAGTCTACAAATTCCGGAATGTGTTTAGTCTGAGTGACAAGCCTCCAACATGAAGACATCCCTGGCAAAAGGATGAAACCATTAAAAGCAGTCTGGTGAACCATTGCAATCGTGATGGGACACAGAAGCGGTGACAACAGTCTGTAAGGTAGGTTGAACCTAAGCATATTTATAGTTCAAATGCTACTTTTGAATTGTTTCCAGAGAATAAAAAGTAGCACTAATTTTATTTTATTTTTTATTGATGTCTTCCCTACCATACTTGTAAGAGACCGATATTTGTTAAGAACCAGATCATGAGAGCTCTATGATCTAATCTGCTGTCTTTCAAAAATTTTGACTGGAGCAGCAGTGCAAGGGGCAGTGGGTGCGTAGGACCATTTCTCCTGCTCTTTGCTGGATCTAAAAAAACGCCACAAAGCTGCTACAGTGGTACCTCGGGTTACATACACTTCAGCTTACAGACTCCGCTAACCCAGAAATAGTACCTCAGGTTAAGAACTTTGCTTCAGGATGAGAACAAAAATTGTGCTCCAGCGGCGTGGCAGCAGCAGGAGGCCCCATTAGCTAAAGTGGTGCTTCAGGTTAAGAACAGTTTCAGGTTAAGAACGGACCTCCGGAACAAATTAAGTACTTAACCCGAGGTACCACTGTATTGGGACGCGGGTGGCACTGTGGGTTAAACCACAGAGCCTAGGACTTGCCGATCAGAAGGTCGGCGGTTTGAATCCCTGCGACGGGGTGAGCTCCCGTTGCTCGGTCCCAGCTCCTGCCAACCTAGCAGTTCAAAAGCACGTCAAAGTGCAAGTAGATAAATAGGTACCACTCTAGCAGGAAGCGGCTTAGTCATGCTGGCCACATGACCCGGAAGCTGTACGCCGTCTCCCTCAGCCAATAAAGCGAGATGAACGCCGCAACCCCAGTTGGTCACGACTGGACCTAATGGTCAGGGTTCCCTTTACCTTTACCACTTTATTAGCACAACTGCAGCAATAAAATAAAATAATGCTGTAGACAGATGTCCGTGGTTTTTTTCTGCTTCATGGCTTGCAGGTGGGGAGGAAACAATTTCAGTCTAGAAAATGCATAGTGAGAGAAACTTCTGAGCCTGGTCCATTCCTGCTGTTATTCTCAATTTGCCCGTCCTCTAATCTACAGTGCCCCTTCTACTTGGTTGTGTTCATTTTCTTATTCCTTCCACTTCCTGTCCCCAACTGCCTTGTGGCATGTAATTTTTGAAACTCATCTCTACCAGGATGCTGAAAATCACATTTTGCACCAGTTTCCAATCTTCGATGGCAGACACAGACAGACCACCACTGAACTTCAGCAGTAATACTTTTGTGGCCATAGATTAGAGCATTTCTGAATCTAATCAATTTTCTGTATGGAACTGTTGGTACACCATCAAGCCCTATATGTGGAAACTCTGCTTCTATGTGCACTTTTGGATTGGGTTCAAGATGCAGAATGCAGAATATTATTGTATGAATTAAAGTCTGTTTAGAAACCCAAGCTGAGGCAACAATTAAACAGCTAATGTTTTTATTTTACCTTCATTCTTTTCAAATTCAGCTTGTATTTTTGCAAGCAATGCTTCCAGGGTTTTTTGTCGATTCTCAGCATGCTTTGCAGCTTCTCTTTCTTCAGCTCGACAGTTACGAAACACATAGGAACCTGCTGTTTTTTCCATCCACTGCAATAAATATTCATTGAAAATGAATATTAGTTACTTAGTTTTAGATTTTATCTACTTAAGCCTTAAGATCTGGTTTAAAGTAATAGTTGAAAGTGCTTGAAAGTTATTGCAAGCTACAGTACTTTACCTGTATGGGATAAAGTCTTTGAACAATGACATCAATGCAACCAACAGTCCCACCATCAATAAGGAGTGATGACAAAGACAAAGAGAATGGCCGGGGATCCCGATGGTATCCTAATTTGGCATACCATCGTGCGCGTCGAGTGCTGTTAGCTGAAATCTAAAACAAAATATCACATATCTACAAATATGATTGCTATAATGCAGCATATATAAGGTACTACCATTTGCCACACACTTGTGGACCTGAAGTTAGTTTTGGCTGAACCGGTCAATAAAAATACAGATCAAATGAACACTGCAACACTGGTTCTCAAATGCTGTTTATGACAGTTTAGCAGGTGATCCATGATAAAAAGTTCAGTAATGGCAAACTTTAAAAAACAACTTTGAGAGAGGCAATTATAGTTCAAGCTTCTACTTGCTTCAGAAACAAATAGTGGCTTACAGGTAATAAATACATTCTCTGTTGGTTCCAATTCCATCTCTCTAACTTTTTGGACTTGTTTTTCAGATTTTAGGTGTTGGAGCTGGCCCTGTCTTTTTTTAAAAAAAGAGTACCACAAATATCCATTTTACCTTCAGCATAAGAGATTCTGGCGCTTCCAGTGGAGTGCTTGCCTCCTGAGAACCCACAAGTTCTGCTCCATGTACAACAATCTTTTGGCCCACAGTCAGCCTCTTTCTACACAATAGTGATTGGAGGGGAGGGTCCAAGACAGCCTTGATTCCATACCAGCCATCTGTAACTTCAACCACTGCTATGTCTTTTTTGTTGTCCTCAGCAGTGCTTTTGTCACCACGGATCTGAGACACATTTGTGTTCAATGATATTATTTTAGTGATGCACAGTATGAGAGTTTTAGCAGCAACATCATCTCTTTCCATTATCCTTTTGATGGCTGAGCGATGACTTTGGTCAACTTCCATGTCATACCTTTCAAAAGAAAAAGAAAATACAATTGGTCTGTGAGCATTTAGGGAAGTATCATGATAACTAAGACCCAGCATGTATTTCTCAAAAACGAGTCATGCCAGACAAATCTCCTTTCTTTTTTTGGTAAGAGTTAAAAACTTGGTGGATCAGGGGAATACTGTGGACATAGTGTATCTTGATTTGACAAAGCCCTCCATTATATTATTGTGGAGAAGCTGGTAAAATGTGGACTGGATGAGATTACTGTTAGCTGGATTAGGAGCTGGTAGACTGACCAAACCCAAAGAGTACTCTCTGTTTCTCATCAACCTGGGATAAATTTACAAGTGGGGTGCCACAAGGTTCTGTCCTGGACCCGTTGTTGTTCTTTATAAACTAGGATGAAAGTATTATTAAGGGGATGCTCCTCAAATTTGCAGTGACTCCAAACTGGGAGGGGGAGCCTCTGAAGACAGAATCAGGATTCAACATGACCTTAACAGATTGGAGAACTGAGCCCAAACTAACAAAATGAATTTCAATAGGGACAAATGTAAAGCTCTACATTTTGGCAGGAAGAACCAGCTGCACAAATATAAAATGGGGGACACATGGCTTACCACATTCCAAATCTTAATCTATACTATACCTGTACTTTAGCTGAAGTAGTAGTCTTTCCGGAGTCAAACATTTATTGGCGAATTCCTGTGGAAATGCAACTTCCATAGCTGCTAGTTTCCACACAATCCACTTATAATGATTGTAGACCCAAGCCTTTGAAATTAGCTTAGAATCCACGCCAGGTGTATCACACAAAGCCCTGTGGGAAATTATCAGAAAATTCATCAAGTTAAGACATTTCAAGTCGTAAGAATAGTACCTCAAAGTAGCAACTACCATAACAACTCAAGCTTTTAAACGACTGTTTTGAGGTGACCCATTACAAATAACAGCAAAATAGCTAAGTAACACTCTAATATAATCGGCTACAAACAAGCCACAGTTAAACATATTTATATCCCTTCATTTCAATGGGAAACTGTATGCTTGACTAGACTCAAAAGTGCACAACTGTAATCGGATCAGCTTTCCTATTTAAGATTTGGATCGGAAAAACATTTACTTATGAAGACAGCAACAAAAAATTATAATCTTCCTGCTGGATATGCTTTGTGATTAACTTACACTGGTAATTAATATTTTAAAGAAACGGTAGCTTGCAGAAATAACTTATTGCTTTTATTATTTATTAAACAGAGCTGCTTTTTCAAGTGAGGCTGAGAATAAGGAGCATTTGCTAGGAGATTAAATAAACATTTTCAAAAGGCATATTGTTAAAATGTACTCAAAACTAGATTGCATAAGTTTTGACATATATTCTATTATTTAAATTCCTAAATATCAGCACTGTCAAAATTCTCTCAATTATAGTTTTCTACAGAGGACAGCAGAGTACCCAGGTGTTTAATTTACTAATGAATTACGCAAAAACAGCTTCTTTAAATTTTCTTTTTCATCTCAATATATAAAAATTTATGTACTTCAACACTAAGACATTATTTGAGGTTCATAATAATGCACTTAATATTTAAACATGCAAAACTTCAACAGGCTGAGGTTTTAGCTGAGATTCCAGTATTGCAGGAGGTTGGACTAGATGACCCTTGGGTCCCTTCAAACTCTAATATTCTATGATACCTGTAGAATTCTTCTTTTCCTGCCTTTCCCTCATCATTTGGAATAAGATATCCACCATCCGCCAGTTGTATTCCACGTTCTTCTAGAAAATAATCTCTACTGAAAAAATCCTGGATGATAAATTGAAAATCTTCTGCATTTCTGCTGCTTATTTTTAGGCACTGCTTGGAAATGCCAAATGCATACAACTGCAATGGTAAGAGACAAGTTGAATATTTTAGTGTTATTAAATATGCCCATTACTTACACATCAATATACATTACTTAGAAATTTCTGTCTTTCTTAAAGTGGAAATTCAAGATGAAGTCTAGAATAAATAAGACATGGGTTCTTCATGTAAAGGGCTCAGTTACTCTGTCTTAGCAGGTCAATTTAAAGTCCTGTGAAAGTCCAGGGAGAAAGGCAATATACAATATAATCAGGTCTCAAACTACAATACAGGTAGGTAGCCGTGTTGGTCTGCAGTAGTCAAAACAAAATAAAAGAAATAAAATAAAGAAATAAAATAAAATAATTCCTTCCAGTAGCACCTAAGAGACCAACTAAGTTAGTTATTGGTATGAGCTTTCATTAGTGTATCTGAAGAAGTGTGCATGCACATGAAAGCTCATACCAATAACTAACTTAGTTGGTCTCTAAGGTGCTACTGTCCTGGAAGGAATTATTTTATTTTATTTTGTTCAAACTACAATGGGCATTTATAATAAATTCAACACCTTCATTTGCACCAAAAAAACATTTAACTTAAGAAATAGAGCACAGATATAATTGCACACAGGGACGCGGGTGGCGCTGTGGGTAAAACCTCAGCGCCTAGGACTTGCCGATCGCATGGTCGGCGGCTCGAATCCCCGCGGCGGGTTGAGCTCCCGTCGTTCGGTCCCAGCTCCTGCCCACCTAGCAGTTCGAAAGCACCCTTAAGTGCAAGTAGATAAATAGGTACCGCTTTATAGCGGGAAGGTAAACGGCGTTCCGTGTGCTGCTCTGGTGCCGGTTTGCCAGAGCAGCTTTGTCACGCTGGCCACGTGACCCGGAAGTGCCTGCGGACAGTGCTGGCTCCTGGCCTCTAGAGTGAGATGAGTGCACAACCCTAGAGTCTGTCAAGACTGGCCCGCACGGGCAGGGGTACCTTTACCTTTATAATTGCACATTGAGTAAATTAAACTTCTTGCAGGATCAGGATCTCTTGTAAGGATTTAAGTTATTAAGGCAGCAGAGACTAAATATATGTGGCCAAGCTCTATCTGGCATTCTAGACCAAATCATGTTGATGGAACAGGTTCATGACTGGAAAACAGCCTTGTTCAGACCTAATGATAACCATGGTTGCATTATGGAAGCTAACCAACCTTGTGTCCTCCAGATGTTGGACGACAATTACCAATATCCTTGACCACTGAGCATGCTGGCTGGGGCTGATGGGTGTTGGGACTCCAACAACCTCTGGAGGGCACTACGTTGGCTACCACTGCCTTATGGGAATGAGTCACAGTGGATTTTGGGCTCAGACACTTTGTCTTCCAGCATAGCCAGGAAGAGAAGGTTTTGTTTTTGTTTTACACTAATTTCAATTATTTGTTATGTCTGAGTGCTTACAAACTATGGTCAGTCTTAACTGTGGTCAGCTGAAACAAGTAAATTCATGAAGCTGGCTTGTTTCAACTAGCCAGTTAAAATGAACTGCAGTTTAGGGTTTGGATAAGAAGCAAAACCATTGTTTATCATTAGGTCCAAACCAGGCCAGCACGTCATCATACTAAGATAGGATAATCCAACCAGGCAATAAAGTGCAGGTACCTGATCGCTGGAGAAAGAACCAGGCAATTTCTCTCCCACCGCTGCTTTCAGAGGAACTCTGCAAGGAGCAGATATTTTCACAAGGTACAGGCTGCCTGGTTGTGGACAAATTCTCTGGCTTTGTTTCTTTATAATTCTGATTTCTTGTAGATTTCTTGCATATTGAAGATTTGCTATTATTTTTGTTAAATCTGTTAAAGAAACATATTGATCAAGTCCTAAAGAACGTATTTCAATTTAAAATAGAAATTCCAAACATACACAGGAGGATAGTATTGTATTTTTAGACATTTCCATGTATAAATGTTAATCCAAAGCGTATCTTTAAAAGTTTTAAAGAAAAAAATTATTAAACAATATCTAATAATTATTTACTGATAGACCATCACACATGTCTTTATTTTTGCATTAAAGCAGGGATGTGGAATTTGGCCCCTCCAGATATTATCATACAACTCCCATATTCCTGGCCATTAGCCAAGTTGGCTAGGGCCGAATGCAGTTGGAGTCCATCTACATCTGAAATGCCACAAGTTCCCCATTCCTACACTGGAGCCACCAAATTTAACGTCGCTGTTATTAAAGACAGATTTTTAAGACTGAAGTTTAATGACAAAATCTTCAACTGTATTCCATAACAGCACATTATTAAAAATCACATTGCAAGCTGACAAGTTGATACAAATATCAACTTCCCCCTTGGCCTCCATTTCTATGGAGAGGATCAGGTTTTAGTAATAGCTCTTTACCTTACAGCAGCAAAAGAGGAACTGGATACTGTCCCTCTCTAAAAATATTAGCTGAGGGGACAGAAAGGAGTACTTCACACTGATCTCCAAAGATCTCTGCAATTTAGCCTGCATCTGTGCAGATCCAACATGTGAAACGTCACAGAGAAGGTAACATTATCAGAAACAATTTGTGAATAAATTATCATAGTAATTAAACAAATGTTCACAAATACATGTGTACACACCTAAACATACCTGAATTTGTACCTCTGGATTCTGAATTCAGAGCTGATATTTGCATGGAATTATCTTCAAAGATATTGCCTTCTGTTTCAGTAGTGCTCTGGTTAACTTTTGTAAGATGAAGCTCTTCCATTCTATTAATATTTTTGTTGTCCATTAAGACAGATTCTTTGCTGTTACCTAGTTTATCCTCGGAAGCATTTGCTTTTGTTTTAAAAGGTGGTGCAAAGATTTTGGCAGGTTTCTTTGCTGTATTTTCTGCTTTCTTCCTTTCCTCAGTTAAGGTCTTACTAGAATAAGTGAGAAAATAATATTGGTATATTTGAAGACTGCTTGGAAATAAGTTACTGAGACCTTTCAGATTTTAATACTTTAACATTTTGGTCTTGGATTGATCCAAAACTTCTTGCCATTCTCTGTAGAACTGAAGAAATTTTGGTAAGAAGTTTTGTACTAACAAACACTAGCAAAAGTGAATCTCCCCCCCCCCCCCCCACCAATTGCTGTTTGACCTGACAGCTACAAGATAAGCATAGCTGGCTACTACCAGTACTGCACACCAAATTCATTTTGGTAGATGATTTAATTACATTAATAACCTGTAAAGGTGGACTTACAGTGCCAGACTTGTTGATAGCCATAAACACAAGATCAACACAAAGAGCCATGGAATAATTAACTTCAAAATTATTTTAAAAATTACAAGGATAGAATAAAGGGGAAAAGTAACTTCAGAGTGGGAAAGGTAGGTCAGTGTCATGGGACTCCCTAGACTGCTTGGGTGACTCCACAAACACAATCCACAGAAGTCCCACACTCCAGCAGCCAGGTTTGACTTAAGGACAGGGCTGTATTCTCATTCAGTGGTGGAGTGGAACGTACAAGCAAATGATATGACATAGCAGTGTGCCCCTCCAAGAAAGGAAGGCAAACCCGAATTCTAGAGCCTGCTAGGCAACCCTCCTCCTGAATGCCGTGTCCAGAAATCAAACCAAGGTTCAAGTAAGGATTCTGAGATTTCTCCTCATACCTGCCTGGTGTACTATTGGATAGTTGGTTTTTAAACATAGATGGTATTCAGAAATAGTTACAGATAAAGCATAAGGAACCTGTGTCTGGAGAAAAGAAGTCCCGCTATGTACACAGTTAAAGACTTCACCTTGAGTACTGTGTCCAGTTCTGGGCACCACAGTTCAAGAAGGACACTGACAAACTGGAACGTGTCCAGAGGAGGGCAACCAAAATGGTCAAAGGCCTGGAAACGATGCCTTATGAGGAACGGCTAAGGGAGCTGGGCATGTTTAGCCTGGAGAAGAGGAGGTTAAGGGGTGATATGATAGCCATGTTCAAATATATAAAAGGATGTCACATAGAGGAGGGAGAAAGGTTGTTTTCTGCTGCTCCAGAGAAGCGGACACGGAGCAATGGATCCAAACTACAAGAAAGAAGATTCCACCTAAACATTAGGAAGAACTTCCTGACAGTAAGAGCTGTTCGACAGTGGAATTTGCTGCCAAGGAGTGTGGTGGAGTCTCCTTCTTTGGAGGTCTTTAAGCAGAGGCTTGACAACCATATGTCAGGAGTGCTCTGATGGTGTTTCCTGCTTGGCAGTGGGTTGGACTCGATGGCCCTTGTGGTCTCTTCCAACTCTATGATTCTATTAAAGAGGTAATCTGATTTTTAAAAAATCTATTTTCCTTACCTTAAAGGGCCACAGACCACTGGCTTTAAAGGAATATTGTAGGTGAACTTTTTTCTGTCGTTCACTATACCTGAAGAAAAATGAAGCTGTATATCAAAGCTACATTACATAATTTGTAAAAGAATAATGTAGAATTCTACATTCATTATCATGATAATACACCTACAAAATCATGTTCAGTATTTGCTATAATGAATTTTTCGTGAAATTTCCCCCAAGGTATTTTAGATTTCTATATTTGTATACTGGTGAAAAATATAATTTATTGAAATAGAAACTAACAGATATCGTTTTTGCATCCATATTAAAAATACTGGGGGAAATAGCGTTGTTACTGGAACTCTATTCACTTCTCAAAAGTACTGTAAGAGTTAAATGCAAAGGCAGGAAGAGTCCCTGCACTTTTAATCATTGTGTAAAGTAAGAAATTTCATCCATATGAAAACTGCACTTGCCAGGTCTACACAGTTCTCTCTGCAGAAAAAAGTGTCAATCAATATTTATTTTACTGCATCAAGGGCACACAAATGGTATTGTTTTAAATTCACCTGCCTGTAATAAGCTGCAGGGGCAAATATGCAGCAGTGATCTGGTAAACTTCAATGATAAACTGCTTTATAATAGCTGAATTTATCAGTATGAAGCATCCGGAATAACTGAAATGTGGATTATAAATCTTAAGCAGCATTTGTATACCATATACACACAATAAGGCATGTAATTTCATGAGGATGAGGTCAATATGCAAAATAGGATTCTTACATTGACCTTGAGAAAATTTAATTATATGTTGAAATGTTTGAATTATAAAAGGCAAAGGAAAACTACAAATACAATACTTCTGATTAACTGAAGAAATCATGAAATGTAAAGATTACCCTCCGGATAACTTTTTGAAGGTTTCAAAGATGCTTTGTTGCGCTCTTCTGACCGCTCAAATTCAGGTAGCAATTTTCTTTTAATAGGAGGTTCCCCTGAAAAGCAAATGTCATAGAGCATTTTTAAATATTTTAAAGGGCCTAGCCCTTACTGATTCTGACTACATCACTGCAGTACATTCCTCAGAAAATTTCTCAAGTGTAATTCAAACTCTCAAGCAATGCCTCTTGAATATTTTAGCAAATGAAAGCTTTTGTAAGTCCCTTGGTTACTCTGATCTGAAAAATGATCCTAGTGGTATTGGCAGTCATTGCCAAAAGTATCATTCAGTTGGTACATTTTCATGATTTTAGTGAATATGCTAGCCCTGTATTACTGGGATCTAAACTCCATGCTGGTGTTTTGATGCATATGTAAAACCTACGGTAATCTTCAAAATATTTTTGAAGAGGTATACAATGACTACTAATAACTTTTTCAAAATCATGGACATAAAAGTTTTATTTTACACAATTTGTATAGGGCTTATTTGTATAAGGGGACGTGGGTGGCGCTGTGGGTTAAATCACAGAGCCTAGGACTTGCCAATCAGAAGGTCGCGGTTCAAATCCCCGCAACGGGGTGAGCTCGGTCCCTGCTCCTGCCAACCTAGCAGTTCGAAAGCACATCAAAGTGCAAGTAGATCAATAGGTACTGCTCCGGTGGGAAGGTAAACGGCGTTTCCGTGTGCTGCTCTGGTTCGCTAGAAGCGGCTTAGTCATGCTGGCCATATGACCCAGAAGTTGTACGCCGGCTCCCTCGGCCAATAAAGCGAGATGAGCGCCGCAACCCCAGAGTCGGTCACGACTGCACCTAATGGTCAGGGGTCCCTTTACCTTTACTAGTATAACCTTGTAAGTTTGCATAAGAAATGTAAGACTGTTTCACATTAAATCTCAAAGGAACAAAAACTTTACAAAGACTGCAGTCCTGATAGGTATGCAAATCGCTTTCCCAATCCCCCATTTCCCTTGCAAATCTTGTGTGGAGTTTGGGAAGCATTTGTAGATGAGAATCAGTGAGTAGCATGGGGTTGTTCAGCACTTCTCTTTGTAACTTCTCTGCAAATGCCCTTCCTCAAAGCTTTTTCTCTTAACAGCTAGAATCTAAAACTGGTAGTGATTCTACCTAACAAGCAAATGAGGGTGGGAGAATTTGGAGAAAATAATCACTTAAGTATGTGATTGGTTATGCACCCCTTGCTCCCATTAATCCTGGCTGACAAGTACCTCGACCCTATATTCTAATTGGGTGCACTTTAACCCATTGTTAATGGTTTACTATGACCATGCATATTACTCCCACTTCTGTCCACCAGTGAGCAGGAGCAACTCTCAGTGATCTTTGATTTAGCACTACTTACATCAAAACCAGGAATCATGGTTTGTTTCACTCTGAACAAGCCACACTCTAAAGCTAAGATATGGCGTTGGCTTAATGCTCGGGCCTGGAATCAAATCAAACACAATCCGAGTTTAGATTTAATGCTAAATCGAGGATCACAGTAGGTTGCTCCCACTCACTATCAGGAAGCAGCAAAGCAGGAGCAAACTACATTCATGGCAGCCCATTAACTGTGGCTTGCAGTGACACGCCAATGCTGCCAATATCTTGGCAAATCTGAGACCGAGACCATGGATTTTCTAAGATGTCTCGCTCCCTGCTAATTCATTCAAAGTAAACTAAACTGAGATCAATCGCAGTGCAACTCAGTAAATGTACAGGAACAGTTTTTTGAAAAAACAAAACAGCCACCTACCAAAAGTGTTTTCTTCTTTCATGTGCCTTTTTCCAGTTCTTGTATATGACAGAAAATTATTAGGTTTCTCAAAACTCAATATGGAATTTTTATTTTTCTGTACTTCTGCATCAGGAAGTTCATCATCTTCCATGAAAGCTTTGGCACTTTCTGTAGCTTCTATTTCCAAGTAATTTTCCGGAGTTTGTGCATAATGACGACATTGAGGATCCAGATTTCCTTCTGTTGCAGTACCACAATTTGCTGCACATTTAGTTTTGCTTCTACTCCGGCATGGTTGGGTTATCTTCAAAGCCTCAATTTCTTTTGAACATGTAAAGTTTTCTTCTAACTCAGATATTTCTTTTTGCTTCTTAGTATGAGACTTGCACACAGGTATTTTAATGCTCAATGGGTTTTTTATAATCTTATTTTCATTAGGTGTACTTGTGGCTGAATGAAGTGCTTTATAATTCATTTGTGGTTTAGACTCTGAAATAACTTCATCCTGCTCTATGGCCTCTGTAGCAAGAACTTTTATAGGACCTTGCCCCACACTCCGTTGAGCATCAGAAAAACTATTACTACTAACATCATCAAATTCTTTTAAGAGACCCATAACTTTCTGGAGAGCCTTTTGAGAAATTTGTACTTGTTTTCCACTTGCTGTGGCAAAGCCACAGGGAATATTTGCATTCGCTTCAGTATTTGAAAATCTTTCCCCTTGAGATACAAGTATTGTGTCTTTCTTTGGAGCTTCTTTGCTCCCAGGAGAAGATACTTCCCCATAACTATAATCACAGTTAGAGACATGACTGGGGTGATCTGATGAATTATTTTCCATTTCAGAAAAAAGCAGTCTTGCTTTCTTTAATGACTCTTCAGATAACTGGACAGGTTTTCCACTAGCTGTGCTAAAAAACCCAGAGTTATCAGTAATAAAATCTGACTTGATACACTTCTGTTTGCTGGGAGTCCATGTATCAGATTGCTTATTATGCATTTGAAAGCATAACTCAGGGTGAGTGTTCAAGGTCATAGATTCAGTATACTTTAATGTGCGCTCATCTGCACAGCACTCTTTGGCTCGAGAAAACTGAGGTGCAATTATATTTTCCACTGGATTGTTCTCTGCAGATGAGTAGTTATTAGAATCGATACACACTCCAGTGCCACAGGTATCAGAACAGCTTTCTAAAAGGTCCTGTTTATTTGTTTTAGGTTGAGATTCCATGTTCTTTTCTACAGATTTATAGCAGACTTCATGAAGCACTTGCCTGGCTTTTTTTAATGCTTCCTGAGAAACTTCAACAGCTTTACCACTTGCTGTATTGAATGCAACTGGCTTAGCCTTCAGGTGTTTTGAAGTCGAAGTTGATGCTTCACTGGCTGAATATTTCTGCAAGACGTTGGTACTGAACAATCTTAAGTCACATTTCTGTATCATGCTACTCTCATTTTTACAAGTTTCATCGTAAGTGTGAACATTATTGTCAGCAAACACATTTTTTGATGGTGCTGCTTCTTGAGAAATACAAGTTAAATTCTCTGACACATAATTTTTCTTATGACATTCATCTGGTAAATGGTTGAGCAAAGAATCTTCACTCTTTAAATCAGAGGTACTAGCCTTTGAAGTGATACTGCAAATTAGGTTTGAGGAATCAAGGCTTTTATTATTGCCAGTATTTCTAGATGACAAGTCCTGAAAACCTTGCATTGCACTAATATCTGACCCTTCACCAGGCAAATGCTGATCAATAGCAGAGTCAATAAATTCCATTTTTGAAATATTTTTGCTTTTTGTACATGCCAGATTATTCTTTGTCAACAAGCCTTTGTTCACTTTCTCCCCTCTAGTATGAGATACTAAATCTGATTCAGATGCATTCATCTCTGAAGAAAGTTCTTTAATAGTGTCAAGATCCTCAGTCTTCTTAATAGTGTTTGAGGACAAATCTGGAAGATCTTCAGGATACAGATATTCATGTTTTTCATTTCCTTCTTCAAATTCCTTGCTAACTTTGGTAATTTTCTCATTTCTTTTTTCCTGAATTATAGGCTTGGTAAAATTACTAACCTCTTCCTCCATTTCTGGAAAAACAGTTTCATCTTCTGAAAGAAGATGCTTTGCTTTAGCTAATGATTCATTAGCAATTGTAATTTGCTTACCACTAGCTGTATGAAAACCCATTGCAATAATCTGCTTCTCTTTTCTGATTTCAGAGATTTCTTGATGGTTGGACCTTTCAGTTTCACTTAAGTTAATATTCTCTTTTACAGAACTGAGATCTCCCTTTTTGCTTTTAGGGCTTGTCTTCCCACTGGAAGTTGGCATAGTCTCTAGTTCTTCTCTTGTACAGGAGGCAGCCAACAAATGAAGCTTTTTACTTTTCCCTGCAAATATGTTCCCATCAGCAACAGTGTGAAATCTCTGTAGAAAACCACTTTCTAGATTGCTCACCCTTTCCCCCTCTTGATTTAAATTACAGTTTTCTTTTCCATATGCATTATTCAAGGTGGATCTTTTTTCAGTCTTAGCAACTTCAGCTAAACATGTTAGATCCGACAAAGCTTCTTGCAAATTATAATTACACTGAGTTTCTTCACAGTTTACAAAGTGATGTGAGACTAATACACTTTGATTATTTTCAAAGGAAGACAGTTCATTTCCTGTCATACAGACGGAGTATTTTTTAATAATTTTTAGGTTAACTTCTGTAGTACTAGAAATCTGAACTCTGCCTTCATTATAATTTACAATTTTTGACTTACTTTCTGTATTTTCTTTGACAAATTTAATTGTATCTTTTGTATTCTTTTTCATCAAATATTCAGCATTTACTTCTTTGACCCTCTGATGCCAATCAATCTCTCTCTCTTTCATGCAGTTGGGATTACTCCAACTATTGTTGCACCTATTTGAACAATCGCATAGCAATATTTTTTGGTGAGGGCTAAGCATTTTGTTCACTCCATCCAGATCGCCGACTAATTTTGTAGTTTTCTTTATAGCATCAACATATAAGCTCATCTCTTTGCCCCCAGCTGCACTACAGCTCCCCAGATCAGACAAATTGAATTGTGATGGTGCTGAAACAATTGGGACAAAAATATTGTTCTGTATTGTGCTTGAATTAATGGATGTAGCTTCTTCACTACTTTGTACCTGTATCTTAGATTTCTCAGCTGTGCCTATATGTTTATTGGGAGACAGATCATGGCCTCTTTGAACCTTTTCTTCAGAGCTTTTCTCAAAATCATTTTCTTTCCAAACTTCAGCACATGTATCATTTTTATCAAAGCTTCCAGACATCTCATCAGCATTACTGAATGCCACCATCTTATGCTTTTTGAACTGTGTAAATTCAAACTGACTACCCGTTTCTTCTAGTATATTAGAAATTTCAGTAACTTCAGCTTCTTGGCTTGCTGTTAAATTTAGTTTTCCTTCAGGATGTTGATTACTAAGCACATTATGGAAAGCAGAATTGGCACACTTGGGGAAAATAATGTGGGCATCATTCATCTGAATACCCAGCAGATCAGAAACATGTGAAAAATTAGATGAATTTTCAGTCAGTTTGTTCATTCCAAGTGAAGATATCTCAGCACTTCTCTGTGCATTTTCATTTGAAATATTTTGCATTCCTTCACTAGGAAAATCTTCAATAAATTTATCTTCTATGTCTTTGAACAATAACTTGCCTTTTCTAATGTTGCAATCAGACAGTGCTATCTGTTTATTGGATGCTGTTCTGAAGCCACCCAACTTTTCAGTTCTGCTAGGACTTATACCTCCTAACCAGCTCTGCTCACTATCTTCAGCATTTCCTGCTAAGTCTACTTGTAGATGCTGGCTTGGGTCTAACTTTTTCTCCAATGCTATAAGCTTAAAAGATTCATCTACAGTAGGTTTTGGCGTTTCCTTTGATTGAGACCCAAGTTCAGCCACCTGAGTGCCACTTGCCAAAAACTTTTGTGTAGCTGATTCCAAGATTGCTTGTTGGTTTCCAGTTTTTGATGCATGTATTCCCAATGTAGATTCCTCCATCACCGCTTCTTGCAATGAACTGAAACATCTAAGACTGACGCATCTTTCACCATGTTCTCTTTGTAAATTTATCTTTTGACCAACTGAATGGGACATGCTTTCACTTGACTCTGTTTCTTGATTAGCAGATATATTACTAGAAGGCATAATTGTTCCTTTTCTGTTGTCTGTCTGTTGAAGTATTGACAACTGATCTGTAAAATTACGTTCTGTGTAACTGAGTGGAGCTTCATGGGAAATGTTACTAAGAATGCAGTTTTTATCAGACTCTACTTGCTGTTTCTCTTCAAGTATGTGTTTGTTAGCGTGCATAATGTCTTCCTTTCGTTCTGTAAGAAATTGAACCATGATAGTAATGTTAGTTGGAATGGCACCATTTTTTTTTTTAAAAATTCTCTCTCTCACCAGCTTTTGTGTTTAGTCTAGTGTACTAGAAAATGTACTAGTGTATCCATTTTCAGAATGTCTCGTAACCACAATAAAGTATGCTGCAGTTAATACTTTGTGCTTTTGCATTCAATATTGCTGTTATCGGAGGAATTACTAAATACTTTTTCTATGCATTTGAGACATTTAATTTCCCCCCCTTTTTTAAACAACTCTAACTTTTGACATAATAAATTACCAACAAAATGGCTCTGCTTAAGCAGTTTGTTTAACCTGTTTTTTTATCAGCTGTGATTGCTGAACAAAATGCACACTTTTACTTTCTGACTACAAGGCCACTTCAAGAAATCAAGCCAAAAGACCTGATGATATAACAAAAACATTTCTTTCAATAAATGATAATAAAGGAGTCACTACTAGTTATGGAAGTTAACTTTAAACTTGCAGCCACGTGGCCTTGCAATGGAATGTCCAGAGAAAAAAGGGAGCTGCTTTAGGCTACAGCTGGAAATCATCATGAGCTCCAACCTGCTTCTTTTTTCCCACTGAAGCCTCTCAAATCGTAAGACTGTCTTCCCTCACATTATTACCCACCATCTTTTTCCGTGTTGCCTTCCTTCTTTTCCTTCCCTCAGCATGTGTCTCTTCCCCATTCATGTTCTTTTCATGCAGCATTTGCTACCACTTATGTGAGAATCCCATATACTTGCCATGGTAAACACTTAACTTCAGCAATATATAATCCACAAATGCAAATATATTAATTTAGTGGGCCTTTTCAATGCAGTGAACATGACTGTCTAGTTCATAGCAAAAACATAGCTATAGTAAGTACAGGAATGGAAGTTTAAGATTTTGATTTTTTAAAAACCACAGGGTGAAAAAATACAAATCTACCTTCATTTCTTATGACTGTTGCAGAAATTTCAGAGTCGTAAGATTTTAAATCTGCACAAGTTGGCACAAGGCAAGCAGAGGAGCCATCTCTCTTTGTGGTTCCTTCTTCCCGGTGAACTGGGGTATTATTTATTGTATAAATAAATTTTTTAGGTCGTTTTTTCAAACGAGAAAGTGAGGTCATACTTTTCAACCCCGCCCTTGTAAGTCCACTAACATCAGCAGCAGCTTGGGTAGAAACACTATCTAGAGGATCATAGTTCTTTTTTCCATTTTCTCTTGAGTAATTACAGCAACTATTATCAGCTTCTGTAAAAGTTGTGTTTTCCATTATGAAGGAACTACTGTCTGAAACATTTATGACAGATGCCAGCTCAGCCTCACAATCTTTCACCAGCGTTGGGCTCTTATTGCTCATAATCGCAACAGGCAATGGAGTGTTTTCAGGCAGTGGTATTATTTCCAGAGAACTGGTGTTTAGCAGCTTGTTACCCTTTATTAGGCATGATGTGTTTTGAATACACGATTCTAGCATTTCAGTACTAGCACACTCTTTGCCAACAGATAGTTGCCTATCTTCAGAACACTTCTTGATATGTGACATAGGAGATGAATCAGAACAGTGTGAGGACGTTTTTTCAAGCTGTGTTATGTCAAGTCCAGATAAGTCCAGCTGAGACCATGAGCAACGCAAAGATGATGGTAATTCCTCTTCTTTCGGAATGCTATTCTGATTCACAGAGTGCTTTTGCATTCCATTATTTGGAATAGTCTGCAGGTGACATTTGGTGGAATTTCCATATTTTGTTATAATTTTGTCTTCATCAGTTTCTTGATATTCACGTTTTGTTTTATCAGAACATGTCTTACTTTCCTTGACTCTCTTTGGTTTTCTTAGAAAGGCTTTGCTGCTTGCAAGGCATTCAGACAGATCATTCTCTGTTCCATCATTCGTATCTTCATCCATTGGTACATTTGGTAGCATATAATCTTCTCCTAATTTACTGGGAAATATGTTCTTAACAAAGGATCCAGCTAATAACCTTTCAAAATCTGTAAATAAAAAACCATGAACATGAGAAAGCAATATTTTATGAAGGGCTCTAATCCCACATTTCATTTATAACATGTATTCCAATATATGTATTAAATTATTTATTTTGAAGCAGTGTTAGAACTGGATTAGTGCAGATGTGCATGTGTGTATATTAAACACACATATACACACACCCTACGACTTATTTTTCTCAAACAGTAGTCCCCTATTGCAGTTTACAGACTGCTTTTGAAACTTTTGAAACTTGGGAGAATTTGAAAATGCAGTAAACAGTAACATTTCATTGGGATAACATTTCATACAAACCCTTCATATGAGTGGAGAGGTGCCTACACACCATTCTTATCTTACCTCATCTATCAGCACTGGGTGGAAAGAACTGAACCTTTAATTTTGTTAATTTTTTTCTTTATTGAATAATATATGTGATATGCATGCAAAGGTATTTGTATTAAGTTTCAGTGGACTTTTATTTCAGTGAGTTGTCATAGTTGTTGTTGTCTGCACTAGGTACGATATAGTTAAATGGGTAGACATATTCTAGAACTACCCAAATAATAAAATACAAATAGTTATTAAACAGTAAAAAATAGTAATCAACCAATGCTCACTGTGGATTTTGCTGTCAGTTTCTGCACATACATCTTCTGTTCCTGATGTGGACTGCACATGCATACTATCTGTCTTGGGACTTCTACCGTATTTGGAGATGAGACTATGCATGACCTGAACACAAAAAGGGGATATTAACATATATAAATTACAAATTAGCTGTGGACATGAAGGTTATTCCAAAAGTTGCCTATTTTGACATATTCTAACCCTTAAAGCCACTCACCAACTCAATTCTTTCATTATGCTGCTTTGTTCCAGAAACCGAATGATTTCCTCTAGCTGAAATATCAAATATAAATAATTTGTAATCAATTATGCAACTCATTAGAGTTCACTGATATGATCTTAACATAAAAACTCAGTTCCCTAGCACAGCATTTAAACAGCAAAATATTTTTGACATAGTCACATTGCTATCATTACCTATTATGACTGTTGGAGAAAGTGTAGGAGGCGTTGCTAATGAACTTGACCAAGTCATCTCAGGATCAGCTTCTGCTCCTAAGCTTTCAAAAACAGATTTTGGTGTCTGAACCTAAAATATATAAAAATTGTTCTTTTTTGTAAAAAAAAAACAAAAAACCTGAAGTAACTTCATTTCAACAGCTAGAAAATCGGAGAAAAAGGGAAGTACCTCAAAAATTTTGGGTGTATGAAGGAAACTTCCATTTAGCACTGAAAAACATTAAGTGTGATAATGTTAGCCATCATCTCATGAAAACAACCAAGTGAATATTTATAAGCCACTATTTTCAAAATTCAAAGCAGTGAACAAAATATTTTTTAAACAGCTCACTTATTTGGTGGAGGGGACAAAAGAGTGGACATTACCATACTATAGCAATAAATCCAATCTTCACATTTCTATATCTTTCATTTAAAAATTCTCACCTGCTTCTGCTTTGCTCTGACCCAATTCTTGTATAGGAGAAACAAATGGCACAGATTTATTTGGTTCGTTAAATATCATTGGAGTTGATGCAAATTGGTTTTTTGCTGGCAGCTTCCTTTGTGGTGTTTTAAAATTACTTTGGTCCAGGTCACTAGTTTTATGTTCAGGTTCTTCTGGTCTTTTAGAGTTATACAGTGGAGCTTCTGAACTGAGGTCTTCAAACCAGTTGATACTTATTGGTCCTAAATCTAAGAAAATGAATATATTATGCAGGATACCGTGCCCTAGGTTATAACCCCACTTGTAAGAAAAAGTTACTATGGAATGACCATATACCATTATTTTGAACTTGTCAAAAAAGTGGAGGCACAGCCTGAGACAGTATTATGTAACCAATTCTCAACCCCCACTTTGCAGGAAAACAGCCTCTCCCCACAATCTCAGGCCTGCCAACACAATCCTGTTAAATTCTGGCTTCTCATATGTTTTACCCAAGATTCTGTCAGCATAAGGTAGCCAGGACAGGACAAAGGCAGGCAGGAGAAGTTGAAGAAGCAAACCCCCTACTTATTCCAGCTGCTGATCAGGTGGAAAGACAGGGGTATACTAGCTCAAAATTTAACATGCAACCTAGATTGAAAGAGAATTCCTTCATACTCAAATCCTCACTCCCCTGTAGCCCCACATGATACAATTACAGTATTCAGTAAGTCCTTTTGGGGTAAGGGGTTAAGAGAGTAGGGGAAAGATTGGTTGCATGGGCAGCCTTCTACTTGTTGCGGGAAAAGCTCTAATCAAGCCCATAACTTATTGAAAAGAATTGTTCACAGCACCATAATAAATGCCCGAGGTACCTGATTCACTACATTGCGCTTTGAATATTTCAAAGAAAGATGGCTTCTTTGGAGATGTAGTAACATTTTTCTTATCCATAATATCACTGGTGTTGTTAAATAAACCTGCAAAATAATATTACAGTATTCTCAAAATCTGTATCATATTTGCAATGAATTCTAGTTCTTTGTGTTTGGCTTCAAGTATTATCTGATAACACACAACTAATGCAGCATTTGCAATAAAAATATTTATGTCTTGCTCAACTTTTTGATTGGCATCAGTTCCACTAAATTTATCATCTAAAATGACCAGGTTGAATTAAAACAAGAAAATTGGCATTCAGGTTCTTAACCCGAGGTACTACTTCCGGGTTAGCGGAGTCTGTAACCCGAAGTGTTTGTAACCCGAGATGTTTGTAAACCAAGGTACCACTGTAATGCTAAATATTTTGTAGCTACTTCAATTTGCAGTCACAGATCTGACCTTATGGGAGGAAGAAATGTTGTCCAGATAAGGGGAAAATTCCATCAAGTGATGCCTCAGTGCATTTAACCTTCAGCCAAGCACATTTTAAGTGCAGACTATGTGGGTACTTAGCAGCAGAAATTGTGCTCAGTTAACTCCTTCCACAGTCCTGCTGCTCGGCTACCCAGACCTAAGATACGGTCTGGCTAAGCGTACATCCCAACCCAGGGTTGTAGTTTGCCTTCCCTAGACAAACAATGATGAGTAGGAAGCCAAGAACAAACCTTGGCTACAGCTCATGATTTGTCTGGAGCAAGACAAGCCATGAGCCCAGGGTCAGACTTAATGCCAAACTGAACCATGGCTTAGGTCTTCATAGTGCAGCAGGAAGTGGACCAAGAGAAGAGCACAGTGGCTACAGTTTGGGTTTGACTTACTTGCAAACTTGAGCCATTGTGGCTTGAGGAAGAATTTCACACAAAACTTATATGAATGAACTCACAGGTGTCCATGGAGGTGCAGGTCAGTTCTGTGTCCAGGACAGCTGTCTACCAGCTCCATCTGGTACACAGGCTGAGACCCTACCTGCTCGCAGACTGTGTCACCAGAGTGGTACATGCTCTTAGTTACCTCCCGCTTGGACTACTGCAATGCGTTCTACATGGGGCTACCTTTGAAGGTGACCCGGATACTACAACTAATCCAGAATGTGGCAGCTAGACTGGTGACTGGAGTGGCCGCCGGGACCATATAACACCGGTCCTAAAGGATCTTCATTGGCTCCCAGTGCATTTCTGAGCACAATTCAAAATGCTGGTGCTGACCTTTCAAGCCCTAAATGGCCTCAGCCCAGTATACCTGAAGGAGCATCGTCACCCTCATCACTCAGCCCGGACACTGAGGCCCTCCTCTGGGGGTCTTTGCTGGTTCCCTCACTGCGAGAAGCAAAGTTACAGGGAACCAGGCAGAGGGCCTTCTCGGCAGTGGCGCCTGCTCTTTGGAAAGCCCTCCCATCAGATGTCAAGAAAATAAAAAACTATATGACATTTAGAAGATATCTGAAGGCAGCCCTGTTTAGGGAAGTTTTTAATGTTTGATGTTTTATTGTGTTTTTACTATTCTTCTGGGAGCCACCCAGAATGGCTGGGGAAACCCAGCCAGATGGTCAGGGTATAAAAGTTTTTGTTGTTGTTGTATCATCATCAGCTACCATAATCCCTTCACGTTAGAAAAAAGTGCATAGGAACAAATCTGATCATGCTACAGTAAAACACATTTGATTTCAATCAAAGTGTTATACAGTATTAGAAGTCTGTTTTACAGTACTATAGGAATAAATATTATTCCTGCATTTTAATTTTTTTAATCAGGATTCTTGGTGGGACTGTCACAAGTTTCTAAAGTTGAACTGCACAGCGTCTGGTTAATAATGTCAAGCAATGGCATATTAAAAAAAAAGACAGGGAAACAAAATTTCTCTTTGCAGAAGCCATGTTTATCCTTGCTAAACAAGAATATATTTGAAACAAATTGTCTGGAAGTTATGTTACATTATTTCAAATACAAAAAACTGTTCCTATGCATTTGTGGAAAATGAGTAACCTTAGCATGTCCACACATGAACCACTGATTACATAAAAGGCTTCTAAAACAAAGTTAATGTACATAGAAACAACAAAGGATTGTGTTAATTGTCACATCTAAAATTCAATACTTGATTAGGACTCGATGGAATTCCTCAGTTTTCCAACAACAGATAGGGAGTGGGAAGCCAAAAATTACACTAAAGCACATCAGCCTGATAACTAGCATGCAGCAATACAGTGGTACCTCGGGTTACAGACGCTTCAGTTACAGACTCTGCTAACCCAGAAATAGTACCTCGGGTTAAGAACTTTGCTTCAGGATGAGAACAGAAATCGCGTGGCGGTGGCAGCGGGAGGCCCCATTAGCCAAAGTGGTACCTCAGGTTAAGAACAGTTTCAGGTTAAGAACGGACCTCCAGAACAAATTAAGTTCTTAACCCGAGGTACCACTGTATTAAAACTATTGTTAACATACAGCAGACAAGGGTCTCTCTGAAGATCCTCTGATAAAAGACATTCAAGAAGTAGAGGATAGGTATTTTCACAATGGAAGGCAGTAAGCAGTGATCTCACAAGAATGTATTGCGACTATTTAATTCATTCAATAATTATCAGGAGTTACAGATAAGAAGTGAAGCAGCTGAACTTGAGGATGACAGCAAACTATTAAGAGTTCTTAAAAAGCACATCTTGAAACTGGGCAAACTGGCAACAGAATTCCTGAGGAAGAGTCAATGCAAGTGTAAATTTATGCACATTGGGACAAATCCCAAACATATAAATTAATAAGATCCCAAATGGCTGTTGAAACTGAAAAGGATACAGTATATGGAACTGATGTAGAATCGGGCAACTAAAATGGTCACCTGGGGCTTCCTCCTCTTAAAATGTTAAAGGCTGGACTGATTTCCAAAAATATGTTTCATCACGCTGTCCAACGGTCTAACAGCACGCATACATTTACCTGGAAGTACCCTACCCTCATCCAAAAAAACCACACACCTTTGTAGGGCTCACAAGTAAGTATACATACCTCTAATCAGCCTGTGCCTCAATTAGTTCCTTCTTCTGAGTAAGCATGTTTAGGATTGCACTTAACCAAATTGCATGGGTGGGTGCAGCCAAAAACGAACTGCCCAAGAGCGACTCTCCTTGACCCTCCCTCCCTCCCAGTGGCAGAACAACTGTTTCGTATGCAGAGGGTTCTGTCCCTGGCATTTGCAGGTAGGACTGGAAATGTCCCCCTGGAGAGCTGCTGCCAGTCAGTGTGAACAACACTGAGCTAGATGGATCACTAGTCAGTATAATGCCTGTTCCTACTTTCTTAAGTAAATCCCCCTGGAACATGGGCTTTTTAAAGGAGATAGCCACCTAAAGTTGTTGAGCATTTTTTGGGAGGCAGGTCACGGGTAAAAACACCCTCCTAAAGGAGGACATTATGAGGAGCAAGCTTTCGTTAGGGGGGCAGGCATCTGCGGGGGGGAGGAGCAGACCCTCAACTGAATACTTCAATAATTTTGGTGGATCTAAGGGGGGGGCGTGTTCAATTGCCCTTCCTGCCCCCCTCCCTTAGCTACGCCCATGTCCTCGACCCAGGTCCAGCCCCAGACATTTTGCTGCCTACCCATGTCTGGCCAAAGTACATGGCACCCGATGCACAAAACCCCACAAGCGTCCAAATCCCTTGGGAGCGAATATACAGCAACCATATATGAAAAGGTCATGCTTCGCTGGCCCTGCACTGGACCTCAAATGTCGCCCTTCCTCTGACTTCGTCCCCGCTTGTCTAAGGGCTTTTTCAGGGGTTGGAAGGAGGAGAGCAAGGAGGGCGACAACCGCCTCAGGGACAGGCAGCCGGCGGAAAGACGAGCACGGAAAGCGCATATGAGCCACGGAAAGGAGATAAACTCCCCAGAAGGGAGTCGAAAGACTGACCGGTCTCCATAGCTGCGCCTCAGCAGCAGCAGCAGCGCCACTTCCTCGAAATACGAAATCTGCCGCCAAGTCTCAGCGACGCAAGCGCAGATGTGGAAATGGCGCGCGTTTGCTCCTCCTCTTCCCAGTTGGTTCAGTCCTGACGCCCCAGAGGAAGTTCCTTCCTGAACTGCAGCGCCACAGGCGAGAGGAGGTGGCTCCCTGCGAGGGAAGCGGCCGTACCACTTCCTGTTGGGGGGGGGATTAAACGGTCTGGAAAGTGGGTGGATTGGAGTGGTTCGTCTCCGCCGCCCTCAAGAATCATGGGGAATGTAGTTCTGCGAGGGTTGAGGGCTGCCTTGCTCTAAAGAATGGGTTTTTATTTTAATACACGGGGCTAAAACTACCAGTTCATGTTTGCAGCATGAAGCCCTTTCACAGCTTGTATTGTACAGCTAATTACAATGTCTTTTACGACGTTCAGTGAGCAGCTAAAAAAAATTGCACCCAACCACTAAGAACTTCTTTCAATTCCCTCTTATAATTTCTGGAGACACCGTTGATGGAATCTTTCAAGGAGTTGGACGGGGCCTTTATAAGTGGTCCATGTTTCACAAAGGTTGATAGCTGTAAATAAATCTCCCTTCGAATGTCCAGGTCCTCAAACACTCTGTGCTTCAAACGGGAGAAAGCTGCACTGGCGGAGCTCAGGCGATGCTGGATACGATTGATCACCGAATAATTATTTCTGGGTTTTTTTACTTGTGAGCAGGCGGCAATGCACACCCACAGCCACAAGGTCCACCTTCAGAGACAAGGAGATAGGACCACTTAATTCTTCTCTAGAGTTATTAACACACTCCCTCCCCCTCCCGCCCTAAATAAAGCTTGAAGTCTGACCACAGCTTTCCCATTTATTGTTCTCTCACATGGGGAGAAGAGGCGTTCATAAAAACAGGTTACCACGTGTTGCACTTTAAAAGACAGGAAGCTATAATAAGTGGTCATTCGTGCAATGTATCCATTTTTTAAAACAATGGGATCCAAGTCTTATTGTTGAAGTTGGGGGGGGGGAGAGACTCTGTTTATTGTAAATATCAAACTCTCAGCAAGTATCAGCATTTACCAGTAATTTTTAACATGTTAGGATGGCCATGGTAAATGGAAGTAAAAGATCCTCCAGGAATTTCATCTGCGATACACAACTTGAATTTTAATCCATAATCCATTTATTTGGAAATAACTCCCTTTGATTTCAGTGTAGCTGCGGTAATCTCATGAACTCATGGAAGCTTCACATCTCCCTATTTGTTCAGCCCAGTCCTTTCTGTGTTTACTTGAAAGTAACTTCCACTAAGTGCAATATGCTTTACTCCTAAATTAGCTTAGGAGTTAACTAAACCTGAACCCCCAAAACAGTTTAGAAAGTACAGGTAAACCAGAACTGTTCTCTTTGTTGCCTCAATGTTACCTTTAAACACAAAAACATGAAATTTTGAAGGAAAAGCAACACAATAATCAGATTTTTTTAAAAAAGATAAATGATTAATGACTAGCAAGCCTCCTCAACAAATGTGTCCACATACACCCACATTCCAAGAATTTTGCAAAACACCAGTGCATAAAAATAGCATATTTAGATGGTGGCAATAGCACATTTTGGCAGATTTATTTATTAATTTACAGGTATTGTAATGGGAATGTTTATCCAATACAATGAATGAAAATATTCAGCACTGTAACTGGGGAATTGCCAAGTAAAGTATGAATGAGCTACAGGACAGACAGGTGTAAGGTTTGATGAAAGATGTGTTCAATGCTCCTCTGAGGCAGTAATTGTAGGTATGAGTTTGTGGGGCTAGACATCCCTAATTCCTGAGTCCAGTAGCGGTTAGAAGTTAAGGAAGACAAATATACAAGCCAAGTCAGTTCCCTGACTAGGAAATCGCCTGGTGTGAGGGACCATTGGAAGACAAAAGGAAGGTAATGAGCCATTAGGAAAACCAAAAGAGAAAGGCTTTGTGCAAGAAGTACAAACCATATATCATAAAAACACCAGTCTCTGTGTGCCTCCTTTCGAAAAGGACCTGGATTCTCTCACAACATGGATATTGGGGTGACCAGCTGCTACATTCAGCTGTGAGACATCAGGAGCTGAGAAATGTGAGAGCTGACCCAGATTGGCTCAGCCTCAATGTTGGTATGCATTGTATGAACTGCTTCAAAATCTGCAAAGATGACTGTCAGAGCACACTTACTTTAACGTAAGTTCCATTGTAAATTGGACTTACTTAAAAGTAACCCTGTTGTGGAACAGGCTTTTATTTTCTTCCAGTGGTTGGGAAAGTTATATATCTACATGCAAACTAACGGTGGGTTAAAAACATCCTCTTCAGAAACATTGTTTCTCCTAAGTCTGCTAAGTGAATATGTCTGCTTTCATTTTGCCAGTTGTCCCCAAACGTCTACTCTCTATACGGAAGTGGGGTTTTGTCTCCCTGCCCACAGGCTCCTGTTCTGTTGGGCATCTATCTGTGACAATGTCTGAACAGAGCAAATGTGCATTATATCTCAGATGACATTGTCATACCTATTTACATGGGAATAAGCCCAATTGAACTCAATGAGACTTACTCTTGAGTTGCACTATAACTTATGTAGATCTGAACAGTGTTGATATCACACGTATTATCTGGGAATCAACAAGACAATTGGGATTTTGTATGCACTGGATTTTATACGAATTGTATTCGGATCTTAACCTATTATCTGTGTGAGGCAGATGGGTCCAACTGGGGGGGGGGGAGGAGTTGTGGCCTTGCCCTCCATATGCTAGAGCCTATTTTAAACTAGCTAACTGCTTCCTACTCAAGGTAGCACAGTTTTGCAGAGGAGGTGTAAGCTTGTATCAAGCAGCTGAAGCCAAATGGATTGCTTTAGTGTAAAACCAATATTTAGGCAAGTGCCTTTAATTCTCTGCAAGGGAGCACCCATTGGTTTCAATGGATATACCACAGTCTGAGACCTAGTTAATCAGTCTGGCCGACTTTCTAATGGGCTCGATCCAGCAGGAATGGGGTTTAGTTTGCAAAGGGACGCTGGTGTGTTTAACCTTTGCAAGCTTAGGAGTTTGCTTTGGATATTCACTACTTTGGCTTAAGTCCTGCCAACATCCTCCCCTAGCCATGGTCAAGAGTTTGCAGTTGGTAATAATCAATGGAAGGGCGATTATTACCGCCGGGCAGCAGTAACGAGCACCAATTAAGACGCCCTTCCCCTCGAGGGATAAAAGCCACGGGGAGAAGGCGAGCCAAGTTACCTGTCCCTCTAGGCTATGGAGCGCTTTGTCTACCCGTCCTATAGCATCTACCAAAGTTATGGGAACGCCTTCAGCCACAGCCACAACGTGGCCCCCAGGCCGCCATCTAAGCAAAAGCAGCCTGGCTGGAAGCAGAGCAAGAGCAGCAGGAGCAGCATCCCGAGCCCTTACCGGGGCCCCCTGTCTGCCCCTTCCTCGGCCCCGCTGCCGCCTCTCCCTCCGCCGCCGGCCTCGCCGGATTATTTAGACAGCTACAAGCGGGCCCAGCTGAAGGCGCTGCTCTCTCAAGTCAGCCCCGGCCTCGCCCCGAGGCTCCGCAAAGCCAGCACCAAGGAGGTGGGCACCCAGGTCAACCCGCGGGTGGACGCCGCCGTGCAGTGCTCGCTCGGGTCCCGCCAGCTCCAGAGCCTCCTCGGGCGGGAGCCTCCGCCGCAGCAGGGCCGCCAACTCTCCCCTTGCGCCGAGGAGGCGGCGGCGGCGGCGGCGGAGGAGGAGGAGAAGCAGCCGCCCACAGGGCGAGAAGGAGGGCCGCCATCCCAGCAGCAAGAGCCCGAGGGGAAGGAACCCCTGGAGCCGGAGAAGGGCGCTCAGGCTGAGGCGAAGGGGAAGCTTCCAGGCAGCGGGGAAGGAGAAGAATCCGCCCAGCAACTGCGGGACGGGGAGGGCGACGTGGGCCAGAAAGGTGCCGCTGACGCCGCCGCGGCCTCCGCCGCCACTGAGGGCAAGAGAGCTGCTTTCCAGGTGAGTGGGCCTCTCGGTCTCCTCAGTTCATCCGCTAGGGGCGCTGTGGAGGCGCGAAAAAAGGCGCGAAGGCCGTCTCATCCGATTCCTGAAACTCGCTGAGGGAGTGAGGCGCCTCCTTCTACTCGAGACGTTTTAAGACAAGTCAGGCCCCTCTCCAGCTTCTGTTGCTCCCCGTCCACTTTGGGATCCACCTCGGGGTTATATTTCGTGTTTAGCAGATGGACTACGGGCAGTTCTAACGCGTTTCAGTAAACAAGTGGGTTTAATAACTAAAATAGGGAGCTCCCCCATTTCCTTTTTAGCTTCCTTAGCTGAAAGCAGGACCAAGACTCACTGAATGTTAAGAGTTCTGGGAAACCTTTCCTGGCTTGTGAAGTTGCTAAATATACACTAGTGTTTCCAAACCTTGGCTCTCCAGCTGTTTTAAAACTACAACTCCCATCTTCCCTAGCTAGCAAAACCAGTGGTCAGGGATGATGGGAATTGTAGTCCGAAAACAGTTGGCGACCCAAGGCTGGGAAACACTCTGCCTATTCAGAACTGTTATCTCCTTCTTAACTGCAGATTTTGGGGGCTGAGTCTGCACCCTTTGGATTGCTAATCTGCCATGCACTTATTTTTTTAGAAGCTTAAGTGTTTTTGTTGAGGGGTGCCAACACTTCAATACAAGCCTGGGCAAGTTTAAATCGAGTTGAGAAAGCCAGACTTGTTTATAGTACTGTAGTTCCTCCCAACTTCTAAGCATGCCTATAGGGAAGCAAGCTCCACTTAACTTGGAGAAACTAAGTACATTTAGGTATGGTCTGTGAAAAGTCACTGTCTTGTTAAGTGAGTGTGACTCGTGTGTGTGTGAGGGACCTGTGGCCCTTGGGATGCTGGTTTTGAAGCTCCCATCATGGCAAAGATTAATGGGAGTTGCAGTCAACATCTGGAGGGCCACATAATGGTTTTATAACTGTTGTAGTAAGCAAAAGAGGAATGAGGGTGGTTGAGAACCTAGTGACAACTCTTATTTACTGTAACCTTTGAGGTTAATTTGGCATGTAACCCAATATGGAAAAGGAATGATTTTGCATTCATGTGAGGAACATTTAAGGCTGTGAGAAATGAGGTTTTTCACAGCCACATCCTGCATGATTTTTTTATTTTTGCAGTGGAAGACCACTACACTCAAAAAGACCTGGCTTCTGAGTAAATGTACATAAGATTGCAACCTGTGTGCAGTGGACTTAAGACTATAATTTTTGGGCTATGCCATAAGATTTCTGCTAGACTAATCTGTCAGCATTGCGGGGGTGGTATAAGGTGACAAAGTGAAGTGGGTATCTTTAGTCTTGTTCTTGCATGAAGATTAAGTTTTTTGGTGTTTGAATAAAAATTACTCTGCAGAAATCTTTGTAATACCCTTCTTGCATATGTCCATGAAGTATGAGCTAAATGACACAAAAAGGTATGTTTACAGTATCACTTCATATCTCATGCGCTCCCACTGCTAGTTTTCAAAGCCACATTCATGTTGCCCACAATCCATATAATTCCTGTAGTTTATTGACAAAGACTGCTGTTGGGTACATTTTGTCTTAAAACTGCTTCAATTTGACTAGATGTAGAGTAAGCATTAACAATAACATATCTTGCATTTTCCATTGCCTGCCTTAAACAATAAGCCTGCAAATAGTAAGAGTTGGCTTAATACTATAAAGATTTCTAAATGTGGTACACATTAATTTATTATGCTGCTAATCAGCTATTTTCTATTACAGTTCCTAGAACAGAAGTATGGCTATTTCCATTGCAACGACTGCAAGACCAGATGGGAAAGTGCTTACGTATGGTGCATTTCTGGAACCAATAAGGTATTTAGATGAAAAGACAAAATTTGCTTCTAGAGGGTTTGCTTTTGGGTACAAACAAAAGGGTTGCTGTACCTTACCAGAAAGTGGAGAATCGTTTATGAATTGAAGTGCTTCACAAACCTGCAAAGGGTTTTTGAACATTTCCCAGAAATAGTTGTCTGTCTTTAAGGTGCCAAAAGCTTGTTCCTGCTGCAGCTGACTGATTTATTGTAGCATAAGCTTCTGTAGACTAGCAGAATGCTCATGCTAGATTTTATTTATGATACCACAAAACTTTTATCTTCTTAACCAGAAGATAGCAAGGAAATACTGATGCTATTGTCATACTACCCACAACTCTCTTGAACTATTACCAGTCCCTGTTAATCAGGTTACTTGTTCATTAATGCCCAACAAAATGCTAGTACTGGAACCTTTTCAGTGGAATATTTGGAGCCACTGAATGGAAGCTGTTCCTGTTAGCTAAAAGACAGCTCACTTATGATGCCTGAGTTGGAGATGCTTTTGTTAACATAGCACCTGTGGGTTAACATGCAGCTGCAAAGGTCTTCCTAATGACCTCAGACTTCTGTCCGTCCTGTTGAAATTAGGCCTGAAAGAAGCCTTCCATTGGAGCCCATACTTTTTTCAAGCCTAATTGCAATGGCCGGAGGAGCATTTGGGGGGCTGCAATCAGGGAAGGGGTTAACCCTGTCCTCCCTACCTGTGAATCTCCCTGAAGCAACTTATGTTTGGAAGAAAACTTTATATTGGCTTAAATAGACGAAGCCCGTCAAGGATGCAAGATAATCCTGAATTTTTAATACAGTGTTGTGAATCAATGAAACCTAACTGCCTGTAAACCTGTTTTTGCTCTGGATGTGTAACTTTTTAAAGAATTGACAAATCTAGATGTTTGATCTGAGAAGGCTTTCTTCTAATGGCAATCACCTTCCTTTGCATAGGTTTACTTTAAACAGCTTTGTCGCAAATGTCAGAAGAGCTTTAATCCTTATAAAGTGGAAGCAATTCAGTGCCGTGTAAGTAACACGTTTCCTAAGATGTGTTAAACAGTGAGAAATACTTGCCTACCTTAAACGGCAGTGTTCAGGGAATAGAAAAAAATATATGGAGAAGTCACGTTCAGCTTTCTTTACTGTTAGTACCAAGACTAGCTGTGGGGGTAATTTCTAGGAGGCTTGGTATCAGTCATACGAGTTGGAAAGGACCACATGGATCATCTAGCCCAACCCCCTGCAATGCAGGAATATTTTGCCCAGCATAAAACCTATGGCCCTTTATTAAGCAAATATAAAACTGTATAGCAGGAGAAGGCAAACTTTTCTGTCAACAGGCAAAGTTCTCTTGGGAAGTAATCTTCTGGGAGCTACATGTTTGCATTGGTCACAGCTACCCTCTACACTAAAGACAATGGCTTTCCACACATTTTTAAATGTGGGGTGGTGATCTTATCTCGCCCCACCCCACCCTCCTTGAAATTAGGCCCTGGAGCTGCAGGTTTTTCATTCATAGGAACAGGCCACTTTTGAGCTGCTTTCAAAACAAGCAGAACAGCCTTTCTCAACCTGTGGGTCCTCAGATGTTGTTGAACTACAACTCCCATCACCCCTAGCTAGCAAGGCCAGAGCTCTCAGGGATGATGGGAGTTGTAGTCCAACAACATCTGGGGACCCACAGGTTGAGAACCGCTGAAATAGAACATGCAACTATGGCAGGAACCCTGAGCCAAGGTGACACAGTGGACAGAGTGCTGAATTAGAGAAATAACAATAGAATTATGGAACTAGTATACTTAAAATACATCAGTAGCAGGAAGCCAACTTTGGGAGGAGAAGTTTGATCTGTTCACTAATTTAAATATGTTATCCAAAGATCTGTGCAAAGACTCGTTGCTCCTGCCCCCAGAAGAAAAGGCACATTGACCTCAAGAGGCCTCACCGTCAAGAGCTGTGTGGCCGCTGCAAAGGCAAAAGACTCTCTTGTGACAATACCTACAGCTTCAAATACATTATCTAATTTGTGCTATTCTTGCACATGGCACCATGCACTTTGTTACTTGTTTCATAACATGGCTTTGACCTTAGGTTTCTGACCCGGCATTGGATACTGGAGTAAAGATTTTTGTAAGGCTAGGAAATATTTGTAGTTTATTGGGGTAACTTGTAATGAATTTGAATTCCACTTCAATTGTAATAGTCGCTGATATGGAAGACTAGCTATAGTACATGAGAGCTATATTGAAGGATGGGAAATTGAGGAATTTCTATGTAGCAAACCTAAAATTTCTACAAGGGGCCAGGTTATCCCATTTGATGCTGTTTCATTAACACTTATTAATACTGTACTGTAATGACAAATTACTAATAACAAGGTGAGCTGTCTCTTTGCATACCTTTCTAAAACTAATAAAAATATTCTTAACCACTGAAGACTATAAACTATTCCATATATTGTCCTCTGGTACAATCTCTGCAGTGGAAAATATTTATTAAATGGAATAAACAGAGTAATTCTGATATGGGCAGATGGCCTGCTTTTTCTTTTCTAACTGAACAGATACCTCAGCATAAGTGTTAGATTTAAAAGTCATATATTGATCATGACTTGGATCATGTCCTTGTATGTTATATGAAAACAGTTGAGTTTCTTTCCTGAAGTACCGGTAACTTATGAAGATGAATTTCCTCTGCCTTGTTTCGTTTTACAAAGAAACCAACTTTGTAAACTAATATAATAAATGCAGTTGTCTTTCATCCAGTGTGCTCAGAGTGCCAAGAATAAGTAAATAGCACTGGTAGCAATTGTTAAAAAGGAAATATAGGTTGGTCTGTAGTGGCACTATTAGAAGCAGCATAGTTTGACATTAGTATAGATAGCTGTACAATGGGGTGATCTGAGATATATATACACACACATTCTCTGTATAAATTTGGTATAGGACAGTGAGTAAGGTGTAACACAGGATACCTATCAGTAGGGGAAATTAGGCCAGTTTGCGAAGGGAATCAACTTTAGTTCTAGTGTCTCAAATAGCTTGGTTTTCTGACATTCACAAGCATTTTCTTATTTACAGAGCATTCTTCCAAACAGAATGGTGGCAAGGGTGTTTTTGTAGAGACAGCATTCAAGTCATGCCATGTAAGAGAGCATGTCTTCCTTGCTATTTAACAGGACTGCAACAGGCAGGCACAAAGTTGAGAACAGGCTTGCCGCAGATGGCAGGACAGGATACCACTGAGAACCAGTGAAATCCAGCAAAAGGCAGAAATATTCTCCATACTTAAGCATTATGGAGGTATGCTATCGGTTGCTAAGCATAAAACTACCCTTTATTTCAACAGTATTGGAGCAGCAATATAGTGCATATAAAATCTAAGTTGCAAGCACCTAATGGGGAAATGTGTAAAACCCTGCTTTACTTTCTCATGTACTCAGAACTATAGCTGGATCACTTTCCAGGTAGAATTAAAACTAGAATAGTGTGGGCACTTATTTTCCAGAGCTGCTTGAGGAGCAAGAATTAAATTTTCACCTCAAAGGGTACACTTCCAGCATATTTGCTTAGTCATAATGATTAAGTGTACTACTTCTGTAAGTTTGCATAAAATAGTGTATGAACTCATTCTTGCAATCTCCACTTTCCCTTTACAATTTAAATGTGAGTACCTTACTCCAATTTTGTTTGAAGGGCTAACCCCCTTAAGAGTGAAGAAACATACACCATTTTTCATCCAGCTAGGGCTATGCATTTGAAGCAAACTTCAGAAAAAACAACCTATTTTTCAAAGCTGCTTCTGGTCAAATGAGAGATTACATTTGTCTCCCTTATGGGTATTTAGAAAGCAGCTATTTGAGTGTTGCGAAGGCTGCATGTTAGTTCAAAACCAATTGAAAGCAATAGCCTTTGTACCGTATCATACTATCATTCCATATTAATCAGTACACACAGAGGCATGTTTGTATATATGCATATGTATATATATTATAATGACCTTGATATTTTAGTTAGGTGATCCTATTCTGATCAAAATATCAACCAAAAGGTACTTCACAAAAACCTTTAAGTGTATTTACAGAGTGAATAATTGAGACTATGCTGCAATAAAAGTGTCTTAAATGTGCAAAAAGATTTGCATGCACCCATTTAACACATTACAGCAGTTAAGTGCAAGAAAAACTTACATATTACCAAAAAAAATAATAATTCTTAAGTACAACTCAAAATTCACTTTCCATTTCTTAACTGTTAAAGCAATGTATGTTAAATTAAAATATCCATGCGAGGCAGGTCAAAAGAATTAAAATCAGCAGTGTGATGTTTTCCTACAAAATAGCAAGGTATACCAGACCAACCATCCTTATGTAATATAAATATATTCATAAAAGCAACCCTCTAGTAAAAAGCAGCCAAAATCTTTTTTTAAAAAAATCTTCCTTGTCCATTCATGGGTACTTTGGCCTTAATAACAGACCTTTTACAACAGGATCTAGTACCTTCCAAGACAGTAGCCTAGCAACATCAGGAAATGTACTTCATAGCAGCTTGGTTTTCCCCCAAAAGATACAGTAATCATATTTAAGTTACAGTGTACATTTAAAACTGTAGTCCTTTACAACCTCTTTCATACACACAGGCTCTCAGCTTTCAAAAAGACAGTCTCGCAGTGTCCTGTCGCTAGCTTCATTCTGCCCATTTTTTAAACTTGGTCAAAAGGGAAAAAAATGTACAAGATTAAAAAACAAAACCGTCCTCAAGTGAAGGAAAGATTGCACTTTTGCCAACCTAAAAATAAATTTCTAGAAAGGAAGTCTTGTTCAGTGTAGTAGTCTTTGGTATGTATGGAAGTCACTTCTTCAGTAGTGAACTGCGGTTGTCCAGTGAAATGCATTTTGTTTGTACAGCTCAAAACAAAGGATTCTATGCTACCTTTGTCCTTGCAGTATTGCTACACGTTGAAAACACTGCCCAGCTCCTCTTGGAAAATGTTGTAAAGGTAACAAGACTGACTACAACTTGACCAAGTCTTTCTAAGGCTGAGAAGGCATTGAACCACCTCACCCCAGCATGGAAGCAATCCCAGCCTGAATGAAAAGGGGGGCACAAGACTTTTGTCAGAGACTTGTGCCGGAAACACTGGAGTCTGGAAGAAAAGTATTGATGACTCGGTAGCTTTGAGCCCTGCGGATCATGTCCCGGATCTCTATGTTCAGCTCCATCAGTTTAGTACAGATTTCTGTCAGGCTTTGATTGGAGCCCACTAGAGCGTAAGTGCCAGACTGCCCCAGTGTTTGGTGCCGGAAGTAAATATTCAGTAGGGTCTGGACCTCTTCATCAGAACTGCTTCCAAAAATGTCATTGGGCCATATACTCCTGCAGGGAAATGAGTATAAAAAAAAGCCAGAGTTAATTTAAGGATCTCTCTGCTATTCAAGAAATAGATTCCCTCTTTTTTACAAGTTAAATCCCTTCCCAATTCCTCTGCAGCTACATATGCATATTTTGGGCAACTCGTATACACATTCCATGCCACTGAAAAATAAGCCATGCAGGGAACTGCATGAGATAATAAACAATATAGGCACATGGGATTCGCTATTAGTAGAAAAAAAAATTTTTGGTACAAGTATTTCCTTCAGGAATGAAGGTGGATGCCCATGCTTCTCTACCATGCCAAACTACAGAGAGGCACCTCTAGATGGGAAACAGAGGAGGTAGCAAGGTGTTTCTGTAACACATTACTATGGGGATTTGATGAATTAAAACATCATTTTACAATAATAAATAAAAAGTTCTGGCCTGGGTAAAGGTTCAACTAAATGATCAACTATAAGGAGTTGGTACATCTCTGGCCCAAACTATGCATGTGGAAGAAACCATTCTTGGGAGCTGCATGCACAGCTTGACAATCACTGCTTTGTGCAATGGTTTAAAAACAAAAAAAGGGAACAAAGTATAAGGAACTTCTCCCATAAAAGACACATAGAAATTGATATATGATGCACTGCTTCACGTCGTTTTCATTTAAATGAGGCTTGCACAATGAAAGTGCTTAGTAAATTGTGCCTTAAAATGATTACAAATACCTTCTGACTGAATGTGAATACACTTGTTAGCGTAAGTGAAGATGTGCGTGTAAAGTTACACAGCTGTAGTCTTCTGAGAGGAAGAAAGGAAAATATGACGTCATGATCAGCCACTTGATTAAGTTACCTGCATTCCCTTATTTGGTGTAGAGCTTTTCCAAGCTCATTGTTTTTCAGACACTCCAGCATGGACTGAATGGCTACTTCTGTAGAGGTGAACATGGGTTCAGAGGTACCACATTCTACAATCAGCGGTTCCATTGCAATGGCAGCACTAGCTTCCTTAAGGTTCTTCTTTAACTCACTCAGCTCTCGTGACATATTCAGTAGCTGTTAAGGAAAAGAGAATTACATTCATCAATGTACAAGTTTTCCCTATTGGGCATCAAAAATATAAAATCTGCACCATTCAAGGACAAAGTGATAGCTTCATTTCTTGCAACTGGGTGTTTGAATAAAATTTAAATACACATGTGCAAGATGCACATGTGCAAGATGCATATGAAATACTGCTAGAAGAGCGAATGTATAAAAACATTACTGAACTTTATATCTGAGTTGTGAAGCTCAGTGGTGATCTTCGGATATCCACTATCTCTCATGCCAACCTACCTACCCAGAATTTTGAGGATAAAAGGGAGTTGGGGAGAACCATGTATTTGAACTCCACACAGGAAGAGCAGCTTATAAATGTAAGAAAATAAGAACCCAGTTTGAAATCCATCCACATTTTCTCTAAACTAATAGAATGCGCTACACCTCTCTATAGTTATCATTCATGATCTTGAACAAGCAGCCCTCATTTAAGATACGTTAGATTGCTGTACGAAATAAACACCACACGGGAACGCACAGCAATTATTTCAGCAAAAGGCTTGATTGTAGCAACATACCTCTGGCATTGTACTAACTTCGTGCACTTGTCCGATGAGTTTACAGTACGACTGAAAAAGCAACAACAACTGGAAGTGCAGCTTATATAATCTCTGGCACAGTTCCAATTGCTAAAGAAATAAAATTGTAAAAGGGGTAAGTTATTAAGAAGCAACAGGTTGGACATTATTTTTCCATAAGCAATGAACTGTGAATCGGGGATTACAAAACAATGCTGAAATAAGACCAAATACTGCTGTAAATAGGGAATATATGGAGAATATGGGAAGCATGTGCCATCTCTACATCACCAAAGTGAACTTCAGTGGCATTTTTTACCTCATTATAATGTGCATCACCGTTTTAATCTGATGGTGACACAAGTGCTTGTTCCAAATGATCACAATAACTGTATTCAACTGTACAATAAACCATGGTTTCCTGTTATGGGAGCAAACTGAAGTTTCAGTTTATGTCCTTGGTCTCCCTCTGGCATGGCTTTTGGTTCTGGGTTGTTTTTTAAATTAACTATAACTTACTGTTACACTTGAAGATGATAAACTGCAGTTATCTTAAGTATGATTCATTTGAAACAAGCCAATTTTAAGCCAACTTTAAGCCATGCATTATAAAGCTGGCTTCTATGGTTATAAAGTTCACAATGCAGATGTAATGCTAAACAGGTTAATCAAAACTGAAAGTAAGAGGTTTTTATCTCCTCATGGCCATGTTGGAGGGGAGTGTAGAAGCCTGAAGCTCACTGTGGCCTGCTGCCATCGCAATCAATAATCGTCTACTGTTACATCCAAACACAACTTTTGTTTAAATACCATTATATAAACACTGCACTTTTGCGGTCTTAGCTGGTAGTTGCTTAACTAGAATGCTTGCTTGCATTTATATAATCTACATTTTTTCCTAAAAGAAATGTTATGGACTTGGCTCATTAAAGTTTGTTGTATCAGGCAAGGAAATAAAAATAAATGTGCTTTATTGGGTTGATGCAGGAGTTTCCCACTTCTTCAAAAGTGAAATTGCAATTTCTTTCAAACTGCATTTGTAACTTAGTTTAGACACACAATGGCTGGCTACATTGAAAACCTTAAAAATATACGACTTCCGTGAATGGGTGCTTATGACCATAGTGTTGAACCACAATAGTTCTGTGCTATGACAATGCCTTGTTATGCAGAGAGAAAGGGGAGGTGGACACAATCCATTCTGTGCGGTCACTTGAAAGCAGTAGAAATCCTCATATTTGGATGGCATATCCATGTACTGAATTTGTAAATGGTGCATGTGCATCTGGCCTTA